TTCCGCGAAAGCTTTCGCGCTTGCGATCGCGTGAGAGCCATGCACGCTAAGTTGGGGAAGAACGATTTGCCCTGCTCTTTGAGAAGCTGCTCCGAGTTGTTGGAGAAAAGATAAGAAAAACGATCATTTAGCGCGGCAGACACAGCTGCTTCGGTGCGAAGCTTACCGAACGGGCCTTCAATGACCACCGTGGCGATTGGTAAGCGAACACTCTGCACCTCGGCGACTTGCCTGATCCACGCGCATTCTCCTGTGAAGTCATCCGGAGACACCAATGAAGGATGGACAACGTCCATGGTTGCCGCTGAGTCTCTAAGTGCTCGGCACGTTTTCTCATTGACCCTAATTTCTTGGAGATACGGCTCCAACAACCGAATGTTTTTTTCTGATTCTCGGATCGTTGCGAAGGCAAACTTTTCCTGACAGTTTCTAGCGATGTGCCCTTCCTTTTTACAGTTGTAGCAGATTAGCGGCTTCCGTTTGTTTTCCGATTCAAATGCCTGTGTGGTAGAAACCTCACTCGATTTCTCCGCTTCTGTTTGCCCTTCCCATACACTGTCCTTCGTAAGAGACGGGTCCTTCTTGAAATTACGGTGCGGAGCGGGTCTCCGTTGATCAGGTTTCTTTGAAAAGCCCTCTTTCCTTTCATCCTTTTCAACGCGCACTGCCCTGCTATGCAACTTTCGGCGAGTATAATACTCCTCAGCTAACTCAGCTGCCTTGTTTAACTGTACGTCCCCAAGTCTGTCCTGCAGCCAAAGTCTGACATTATCCTCAATGCAGCGGTAGAATTGCTCCAATGCAACGCATTCCACCACTTTATCGCGGTCGTCATAAACACCTTCGCCCTTGAGCCATTCAATTAAATCGGCTTTAAGACGAAACGCGAAGTCAACGTGTGACTCATTCCCCTTTTCAGCATACCGGAACCTTTGCCTGAAAGCCTCGGGTGACAACTTGTAACGTCTCAAGAGCACTTCCTTAACCTCGTCATAGCTCTCAAACGCTTCCCTAGACAAGCAAGTTAATGCGTCGGACACTTCGCCGGGAAGAAGAGCTAACAGGTTCTGCGCCCAAAGAGACCGCTCCAAAGCGTTTCGCTCACAGACGTGTTCAAACTTGACGAGGTACTTCGCCATGTCCTCGCCTACTACGAACGGTGGCAGTTGGTCCCGAATTCTAAAACCGCTGACCTGAACTGTTGGAGAAGCTACGCTAGGCGCCTGCGGACACTGTAGGATTGCCAATTCTAGTCGTTTCAACTCGAGACGCTCCTGTCTCTCGGCCTCCTCGCGACGTTCGCGCCTTTCAGCTTCTTCACGTTCGCGAGCTTCGCGCCTTTCCGCTTCTTCGCGAGCTTCGCGCCTTTCAGCCTCCTCTCGTTCGCGAGCTTCTACTTCTCGCCTTTCAGCCTCCTCACGGCGTGCTTTAATATCCACCCAGGCCTCATCGACTTCCTCAGCCGACACTCCCTCATCCTTCATGATCGCGAGGATCGCTTGCTTTCGTTTCGCACGGCCCAAAGTAATGCCGAGTTCCTCACAAATTTCGATGAGTTCCTTCACTTTAAGGTTCTCCATCGTTCACACTAGCCTCTTGCTGTTTGCCCCTGTTAACAATTTACTTGCCGTACCCACTATAAGTCAACTAGCAAGACGCGCAAGCAATTTTTCACTCTCCCGTGTTTACCCCCTCCGCATTAACTTTGGTTTCAAAGCACTTCGACTTTGCTTGAAACGATCAAAGCTCACTCTAATGCTTCACACAGCCCTTCTCTAAACTACTACAACCTGAGCTAGAGTAGTCTGGTGAACTGAGGGGAAAACATCGGGCACTCACCGCATCGATGTCGCTGACGCCGGCCGATCCCGCAGCTGCCAACCACTGTTGAGAAACGACGGACCGATCCCACCGCTGCCACCACTGTTGAGAAACGACGGACCGATCCCGCCGAAGCCACCACTGTTGCGAAAGACGGCGACGCCGACGCGGTCCCGGAGGCGCCACTGCTTTCAACTCCGCCGGGAAGGTCACCAGCCGTTTGGTAGCGTATGTTTATCAGCTCGCGACTGCTTCTGCGCAGAGCTGATAAGACGAGCGGACGAGACGACGGTGAGTTAAACAAGGTTTATGTACAGCATATATACAGAGGCGTTACAATTTCGGCACTGGGGCCGACAGAGACTCGAAGAGCCGAGCTCTTCTCTCTAACACATAGTTCAGCCTTTCGCCTAAGACCGCTGATCGCGACACGCCGCAGGGCTTCTTTTATTTGCACCGGGTCCAACCAAAGTGTCCAATCAGAAGCGCCGCGGGTCGTCAGGGCAGATTCCGCCAATGGGGGCCGCCGCGCCATGCGTCAGACCACCTGACACGAGGACGCCGGCTCGCTGTCACGTGCGCAACTGACTCACTGCACGTGGGCCAGAGGAGCGCCGCGCGTGTTCACGCCGTCGAGGTGATCGCGCCAGGCAGACTGCGGGCTGGCCTTGACCCAGATTGCTTTTTTCCGAGGCACGGACGTTTGACGGGGACTCGCTGGCATAACAGCCTACTGTTGCTGTCACGATAACCAGCTATTGCATATTTCACATGTTATGAAGAAAGCACAGTATACGATAGTAAATAATTATATCCAATTATTACTAATTAGGTTATGCCTCAAACAAATTTCATTGATATTTTTCCTAGAATGAACTGCACAATATGAATAAAAACAGTCAGCGTTTTTTTTTTTTGCAAGTTTTCGAAAGACATAACAGTTCGTGGGCTTTACAGGGTTAAAGCGGGACACTAAAGGCAACTACTAAGTCGATGTTCGTTGTTGAAATAGCGGTCCAGAAACCTCGTAGTGTTACAGCTGTGCCAAGGAAGTGCTTATTCTGAAATAAAGTCACGTTTCAGTGGTCCGCATCGGGTTATCGCACTTCAAATTACCCGCCTCAAGCGTCACGTCACTGTCACCGTGCACAACGTTGCCCGGCTTTACTGCGCGGCCACTGACACTAGTAGCAGCAGAACAAAAGTAGCGGGAGCCACAGCAGCAACAACGGAGATTAAACTATTGCCTGCCATTGGCTCCAAGATGGAAGACGTGCTTGGTTCAACTGAGCTCCACTAGATACCACGACTTGTCTAGTTTAACCAGGCGAAAATTGAACTTTTGAAATACTCGCGTCATTCCCCACAGTAACGTCCGGCGCTCTTGTTTTTTTTTCTTTCGTGAATCAAACAGACACGAACAAGCAGAATTTTATTACGTCACTTTATGCATGGAAGGTTCTTCTTTAGTGAAGTTAGTGTGACTACAAGTGATTAACTGCAGGGAGTACATATTAAGTAATCGGGATCATTTTGCGAATTCCCTATTGTAGCGTATGTGTTCTCGTGTATTTACCTTAATTTCTCCATACTTGAGGCACTGCTGTTAATAATAAAGTCTTTTTTAGACGCTGTCATACATTGAGCTTTCACTCTAGCATCAATTGTTATTTGACTTTAGCGTCCTTCTAAAGGGACACTAAAGAGGAACAATTACTTAGTTTACATTGATAAACTGCACACCGGGATCTATAATGCCATGTTTCACTCACATAAGTGCATTATTAGCGGAGAAAACCAAAGTTGAAGTTTCATTTTTAAATATCGCGCCATCTCCGCGCGTGACGTAAGAAGTTTCAAAACGTACTTTCCGTATTTTCGTGGCGTTGGCTCCTTCGAAATATTTCACGTCACGATGCTTGGTGCGAGTATCTCGAGGTGGCGTCTCCACCCGTATTTTCTTTTTGCGTGTTTTGTCGCTTACAAAGTGTCGTGTCGCGGTAAGCGTAAAGTTGTTTTTTAGGGATTGCGAAATTGCAGTTTGACTAATAAGCGAAATCTCGTTTCGCTCTTCAAGGCCTAACCACACGTATACCGTTGCAGCGCGTCATGCCGATCGACCGATGATGTCGGCCGAAGCAGCGATCGCGAAATGAATTCTTAGCACGCTGCTAAAGTCATCCCCATCCCCTGAGATCTTTAATGTGGTGATTTTTTTTTTCTGCAGAAACGTATCTTAAAATGAAAACTGTCTTGTGTATTGACTGATCTGCTAGCCAAACTGACAGTACCCCTGGGCAGCACAAAATCATTGCAGATAATTTTATTGCGATAAAGAAGTTTTCTTACCGTTCATGGCTTTCGTAGCTTGTCATTGTCACAGTTAGCAAAAAAAAAAAAAACAACTTCTAAAGCAGTGACATTGCACGAAGAGTGGCTTTTTTATTATTATTAATGGAGTGGTACAAAAATTCGCGCGTGCCGCTGCTAACCCGCGTGGTGTAAGGTCCCTCCATAATTTTTAGCGTGGTGCGTCGAACTGGAAGCCGTCGTATCCCATAGTTCCCTGCGATTGCCCATATTGCCGAACACCTATTCTCAGCCTTGAGAATCTACGACGCAGACAGCGTACGCGTTTCTATGCGGATACTTGGCCGCGTCAGTGTAGCGGGCGTCCGTGTCTTGCTTGAACTTCCGTTGAATAGCGTTAGCTCTAGCCTTGTGCCTACTTCTGTGGAAAGTAGGATGCATGTTGCGCGGAATAGGTGCGATGGACAGCGACTCTCCAACGTACAGCGGTATGCGCTTTTTCCAGTCTGCATCGGCGATGAACGTGTCGCGTTAGCTATAGTACCCGGTCCTTAAAATCGGGCTGAGCATGGGGGCCTCCCATTTTTCCTTATTGCTTACTCCAGAACGGTAGGGTAGAGAGCTGGGGACATGCCTGCATGACGCTTATTACTTGCATATGCAGGCTTTTCGAGGGCAGCTGCAAGAAAGATTTGAGGGGATCATGCTTTGTTCAAATTTTGCCGCCGTGTCGTGCGTATTATCTTTATGTTCCCTGAACACGCCTTTTGCGGTGCACTGCAGCCACCTAGCGCGTTAACGGCGAAGCTCGTTCGCTTTCTCTCTCTTTCCTCGTCCTCAATCCGAGTACCTTCTCCGCTCCACATTCGCAACCGTGGGTTGGGCCGTCGCCTGGGGCTGGGCGACTTGAAGCAACGCTCGAAAAACGCCGCGCCGCAGGCCAGCGCGAGCGTCAAGCAACGTCGACGGGAGACCCGAAAACGATCCGACAGCTCCGATCCTTGGAGGCTCAGCCGCCGTTATGCCACTGCCGGGGTCGCAGCTGATCTGCTAAGAGAAAAAAAAAACGCCGCCCGGAAACGCACCCCGCGCGCAGCGACCTAATCCTGCGCATATCCTGCATTCATTTCTCGCCTCCAAACGAAACGGTGAGCCGCCACCCTGCTTCTACCTTGCCGCGAGCCCTTCCGTTCTGTCTTTCCTCCCCACTGTCCCCTTTTCGTCCCCTTACACCTGTGCGTGCATCGGTTGAGGTGTCCTCTTGGAGAGACAATTTGTGCGCACAGACCGAACCCCCATTCTCCTTCCCCATCGGAATCGCCAACGCGCGCGCGCGCTTCTCTCTACTCCGGATGCGGAACCGGCGAAAGTAGGCAACAGCATCCCCGATAACAGCTGCTCCCTCGAGGAATTCTCTCTAAATTACTGCAGCTGATCGCACGTTCTGGCCACTTCTAGGGCTGTCGAGTACCGCGAAAGATTCTTAGTACCGTTCGGGCAGGAGCGGGCCGGGATGCTGGCTGTTGCTACCTCTCTCCCGCTATCATTTCGATCTCCTAGCTCCCGCTCGCCAATGATGGGCATGGCGCGCAATGTTTCGCGTCGCGATATACGTGTGAACCGAGTTGAACGTTCCAACGAGTTGATCGTGCGTGGTTGGCGACTCGAAAGAAAGGATAGCGTTGAAATGCGTCCATACGCTTGGTTATGGAGAAGTAAAAAAAGGCTTCTTGCTCTATTTTGATGGCCGGTGTGCGGCAGCTGTTGTGTACTGTGCCATATGAGCTGCCATAGAAGCCCTTTATAAATATTTCAAGTCATTATTATACAGTGTCATAAGGACAATTGTAGTAGTTGAATGTATGATGCCTGGTTGCTCGATTTTCATTCAAGCTAAGTACTTTTATTTTAGTTTCTGAAACATTCGTGGAAATATTGGAAAGCTAGATGGCTCAGATTCATCCAGATATTGATGCTCCCTTTGTTTATGCCTCAAATTTCTTGCTGTAAAAAAAAAAACGGAACACATCTGTCTGTAATATAAATCTTTCATTGGTTGTCATATTTTACTACTTCTTAGAAGGGAAAGTAGTCCATGGTGCACGTACATTAAATAATGCATTATGTTTAACGGGGCATGTTGGAGACACTGCAAACAATATGGAACTGGGAACTTGTCGCTTGGCTAATTGGTACATATCTTCGAGAGCAAATTTTAGAAACCCATACCTGAATTCCCAGTGCTTTGTCTTTCTTCTGGCGGTGCTTCGGTGTCTAAATCTTTGCCTCGAAGTTATGGTACTCGATTATTAATGTTCACATTTTTTTGAGTAGTGGGTTTATACCATGAGGTGTATGTTAATCTTCATTTGGCCCAAACATTAGATTTTTGCGTGCATGCGAAAATTCATTAAGCGCAATACTTTACACTGCGTGAAGAAGGACTGCTTGTGTGCACATATGATAGCTTCACTTGAATTAAATTTTAATTGCTATCTTTCTTTTCTCATCCCTCATTTTTTATGTTGCAAGACGTCGAGATTAGTATAGCTCATCATGGGAACGAGAGCAGCCGCCTGTAAGTATATTTCCTTGGCGTTGAGTCTCTTGTTTTGCAAAAATGCAAGTGTGAATACCATAGCAATTAAGCGTTCCACCCAAAACTATTTATATCTCTTTATGTTATAAATGAATCGTACACAACTCATAATCCTGAAGGCATATGAACTTTAGTGTTGACGTGGGAGTGTTTGAATAGAGATAACAATAAACACATATGAGCTGTAGTCTTACTGTAATGACTATTATTCTGTTTTCTTAGTCTCAGCTTTGAAAAGTCTTTTGATACATGATTGCCACCTACACATTCGTTGTTGCACTTGCCTCTAAAAATTCTCGTGACATTGACAGTAATTTATCACATTTTTATCTTTAGATTTATGATATTGTCACCAATCTTGTCTCACTCAAGGAAACCTTCCGCAGAACTGCTCGTCAAGCTAGGACAAAAAGAAAAACTGCTCCAACCCAACCTCTTCGTCCTCTTCCACACGAAAACCACGCGAATTCATGCGGCATTAGTCCCCCCCTTTTAAAAAGCATCGACTCGATGCTTCTAAATAAAAAGAAGAAGAAAAAAAAAACCCATAATTAGAACACGCGTTGACGCAGAGAATGACAAAGTGAGTGCCAGGGAAAACAAAGAGGGCGCACAAGCACTTGGACCATGCGCGAACACAACAGCACCAGTGGGAGAGTCAAGAAAAAGAAAAACACCACATGAGATCACTGTCACGTTGCGAAGTAACTCGCAAGCACAGAGACTATTGTGTGTAGTACGGCTTGAGTCGTACGACATGCACAGTTTCGGGCCGATGTTGTCGACGTGACGACACTGTGCCGTCCGGAAGTACTTCGTATGTAAGGTCACTCACACGTCGGATAACCTTGTATGGTCCGAAATAACGGCTCAGAAGCTTTTCAGACAAGCCTGGTCGTCGGACAGGAGTCCACACCCACACTCGTTCACCCGGGTGGTATGCGACGTTTCGACGGCGAAGGTTGTAACGTCGTGCATCTGCGTCTTGTTGGTGACCGATGTTCACGCGAGCCAGTTGACGAGCCTCTTCGGCGTACTGCGTGTATTGCTCGGCTTCTGGAGAAAGAGCATCGCTATTATCGTACGGCAGCATAGCGTCAAGCATCGTTTGTACGTTGCGTCCATAAACAAGGTGGAAAGGTGAAAATCGGGTTGTTTCCTGCATTGCCGTATTGTATGCGAACGTGACGTATGGGAGGATATCGTCCCAGGTTTTGTGCTGCACGTCCACGTACATTGACAGCATGTCCGCTATGGTCTTGTTGAGCCTTTCCGTCAGTCCATTACTTTGTGGGTGGTAAGCCGTTGTTTTTCGGTGACTCGTGCAGCTCAGTCTGAAAATGTCCTCTAGCATTTGTGCCGTAAACGATGTTCCTCTATCCGTAATCACACATGACGGCGCGCCGTGCCGGAGGACGATGTGCTGCACGAAGAACTTCGCCACTTCAGACGCCGTGCCGCGGGGTAATGCCTTTGTCTCAGCATACCGGGTCAAGTAATCGGTTGCCACTATAATCCATTTGTTACCAGTGGCCGACAAAGGGAAGGGTCCTAGAAGGTCCATTCCCACGAGGTCGAAAGGTGTCCGTGGTGGTGTAATAGGGTGGAGAAGGCCCGCAGGTTTCACGGGTGGCGTCTTGCGACGCTGGCACTCGCGGCAGCCTTGCACGTAGCGGTGTACACTGGTCGAAAGTCGTGGCCAATAGTACTGCTGGCGCACTCTGGCGAGAGTCCGCGAGTAGCCCAAGTGTCCCGACGTGGGCTCGTCATGGCACGCGAGGAGGATGTCATCCCGCATGTCGGCTGGTACAACGAGGAGGAAGGCTTTGTTGCTACCTCGAGCATTTTTCTTGTAAAGAATGCCCCTCCTTAGACAAAAGGATGACAATTCGCGAGCGATGCGCCGAGGAGTGTGAGAATTTCGGCCTTCTAAAGAATCAATAATAGGGCGCAATTCCTGATCGGCTCTCTGTCTAGACATAAAGTCAGAATCACTGAGGGCTCCGAGAAAACCATCAGCATATTCCGAGTCTATATCAGGATGTCCCACGGGTGCTCGAGAAAGTGCGTCGGCATCTTCGTGCTTGCGCCCAGACCTATACACAATCATGATGTCAAACTCTTGCAAGCGCAAACTCCACCGAGCGAGACGACCAGACGGGTCACGGAGATTGGCCAGCCAACACAGCGAATGGTGATCGGTCACCACCTTGAAGGGACGGCCGTAGAGGTAAGGTCGAAACTTTGCCGTTGCCCACACGACTGCGAGGCATTCCTTCTCTGAAGTGGAGTAGTTGGCCTCGGCTCGAGAGAGAGTACGACTGGCGTAAGCTATGACATGTTCTACGCCGTTGTGCCGTTGTACAAGGACAGCGCCAAGTCCGACGTTGCTTGCATCCGTGTGAACTTCGGTATCAGCGTCCTCATCAAAATGCGCAAGAACAGGTGCCTCTTGCATTCGCTGCCGTAACTCTGTGAAAGCTGCTTCTTGCTCTGTAGTCCAGGCAAACGGTACATCATCTCGGGTGAGTCGCGTGAGCGGTTCGGCTATCGTCGAGAAGTTGGTAATGAATCGGCGATAATAAGCACACAAGCCGAGAAAACGCCGTACCGCTTTTTTGTCTGACGGCACAGGAAAGGTGGCGACTGCTGCAGTTTTTTCTGGGTCAGGCCGCACTCCATCCGCACTCACAACATGTCCCAGAAATTTCAGCTCATCGTAGCCGAAATGGCACTTCTGGGGTTTTAGCGTGAGTTCGGCCGAACGAATAGCTTCCAGAACCATTCTTAGACGCTTCAGATGTTCTTCGAAACTCTCGGCAAAGATGACCACATCATCAAGGTATACAAGGCAGCTTTGCCACTTCAAGCCAGCGAGGACGGTATCCATCATTCGCTGGAATGTTGCGGGAGCTGAACAGAGGCCGAAAGGAAGAACTCTGAATTCATAAAGCCCATCGGGAGTTACAAACGCTGTCTTCTCTCTGTCTCGCTCATCGACCTCTATCTGCCAATAGCCGCTCTTCAAATCTATCGATGAAAAATACTTCGCGTGTCGTAGCCTGTCGAGAGAATCATCAACCCGTGGAAGCGGGTAGACGTCTTTTTTGGTGACGCTATTGAGTTTCCTGTAGTCAACACAGAATCGCAGCGTTCCGTCTTTCTTCTTTACTAGAACGACTGGCGAGGACCACGGGCTGCTCGACGGTTGTATCACCCCGTCGTCAAGCATCTCCTTTACCTGCGTCTGTATAGTCTCGCGTTCTTTAGCCGAAACACGGTAAGGTTGCTGGCGGATTGGGCGAACATCATCGTCGGTAATAATTCGGTGCTTTATGAGGGGTGTTTGACCGACTCTAGATGAAGAGGCGAAGCAAGATTTAAATTCCTTCAGCAGGGTATGCAGTGCGGCCTTCTTCTCGTCCGAAAGCTTCGAACTGACGTCGATGTGGTCCAGAAACTTATCTCCATCAACCATTTCCTCGGATGCGAAGCACTCGGTGACATCCGCTACACGGTCTCCGAAGGCCACGGTGGTGCCGCGGAAAAGATGTCGGTGCTCGAAGTTAAAATTTGTGACGAGTATCTGCGACCGTCCGTCACGCACACGCAGAATGCTTCGCACTGCACACACACCTTGAAGCAGTAAAAGGGATACGTTGCTCTCGGCGACCACGTCACCGTCTTGGAGGTCTTCACAGGTGACTTCTACGAAAGCAGTCGCTCGGGGAGGCAACGTCACGCTTTCGTCGGCAACACGCAGCGCAGGTCTACGACAGCTATCAGCGCCTCGATCGGTTGCAAGTTGCGTCGAGAAAGTCACCATTCGCTCGCGGAGATTTATGATCGCGCCATTCTCTCGAAGGAAGTCCATTCCAAGGATGAGCTGACGAGAACAGTCGCGTAGTACGAGGCAGGTTACCACAAACGTTGACCCGCGTATTTCCACTCTTGCGGTACAGCGACCCAATGGAGTAATAACGTGGCCTCCAGCAGTGCGAATACGCGTCCCATTCCAAGGTGTCATCACTTTCTTAAGACTGGTTGCCAATTTTCCGCTCATAATAGAATAATCTGCACCTGTGTCCACCAATGCGCTGACCTGAAGACCGTCTATCAGCACGGGAATGTCGAGTGAGACTCGGCCACTGGGTTCAGACGCACAATCCGGCATTTCTCTCGCACTGCACTCAGACGTCAATTCAATGTCTGCAGCGTTTTGTGGAAGCGTCGATAGGAGGTCTTCCGCACTTTTAGTCCCAGCGACCTCGCCCCCGAAGGTCGCTGCCTTCAGTTTTCCCGACGAGGGCTTGGGGAACGTCCCCGTGCCATCGTACTGAGACGTGGTCCAATAGCTGCGGGTCGTCGTGGAGATGGAGACCGCGATTGACGCCGTGGGAAAGGCAGACGTTGCTGCGCGAGGTAGTCCTCAATTTCTCTTGGCCTCTGACCAACTAGGGGACGAGGCGAATGAATAGAGAAACCGCGCAGTCCAAGTTGTCGGTATGGACATTCCCGGTAGATGTGACCGGCTTCACCGCAATGGAAGCAGAGGGGTCTTCTATCCGACGTACGCCAAATATCGGACTTCCGCGGAGGGGCACGGCGACCGTCGATGTCCAAACCAGCATGCGCAGATTGAATTGAAACTGGCGGCATCGTCTGGATTGGGACTGTAGGGCTTGAGACCGGCATGGAAGTGCGCAGAGCTTCGGCATATGTGCGGTTCCCAACATCAGTGGACGCAGGAGGTGGTTCTAGATTTGTAACCGTTGGTTGAGGGCGACGGCTGTGAAGCACCTGCTGGACCTCGTCCCGAATAATATTGGTGATGCTGCTTACCTCCGGCTGTCTCGCCCCGTGTAGTTTCGCGATTTCCTCGCGGACGACGGAGCGGACGATTTCGCGAATCCACTCAATGCTGTTGCTCCCGAAGCTGGCGGAAAATTCAGTAGGTGATGCAGAATTCACTTGCCGGTTGAGTAGGGCTGACCGCTGATGAAGTACCCTCTCCATCGTAGTGGCTTCGGTCAGGAATTCTGCTACACTCTTCGGAGGACTCCGCACTAGACCAGCAAAAAGCTGCTCCTTCACGCCTCGCATCAGATAGCGTAGCTTTTTTTCTTCTGGCATTGCCGGATCCGCTCGCCTGAAAAGCTGCGTCATGTCCTCCACGTACATGGTGACGGTCTCATTAGGCATCTGGATGCGTGAATGCAATGCACGTTCAGCACGATCGCGGCGGTCGGGGCTCCGGTAGGTCTCCAAGAGGCGATGCTGGAACTCGCGCCAGGATGTCAAGACATCACTTCTGTTCATGAACCACGTTCGGGCGCCGTCTTTCAAACACGCGTAGACGTTGCGGAGTTTGGCGGCTTCGTCCCAGTAGTTGATCGCTGCGACGTGTTCGAACTCGCTCAGCCAGTCGTCCACATCTTCAAACAGCTCTCCGTGAAAGGGACTAGGCATCAGCGGGTTCTGGACAGTGCAATAAATTGGTGCCGACGACGTAGGAGTTTCCATGACGCCTTGAGGCGAAGTCATAGTCGCTCTATGGATAAGCTGTGCCGGTGTCTCTGGTGGTAGGCCTCGTTGGCGGCGGCTTGTTCTGTGAACTGGCGTGTCCACGGGCACAGGGCTTGTGTTCCGGCTCCTGGATGGGCTCTTGTGCATGGGGTGCGTCGTCAGTTGTCGTACCCAGCACCTCCACCAATCTTGTCACCAATCTTGTCTCACTCAAGGAAACCTTCCGCAGAACTGCTCGTCAAGCTAGGACAAAAAGAAAAACTGCTCCAACCCAACCTCTTCGTCCTCTTCCACACGAAAACCACGCGAATTCATGCGGCAATATATGAAATAGATGACGACAGGTGCAGTACTTAGGTGGTGTGTAGTCAAGAAAATTTTAAAATAATTTCAGTTATCTGCTCTGTTCTCAGAATAATGTAGCATATTACGCATTCAGACACATAGTGAAAGAACTTCACATGTAGAATATTTTTTATGCATTTTTTTGTAGCAGATCTGCAGTTCAAATACCTAAAATACTTCACAGAACATGAAGTGGAATTAAGATAATTAATGGACAGATTTACAGTGTAATTTTGTAAGTGTGCAGTTGAGTGGTTATAATTCTGCATTCAATCACTGAATGTCAATCAATCAGTTTGTTTATATATCTTGTAATAAACAGACAGAATATCAACAGTTAAATGCTGCCATTCAGTAATTGGTAAGTCATTATGGCCATGTTTTTTTTATTTTACTGTCTTCATTGCTCTGACTTGACTGTCAACAATATTTCCTTACAGTCACCGCCAAGATTCGTAATCTACACGACTACCACACACGAATTCTGCATGGTCTTCCTCCCCTGCCTTCAGGGGTAGACGTTGCCAACACCCTGAAGTATTTTTCCCAGACACTGCTCAGGTTAGTTGCATGATCAATGAAACCGCCTCATTAAAGCGTCATGCCCTTTTTTATGCATGTAAAATCTTGTCAAATTGAGAACATCTCACGTACATAAAAGTGTTTTGAGCAATTTTAGTCCCATCATTTAAGAAGTAGTTCATTTCTCTAATTCTAAAATTGTGAAGTCTACCTTGAAGTAGTTGGTAAGCTATAATTATAAAACATTAAATCTATGTGCTAGTGTTCTAGGTCTATGTTTCGGTAATGCTGGAAGAATAACTGATAAATATTATTTTAATACTATCTCAGAAACATGTGTGCATTCCTGTACGCACTGTGGATGTACTTATAATGCGATAGTTGTGTACATTGAAGTTATGTACAAACATGCTAATTGATTGGCTACACTTGTTCAGTGTATGATAATCAAAATCTATGCCTAATTTGTGTCTTGTAAGATACCGTGTTTTGAAGCGAGTACAAGTCACAAAACAGGGGAGTGAGGCGGAGATATTCACTCACGTCTAGCAGTTGTCAGAAGCGAACCCCAGAAATATCTTATTTACAATTATTAAGAAGATAACTAACTGCCAAATATTAACAAGAAACATGTGCTCATCATTCTGAATGGCCAAGTGGTTTGAAAGAAAAAAAGCTTGCAGTTGTGCAGCCGAAGCTATTTAGTTTTGCAGTTCAGATTATGCAAAACTAGTGCTTAGATGAAGCACGTAAAAGAAAGAAATTGACGCAAACATTGTTGCACTAACAACAACTGTATCACTTTGTTGTTGCTCACTCGTAAATGTGTGCATGTGCAAAAAAGAAAAACAACTAAGGTTCTGTATTCTTGCAAATGCATTTCGCAGTGTCCTCAAAGATGTACCCAGTATTCCTCTTGACATGATCCGTTGTCACGAGAAGGACCATGCCAGAACAACACTGTTTCCAAGTCTGGACTACAAGGCTCTCTATCACGCCATTGTGCAATTAGTGGATGCGGTTCCTGTCATCCAGTCGGGAGCTCATGGTGAGAAATCCAGCCAGACTATCAACACAGGCATTATTGGACAGCTCGTTGGCTGGAATGGCAGAGGTGTTGTGTGTTGCAAGCGCTGATGATAATGTCTCTTAGTTTTTGTATTGTTCACAGCCGTTTCGACGTTTATGTGGGCTGTAGATTGTGTATTCATTGGTGAGCTTTAGCTTACTAAAAGTGCAAGATAAGTGCTTGTGTTGATTTAGTTTTGAGAATGATGAAACACAGATTTCGGATTCTGGATTTCGAAGGTTTGAGTTGCAGTTCTTAATTTTTTATTTATGTGCCAGCAGAGTCGACCTTCTGCATGTATGTGAAATGGCCGATTTTTTAAAATTTGGCAGGAATCTTTTAGACAAAAAGACTTCATAAGCAATTTTTTTTTCGTTATTGATGCGTCTATATAGTACACTCGACAGTTATGTCAGGAGTACAATGCCCAGCACATTATAACAGACGTATATTATTTTAATGATCTGCTCAATGCATCTCTTTCTTTAAAGTTTACAGGTGATTCAGGCATAAGACATATGAAAGTGTGAACCACTCGCAAAAAAGACAGCCAGCATCTTTTTCCTGTCTTGCATGAGTGCTAATGTATTTATAGAGAATATAAAGCAGACAAGTAATTTAAGGATGATGCAGGTTTTGGCTCCACTGTCCTGCAACATGTTCCCATTTCTATATTATGCTAATTTGAATTTTTTACTCCACAAATTTTATGCAGTCGTAGAATAGTGGCCACTGCCCATACGATGGAAGACTCATGCAGCTGATCCTGTGTTAACCGAAGGGGTTCTTTGATCATAGCTTTGCATCGAAATGTCTCCTTTTAGTTCAGGCTACGCTATTACAACAAACTACCCCTTTGTTCTCCCTGTGTTCAAATCCACACTTTCCTTTGTGTAATAAGCCAACTAAACTTAGTTTCGTTCTATATGTGCATGTGCCGTGTTTATTTATTTTCCACAGCTCTCGGGTACACGATCCTAAACACTCTGGCGTGCCTAGTGCCGTTCTTGGAGCACGAATATATGGACACGCTGCCTTACATTGTGGCCTCATCGATGGCCTTGTTTCCGACGTCCTTGCACAAGGACATTGTAGACATGCTCTGCAATCATCTGCTACCTTACACCATCAGTGAGTTAAACCACGAATTCTTCAAATGTTGGCTGCATCCTTCTGTAACTCTTTGTGTGCTGTGTTTATTCCTTGGCTCGATCCCTACTGAAATATTGTTGCACTATTACTGATGTGTGTTACATATTATATCGGCCTTATAATCTTACATGCATACTTGTGCTTTGAACGCCATGTGGTGCAAATGTAATTGTCACGGGGGACACAGTCAAGCTGCCTGGAGCAGCATTTAGCCCCTAAGTTTATACAAAATTTTCTGGTGAAACAAATTGACTGATTGATTGAACTTGATTTGTATTATTTATTGTAGAATAATTTCTTTGTGTGGAAATTGAGATAAACCACTAGTGAATATTCTTACTGTTGTTTCTTGTGGGTGCTCGTTACTTCCCTTTGAAATTGAAATCGCCTATTGCAGAGGATTTGTTCTGACGAGTAGGCTTCAGCTGAGAGTTCTGAACTGTGCGTGGGATGTGCTTCAAGTGATAAAGGTCAACTTGCCCCCTTTGTGTTGGGATCAGCAAGCACTCAACTCTTGGTTGTTGACCGCGCGTTTCTTAATTTCGGCCACGCTAGGCATGCCCGTGGCAGTCACGGAAGAATGTACACAATTTACGAGAAGATGAGGTTTTGATACGCCCTGTTGTCTTTCTTTTTATTTGCAGCCAACCCAGTGGATGTGGATGCCCTTAATTATGCCAACATGTCTACATCTGCTGTAATTATGATGGTATTCCAGTACACGGAGAATGTGGGTCAGTACACACTTGCGTATCGTTAAGGCTTGGTGCTAGAGAGTTGACAGCGTGCATCTCTCTTCATGAATCTTGACCCCTTAAATCGCACTTTACCAGTTCGTACTTACCAGTTCAATCAAATAAGATTAGAAATGAATGCAAAGGTGCATGTGCTCCTGCTCTTTTTTTTTTTTTCATTTGTTTGTCTAAATAAACCTTTTTTTTTTATCCAGAGGTGTAGAAGTGCACGTGGACGTATTTGAACACTCTACCAGTAAATATAGTCTTTTACAAGTTGAAAGCCCGACTCGCATATGTAACCCTCTCACAAGATGGCACAAGTGTGTTCTTGTTGGAATAACCTGCATTGCTGCAAATTTTATCTTGCTTCTTTTCTACGTTTGACTGCAGTAGTTTAACATCCCGTAGATGTGGCCATGAAAAACTTTGCCTTGTAATTATCACTCCTCAAAAAAAAAAAAAAAGATGGGACCTATAATGTCAACAAGACAAGATGTGATCTAATTTCAATAAGAAACACACAGGAATTTAGGTGTTAACACTGTGATAGTGACAGTCTATGATATGAACTCGAATCAGGGGCACTCATTAAAATTTAAATCTCAATGGTGATGAGACTTGATTTTTATGAGTCATCCATGCATTTGTGCTTTCCCTGGGTTTTTTCTTACAGACAATATTATTAATTTTGATTTGTTTGGCATGTGGGAAGTTGAATTACTATATAATTTTCTCCAAAGCAACTAAAGCAGCACTTTTGTTTCTTTATTAAGAAGCTTAGCCTAAGAAGCAAATTTACTTAGTTATTTGTCACACCTTCCTGCACTATTCTATTTTGCTCCATCTGGCTTTGTTCTTTTGCAGCATACCAGACGCAGTTGCTGGAATGTCTCATGAGCCTCAAACGAGACATTGTCAAGGCAAGTGGTACTTTTCCTTTTGCTTGCTTTTAAAGCTCTACTAAAGGGCGCCACGGCCGTAAATTAAAGATTGCAGGTTATCAAAATCACACAATCTCGGTACCGTCTCGGTACAATTTGTACCGTAACTTTAGATATAGCTGAAGGAATGGAAGTCAAACACACACATAAGGCATACTTCTATCTCACCTGCTCTATCCAAGGTTAGAGGTCCATATTAAATAAGCTCGATCACAGTACTACGTGCAGTCATTTAAATAACTCTTTAAAGGGGTTGTACAACATTTTTTCAGCATAGTCGGAAAATGCTCCCGATAAGTAGTCGAAGCTCCTGAGAACATGTGGGTCATACATTATAGCACTGCATGTAGCCTGGAATTTATTATGAATTCTCAAATGCAGTGACCAATTGTTTTTTCTTTCTTCAAATAATGTCATACACCCAAATTCACAGCCATTGGCTGATCTAAGCATCACGAGCTTCGTAGTTACTGTGGCTGCCATGGAAGGTCACAATGTGCTCACCCGCGCTCACAATCACACAAAGAGTAAAGTGGGCATTCGAAGAAAAAAAAAAGGACACAAGTGCTCATGGTCATAACGCGTGTGTAATGTAACTTCTTTCCCCTATGCCGGTCCCTCAATGCTTAGCTTCCAATGGATTAGTCGGGTCAAGGGAAGATAGAAAGCAACTACAGTGTGCCACAACCATCTGCAACTCTGCTCGTGCGCGACAAATTCAAAAATTTTTTTAAAGACAACCTAGCCGTTTCTGACAAGTGTAAGTTTTCATATCTTTGCTTATCTTCATCAGACACGGCTAGGTTGTCTGAGGTGCCTTACCTTTGTTTGTGGCCAGTGTTTTCCAAACAATCGCGAGAGTGACTGAGCAAGTTGTGACGCAGGACTTGCTGTGCGTGATCGCCCATGGCACGGCCAAGGCACGGCACCCAGCGGTGGAAATGTTCTTCCACTACTGGCCCACTCTGAACCCCATGCTGAGGGACAAGAAAGGGTTCTCAATCAGGCACTCAGGTTCGCCACGCCCCTCAGTTGCACGCCCGACTCCTGCACGGTCTAGCCTCGCGCTCGCCGGTCTTCATCCCGTGCAACATCTCGTGTCGGAATGTGCACGAGTTGCCTGTGAGTGCCCCTGTGTCGGAATTGCTGCCGCATGCTTCTGTATCTCCATGTCCTGCATTTTCTGCTCCCGTCTTTCAATTCGCATGCTACCATAAACTGCATGCCATGAAAGCTCCCAATGTGTCCATATCAGAAAAACTGCATTGCTTTCGTGAACACGCAAAAGAACGCTGACAACTGGAACACAGCTCGTCACAGCAGCGGTGACATCTGCCCTACCAAACCCTACCGCTAAGAAATCTTCATTTTAGTACTTCTTGCACTCGAAGCGTTCCACATTTTTATGGCAGCACTACACATAATTGTCAAACCACTAGACCGAACTCGTGCAAATATTGTTTTGGTCAAGCCACATTGAAAAAGTGACTTTCAGAATGCCTCCCTCGGGTCACGTTATTGATTTTGCACTTTCAACAGCGAGTTTGGTGCACCAATGGAAACTGTCGATGAATGCGCTTAGCGTGGTGAATACATTCTTCTGTCCTCACGTAGTCTAACTCACAGCATGTGTTTATAAGGTGAAAGCTGCTGTAATTTCTTTTTGCCCACTGTGCAATGCTTGGGGATTACACTTAGGGTCACATCGCAGGTAAGAGCAGCTAACCTTTCACTTCATTTTCGTATTCTAAATTTAGGACTGCCTTAAGTAAGCTCTATTCATAAATTGTCCGTGATGAAAAATGCCTTGACACAGATCTAGGTTTCCTAATACATTACCAAAGAAACATCACATTCCGAAAATTGTATGTACTCATGGATGTTACCGTATAATTGATAGTCATGCTCGAGAAGCTTGATGCTGTTGCTGCATGCAGAATGGAAGTACCTATCAATACTAAATGTCTAGCTTTGTTCAAAGCATTTGAATCCTTGCTCACGGCCAGCTGCATTGTGTGCAGTCGTGTTCAATGCGAGCTGAAACACTGGTGCCTGTTGTTGAAGGGGGCTCCTATGTGACGGTGCTGGCATACGAAAAAATTGCATACCCAACTACAGTTGCAACTACTGGCATTACCCTGTAATGCCTATTGTATCATAGTTCCGTGTGCTGATTTTTCATGTTAGAGTGCCAACAGTCTGGAAGCCACTTTGACCACGAACATCGATGTTCTGGCTCCCAATGAGTGTGACTATACTACCTTCATCTTGCTTTACTGCTGCATAAACCCTCATGTTCCAGCTTAGTAGCATCAAGCTTTGGCATGGGATTGTTTGGTAGTTTAGATATTCAATGTAGTCATTAGGGTTTACGTTTAGTGAAAATAGTACGAATCTTGTTTCGAAAGCATGGACGAATGGTACGAGGAGTAGTTGTAATGAACGTGGTAGTGCAGATTATACGGGTCTTGACTCGTATACATTATTCCTATCTGCTCGCCGAGCAACAATATAGTAATGATTATGCTTTAGTAGAATAGCATTACTTTGCAATACTAATTACAATCGTTCTGATTATCTGCATAATTCCTTATAACTGCGTTAGATGTATGTAACATATGCAAAATGTGCTCTTGTTCTTCGAATACATGTGACAAAAAAAAAAAAAGAATTGGACTGCATAAATATTGTGTGGGCCTTAAAATAACAAATGAAGGCTATATAAAAATGTGCAAATTTCGTGACGGAACATTTATATTGACTTGTAATGCTGCAGCTGTCGTTTCCTTTCTTTTTGTTATTGTGGAGTTACCAAATTAAAGATGCTTGTCTGAATTTTACGTTGCTAGTAACCTTGCAAAGTCTGTACAGGTAAAAAGAAAAACGTATGCCTGACATATCTATTTTAAAAATTGATGGCATCATGCAGTAGAAACAATTTGGTAAAAGTTGTTTTAATATTAATTTTTAATGGCATTAGCTCAGTGCAGCACTTATTGTTTTGTACTGTGGTCAGCAGTAGCTGTTTCCTTCCAGAACACCAGCTAATAAAAGGTGCTAGAATGAATTCTAAAAAGGTACATAATTGTGGTTGAAAGTAGTTCTGCAGGCAAACAGTATAAACATGCCATGAGCTTATGGAAATAATGTAAAAAAATATATATATAATTTTCATATAAGTGCGTAGTGTATTTGTAAAACATGCCTGAAATGACTGTAAGTTATGCATAAGTGGCACATTTGTACCCCTTTGTGACTCTAATTCTAAAGCAGTTGTTCATTTTGCAGCAATCTTTTATGTTCGAGTTTTCAGAATGTCGTACCCTTTTGTCAGTTTTACTGTTTAATAAGTAAATTAAGAGAAATTAAAGAGAGTGTTGTGTGTGTTTGTATTCCATTCAGCTGTGTGTATGTGTTGTCTTTTTCTTCTTCTGTGTCCTGTGGTGATCCTCTTGTCTCACCCTGGCCTCTGCCTCCCTGTTTAACACCCTGTCAGGATCTTGCCCCATTGGTAAGACGTCTCTCTGCTGTACGCCCTTGTCGAAGCTCTCCAATGTTTGCAGCGCACTGTTAAACACTGATGACCGCAGATTGGAAAGCAGGAGTCTATAGACAGGCTAGCCTATGTTTTGATAGCGGAAGCTATTCCCACTAAAAGGGAGTCAACATCATTGGCATGTTAGCTTTGAAAGAATTAGTCATTGACATCACAACTGTTTGTACTTACATCGGTAAAAGAAGAAACTTGAATGATGCCTCCTTCAGTTTCTTTTCAGATGACAAGTAACTCCACTGATACCGTGTGGTGTGATGTAAGTGACCAAGCCTTTCAAGCCTAGCATGCCAGTGATGATGGGGCACATTTGATGAAGGTAGCTCCAGCTTCCAAAACGTTGGCCAGCTTGTCTGAGGCACTCATTCGTGTGCATGCAACTTCTATAGCATGTTATGTTTCCATCTATCACTTCCCACCTGGACTAGGTTCTTGACGAAAGGGATGCGATGCCTTTGCACAAGTCCGATGTTGCGCAAAGAAAAACTCGGTGTCATTTAGGTACATTATTTTCGGGGGACACTGATGTCGAGAGTCGCTGCATACATTGTAGAATTTTGACACACGCTTTCTTCTTTTGCTGAAATTCGTCATCGTGCATTGATGCCCGCTCCCAAAATCTTTGTTTCGCAGAATATTTGCATGATGTCGCATCATGATTGGTGATTGGCGTTCCTCATGTTCGCCATGGAATGAGAAGTGTGTGTGGCTAAAATGAGGAAAAGACAGAGTGGCTGTAAATTCTGCTGGCCAAGACACAGATAAGTTTTTTTGTGACAGGCAAATGAGCCACTGATCAGCGAACAAAATCATTCTTTTTGCCTAGGCATGTAAAGGTGAGCACTTAGAAGTGCACAATAAGCCTCAGGACTACTACAGTACGTTAATGAAAGTGAAAGGAAGGTTCATTGCATATTTGTTCTCTTGTTTACTGCAAGCATGTTCGATCATATATAATTAAGGCTTTATCTTGAAAGGTGTACCAATTACTGCAATGAATAAGTTTATTAGTTGGTAAAACATTGTGATTTTCCTTGATGTATGTACTTTGCTATGTAGCTCAGCATCACACTCAATGAACAGAATACCGTCATTTATAATTTTGTAAATACTTTCCATCACTATAACGATGCTTTTTGTGTACCTAATTTCAATAAAATCGCTAGTCTGTCATCCCTAGTAGGCATTTGGATGTAAACATGACTTACACAGATAATCTGAGAATGCGTTGAATGTTTTTCCCCAGGCTGGAAGCCACTGATGTGTCAACGGGAGAGTTGTGTTAGCATAGAAAACAAGGAAGCCTACAAGGTGAGGAGCTACTCTTTCTATAGTACTGGAATTGTCAGCCAACATATCTTTTGATGTTCTGTGAGAAAGGACTGATGAACATTACAACTTCACGAGTCTTGAAGAACAGACGTGTTTGATTTTGTCATTGTTTTCAATGCACAAACAAGAATCTTCATTGTCGTTTTGGTCAAAACTTTTATGTGGTACACTAAAGCCTCGGCGATACGAATTTTGCTGGGTTGCGTGAATAATTTGCATCACCTGAAATTTGTACTAATGCGGCAATTCGGGCGAGTTTGTATACTGTCATCTTCGGGTAACGTGCAGTGTTTGTCAGAGCCATGCCGCGCGTTTACCCGGAGCTGAAATTCGTGCCATGAAAAAAAATTGAGGAAGCCACACACTAGCGGTGCAAGGACTCAGGAATCGACAGAGCCGGTGGCGTTTGTTCCTCCTTTACCTCCTCCTCACCCGCACTCCCTTTTCCCAGCCCTTGCTATACATGGCTGTGCTATTTACCACCCTTCCTTCCTCTACCTCACTTCTCTTTCCTATCTACAATTATACTATACTATACATGATACCCCTTGCTATACTATACCGTGCATGGCTATGCTATGCGTCATCTTTTCATCATCCTCCTCACCCTTACTTTCCTTTCCCACCTCCTTGCTAAACTTTAGTGTGCCTGGCTATGGTGTGCTTTCTCTTTCTCTCTCTGTTTCTTTTCTCTCAATCTTTATTTCTATTCTATCTTTATTTTCTTTCTAGCTTGCTCTGTATTCTTTCATCACTTCCTTGTTTGTTTCCATTTATCTCTTTGCTGCATTTATTTGTCTCTCTATCTTTTATGTCTCTCTTTCTCAATTTTACTCTCTCTCTATTCCTGTCTTTCTTTTTTATATCTCTCTATTTCTCTTTCTCTCTGCACGGCGAGGCACAGTGAAGTAGGATAAGGTACTACGCATTAGGGTAAAGAACAGTACCAAACTGCATGTTTGGACAGTGCATTACTGGCGCCACATTCTTTCTGTGAACAGATGTGCCTCGATCACTCCATTGCCATTGCGTCGGGGGAGCGGCCACCACCCCTGTTCGTGTGTCAGGGGTGCGCCGACCAGATCCGTCGGGAACACGGCCCAAACCACCTGATGGATGTACTACTGCCGATGCAGGAAATTTCTCTTCACTGCGAAAATAAGGTAAGCTATGCATGTTGCAAGAGAGGGGAATTAAATGTGGCCACTGTTGACTTTTACTCTTAATGTTCTTTATAAAAAACTGGTGAAAATGTTGAAAATTTATTTTAATTTCTAAAATTTGTCACATTGTATCTTGATTTGGAAAAAATATATATATACAATGCATGAAAGAAAAAAGGGTAATTACAAGGGCTCATTTTTGTTTGTTAGATGTAATAGTAATGAGAACTAGCAGACAACTAGCAGTCTGCTAGTTCTCATTACTGCATTGTGCCGCATGCAGTGCATGTGGCACAATGCGTCTGGGTTTGAAAAATAAATTATGCAAGTGGTGCATGTTGTGCAGTGGCACAAAATGTAAGTGAGAGACATATATGACCTGAAAAATAGGCTTTTCTTTAGATGCAGTTTCAATGCAATTATGTGAACAGAAGATAATGTAAGGAATCCCAAGTATGCCAAAAACTCAAATACAAAATGTCAATTAGTTTAAACATGTGGTGCCTCCTATAATAATAATAATAATAATAATAATAATAATAATAATAATAATAATAATAATAATAATAATAATGATGATAATGATGATAATGATGATAATGATAATAATAATGATAATAATGATGATAATAATGATGATAATGATAATAATAATAATAATAATAATAATAATAATAATAATAATAATAATGATAATGATAATAATAATAATAATAATAATAATAATAATAATAATAATAATAATAATAATAATAATAATGATGATTGTTGTTGTTGTTGTTGTTGTTGTTGTTGTTGTTGTTGTTGTTGTTGTTGTTGTTGTTGTTGTTGTTGACTCTCATTTGAACTGGGCAAAAAGTATTCTGGAAAAAAGTTTAACAGAAGGCAACCTGCTACCTCTAGACACACTGGCCTCGACAGCAAACACTTGGTGTCTTTCTTTAATTTCTTTAACTTAAACACATTACACATGCAATTTACACTTGCCGCACACATAGAATCTAATGTGCTCCAGCATGTATGTGGGACATAGTAAATATCAATGCACTTTTCATCGATGCTTTTGCATTTAACGGACCACTTTCGTTTGCATGGCCGCCGCAATGGTACGGGGGCTACGATGCCCTACTGCTGACCCAAAGGTCTCAGTTTCGATCCCAATTGTGGAGATAGCATTTTTGATGGAGGCGAAAATGCCATAGGTTAATGCCATGTTAGGTTAATGTTTAAAAAACCCCAGGAAGCCAAAAACATCTGAAGCCCCCCTACTATTGTGCACCTCGTAATCATACTCCGATTTTGGCGCACAAAACATCAACAATTATTATTATTACTTTGGTTTGCACAGTTGTTCGCAGTAAAACGATATGGACGAGACGGCACTGTATTGTTACGTGTGGAGAAACAAAGACAAGGAAGTCTGTTCATACGATGCACGTATAAAAGCAGAACCATCGGATATCAATATGTACACAAGCTTGTGCTCTGAGCTCTAATTCTCAACTTGCTTAATTCTTCATAAATCTCGTGTTAGTTTCGTCGTAACACTGCGCCAGATTATGTGAAGTACGGTATGCTCTCAAACGTAAAAGGCCTTCCTCGCATTCAGAACTGCAGTGGTCGTGAGAAGTCGGCCAGCGTGACCTGCTTCTCCATGGAGTGTGCCAGTTTCAACGGCAACCGGCCCATCCGCTACTGTGGCCAGTGCTTCCAGGGAAAGCACGCCGGCAACAATGAGCGTGCCAGCCAACACGTGGCTCTGCGACCCATCCCGAGCCCCTGGAGCATGGATCGTGAGACACAGCTCTACTTCGTTGAGGCCATTGTCAGGTCGGGTGCAACAGCCACAAAGCTTGTATGCTTTCTCCGCGTGTTGTAATGCGGTATGATGAACAAGTGACTGGATGTAGTGCTCACGTATAGAATCGCATAATGTTTTTAGTGCAGTGCCTGCTATTAGCAGTTGCTCGTGATAATCGTGTCATGTTGCTTCAGATCTCGCCACTAAAGGTAATGTTAGCTGTAATGTAATGTAAGTCAAAGTTATGCCAAGATGTCCAAGCTTTAGATGCTGGAAACAAAAGCACATGAAGTACCCAGCCCTAAATTTTCGCCCATAGTAAATTTTCATGTTTTGAGTCAATGAGTAGTGCACGCTTAGAAATTAAATATTGCCATGGTTATTGAGACCAAACCATGGATCACGCATTGATATGGGATTTCAGTTTGAGCCATTAGCGCATGAGTTGGCAAATTCAATAGCGACAGCACTTCTGGTGTAACCAGCATGCTTACAAACAAGACAAATGTTCACGGGAAGATAGACGTGAAATGATGAGAAATCGTTGAATATGGCAGGCTGCTGGCGCCATTGTTCTGGCAAGTGGACATGTCCTTGTCAAGGCAACAACCTTGCCCATGAGTTGCTGCTTTGACTAAGACAAGTGCACTCGTCAAAACACACGAGCGACTTTCCGTGTTCAAGGTGGTGGTGGTGGTGGTTGTGATGTTGCAAAGGCGGGGTTAGGCTGGCCTACATGGCCGGCAGCATTTTATCATCGGCAGGCTTATATACTACCTTGGATAGCATAGGGATTTCTTATGAAAGGTTAGTAGTAATAAATAGTTAAAGTTCCTATCGTGATGATCTTATGACACTTGAACGATTAGCTCTGTGCTTAGCAGTTTGCAATTCACTAATCCATTGCTCAAGCACAAATAAGATGCAAAAACTGATTGTTAACATAGTAAACTTGCTCTGAAAACTTTGTGTTCACTCTCCTCCACCTGTAATGCAGTCTTCTAAAGGAGGCCCAGCCCACATCAGACAAAGGCGGCGTACCGGGAAAGGAATCGACGACCGATCGCCACTCACGCTTGGGTGGCCTACTCTCGGAGGGCCCCGAGGAATCGCTGGAATGCATGGCCCAGGAAGAGCGACAATTGCTGAGCCGCTATGGCGTCTGGCTCCTGGTTGGCCTCTGCACACCCGAAGACAACACGCCTCCCGTAATTTGTTTGACACACTTCCATAAATTTAAAGCAAAGCTGTATTTAGCTCGATTCTGGTGGATTGTGTTCATGGAAAAAAAGGCATGCAGAACAATTTCTGCTGAATCGATTAACTAGGCTAATTCGGCATTTTGCAGTTGACAAACAATATGGTCATGGCATAGAAAGTCAGCATTAAAATTATGATATCCCTGACATGGCAGAACGAAGGGATTAATCTTTCCTCAAGGACAAAATTACATGGCTAAAGAAATGAGCTTCATGCCGTTTTGTGCTTTTGAAACAATGGGGTTTTTTATGTACTGCAGCATTTTGTTTCAAGGCTGCCGTTAGATGTCGTTGACGAGGTAATACATATCACATGCAAAAGTACCTCCAAAATCTTTGAGTGCATCTCTTTTTATTTGCTCATTATATCAATAATGATGATACATAAATTCAAAATGGCAATATTCACTTTACCAGTCTAATCATAGTCACATCTGTCCTGGCTACCATCTTCATAGCAGCAGAAGGGCTTTGAATTTTTTCGTTGCTGCATTTGACGAGTGTTGTACAAGTTTACGGCTGAACAGAACTGCGGCGTTTTTTGAGAAACAACTGTGAAATACCATAATATAGTAGAATTCTGCAAAATGTGATAGAGAGAAATGAGTAAGCATTACCATTTATTATCTCTAATTACTATCTTTATGTAACTATTTCTAATTAATGTGATAGGCAGCCATAGCAAACAGTATGTAGCATCACCCAACAGTGATAGTGTTACATGGGTAGATAGAGTAAGATTCTCACAAAGAATTGGTTGGCTTCACGCCAGCTCGGACACTTTTTGCCACTTCAACTCTACAAACGCTGATGTGTTAAAGCTAAGTGGTATATGTAGTTATACCTTCTCAAGCCTTTAGTGTAGAACATGTGTCAACAGTAAATGTTTAGTCACTGCAGCAACATTATTCTTCATTCGGAAGGTGTATTTAAGCTAATTATTAGACTGTCCAGGGGCCTCAATTTTTATATAACGTTGGCGGCAGTTACCGCAGAAAGTATCAAGAAATAACTGCTCGATGTACCATCAAGGAAGTCGTATTTCTTAAGCACTGAGCATTGGTTAAGCAAAGTGCATTGCAATATTCATAGTGAAACCGGAGTTAGCCGTAATCTCGGTAGTCATTAAGAGTAGAAAATGGACCTGGACTGTCCACATAGGTGCATAGGACAGATAACCCATGGTCACTTATAATGGCAAAATGCATGTGATCAGATGAGATATGCAGTTTCAGGAAGGCATGGAGTCAGATAGAGTGACAAAATTAAAGTTGGCAGGAATAATATGGAATTCACATAATATATATAAATGCATAGTAGTAAATGGAATCGAATATACTGTGTCGTCACGACCCCGTGACAATATATGTATCACCTTCTTCCTGGCACCTAGTGCCATTATTTGTCATAGAAATGGTATCAAGTTTTACAGCGAAAGCTGTTTTGAGATACAAGGGTCGCAGTGTGCTGTAGTTTTCCGCCGTCGACGGTGTCCGCAACCACTATCGCACAAAATTAGAAAAAAAAAACTAAATAAAATACACCAAGGACACAATGGAATTTGTACCCGGGTCCTCTGCGTGCCATTCCAGTATTCTACCACTGAGCTCCGCTGGTGCTCGGAACTCCGTTGCAAACTGACCATAGGCAGGCTTCATGTCGGGAAAGGAATCTTGTTATGTGTGTATTAGGGCGCTTAGAACAGCAAAGGAACAGCCAGGCGTCACAGTGTGAATTGCGTAACGAGTGGGTCGTTCAATGGTACGACCCCATTATAATAGCGCTAGGCGTAATTCTTCATCGTCGTCAGCCACAGCATGAAAAAAATTGCTCAGAATTGCTTGCAAGGGTGTAGCGAGTACCACACTTCTACGAAGGATGGCATAGTGAATGCCTTCTTACTACACAAAAATTATGATGATTTAGGGTGCAGTAGGTACCCTGCAAGTGTGTGTGTAGCAGTTACCCAAATGGTGTTTAAAAAAAGCCTCTGAAAGGCCGCTCTTCCAGCTTTCGCTGGGACTATTCTGCGCGTTCCACGCAGTCCTGGTGGCCTTTTTTTTTTTTTTGAATACTGTATAAATGTTTCTAGATTTAAGTTTTGCTGGTCTACTTCATACAGGAAACCCTTGGCCGCCTCCTGGGAATGCTCTTCCAGTGGTTCCACTACACTGCTTGCCTGCCCGATGGTGCGCATCCTATAGGCCAATGTTTGCATGCGATTTGTAAAATTTTGAAAATTTGTCATTGCAGATCAAACAGGAAATTCGCTAGAAAGGCTTAAGACGGAAGTAAGTATGCAGCTGCTTTACTAGTTGTTCTTTTAGGTTGGTTTGTGCTGCTTGGTGAAATAATCTGCCGCTTGCATACTATACCAGATTAGTGCGTTTGTTTACTTGATAAAAACCGAAGTCGATTTTTCATAAGCCTGGACTAGTGTAAGTTGCTATATCGTGAGTTGACCATGCCCAAAGGAATCATTCAAGTCTTTGCATGTTTATATGTTTTTGTCCTGAGACAATGGCATAGGTACACAAAACAGATTCTTTGAATAGGCTTCGTCTACTACTGCTGGTGATAGCCACTAGGTGATGAAATATTCCTTTTGTTTCAAGCTAGACTTGTTATGTTGCGTTCAAGATAAATTCAGCCTCATTTCATCTTGTCAAGTATACTTCGCTGATTTCTTTTCGTGGTAGTGACACAAGGCAAAAATAATGTTCTGAGCATTTCCTCCAGCAATGCAGGCAATACCCAACCTATGTAAAGTATTACATGAACTTGATTGACCCAGCAGGGCTGAATAAAGTCATACCTCCATGTATAGAAGATGAATGTAATGATTTGTCGAAGTAAATGAAGTGTTGCCATCATGCATTGTTCATACTGAATTACGAACATATGTTTAAAATGAATTCTTTAATATAGTGAACCTATTTTGCAGCGTAAGCTGTTCAGAGATCACAACAAGGGTGCTGTAGTTGTCCATCGCCACCGGTGTCCGTAACCGCTAACGCATGAAATAAGAAAGAAAAAAAAATCAAATAACGAAAAAAAGATATCCGGGATAGAAGGGGGGCCAAACTTGGGTCCGCTTCGTGCCAGCCCAGTATTCTACAGCTGAGCCATGCCAGTGCTCGAAACCCCTGTGCACAAAAACCTTACGCAAGCGTTACCTCGTGGAGGCAGCATGCTAACATATGCAATATAACATGGTAATAAGTGTAAAATAACAACCTGGTGTCACCGAACACGAGTTGCATAACCAGGCATCAAACAATACGAATTGCATAACGAGGGGTTCGTTGAGTGCTTGCACCCCGTTACAAAGGACCTTCGCATAACTCTTCATCGTGATAGGTCACCAAATCAATTAATGGAGTTGGGGGTACCTTGCAAACGTGCTTGTACTAGTAGCCCCAAGAGAGTTTGCCTAGGCTATAGAAATGTCGCTCTTCGAGCTTTCGCTGCAACTGGCATTCTTTGTGTCAGATGCAACTTCTTCACAGTGAGGATAGCACTGAAGCATATGGTCTTACCGATGTCATTGCAGTACATCCACGGCTGGCTGATGGACATTGCGCGCACCCACTTCGATGTTTTCGTGTCCTGTCTCCTGCCTCACCCCGCGGAGTATGCTCAAGTTGGAGGGCATTGGTGAGCATTCGATACCTTCAGTATAAATGGAGAATCCCGCGTTCTGGTTTCCCTGGCTTTCGTACTGTCTGCTACAGTCGTGTGAACTGTTTGTCTGGTAGAAAGATCAGTAGGTGAGATAAGAGGAACCACGTAATAGCAGGGCTGACAGAAAAAATCGGCGTGAGGGGTTCTGAGGGACTTGACTCTTCGTTTAAGCACTAGTGCCCATCTCCTCTCGCCGTGTTTTGTCCTGGTTTCTTGGTTATTTACAGCTACATGGTTCTAGTAAACAACAATGCCATGAAGACGCAACACGAAAATAGCCCTTCTAGCCCTTTACTTCGTGTACATTATCTCAGGAACATCAACACATTTCACACGCCTGTTAATGTGGGTCACACAAGGTGGCTCACGGCAAGATGTACTAAATTCTCCTAGCAAATGCAATCCAAGCAGGTTCGCGTGTATAGACCTCTTTTTAACAAGTGGATGGTGCTACAACACCACTGGATAGGAATGGTGGTGCTCCATCCACTGATGCATTTCTGCCATGGTTACTGCTTAATCGACACTTGACTTTTGTTCTTTCTCTTGCCAGGGATAACTGGCCGTGCCAGACTGACCAAATAAAGGAGGGGTTCAAGACACTCCTTTGCCTCGTTCCCTATGACATTATCAACAGAGATGTAAGTGGCAGATTTCTTTTGTTTTGAAGCTTGTGCCACTGTATTCCGTCTTTCCAGAAAGCTATGCGTGTACAACATGTAAACAGCTTTTATATAAGTATGCACTAATGCTGCGTTCTATCTTTAAAGCTTCTTTTTTTTTTTGCCAATGCCTTACCGTAACAATAACAGTATGTCACTTGTTAGTTCTGCTTGTTAGTTTTTGTGAAAGCAGTGACCAATGGAAAAAAAAAAATGAAAACTGTCACCTGCATTAGCACTTTCTATGCACCAGTAGGCACTGTTACACTTTATCTGTCAGCTTATCAGCTGGCATCTTGAGGTACTGCATTTAGATGTGTGTAAACAATGAAATGCAAGCTGCTGTGGCATTGCCTTGTGACTTGACATTCCTCTTTTTCTACTGGGATGGTGTTAGCACTATGTGTGCTAAATTGTATGATGAGCATGGTTCTTAATTGGTAACAGTAGTCTGCTGAATTGTACAGTATTATTATCCAGCTCAGCGATCCATCAACCCTAAGAAAGAATAAAAACTTGCCAAAATTACCAAGAAAATTTTTTCTCAATTTGTGGAGATCTTTTTTTAGCATAAAATAGTACCATTATTTCAATTAAATTTGGTTATTTATTTTGTTAATTGCATTAAAATATAACTCGAAAGTGGTTTAACCGCATGGCCATGCAATGGAAAAATACTATGAAATGAAAGCCGAGGCACGAAAATAGTAGCCCAGCATGGACCATTGCAGCCATCGAGCATCAAGAAACAAAAGTTTGACGAATATAGTTTTCGTTGGTTCTGTGAGGGACTAATTCTTTATGACAGTGTACATTCATAATAGGTCAGGAATCATAAAATCTCATGACAACTATACTCACAGTAGTGAAAAGGTTAAACATGTGACCTAAAAGTAAAAAAAAAATCATTTTCTACACACATTTTTTTTATTATAGTTAAGTTTAGAGAGAGAGAGACTTAGCAGTACAATTAGCAATTGAGCAGTACATATTAAACAGCTTTTCAGGCAGTACTTTTGTTGCACATTTTTAAATTTGAGCCTACTTCATGCAAACATCACCATCTGGGTGGCCAGATACCCACTACATCACAGTAGTTATGGAGGTCTCAAGTGTTGCATGTGCGGGTTCATACCTGCCTGCTCAAGTCTGGTCTGCCTTTAGAAATGTACCATCTGAGTTGCGAAACAAAGAGATGTCATCGCAAGGTTACAGCCGTGTGGTATAAGCATTGTTTTGTGCTGCATAAGCATGTGTTTGCGATCAACCCGCTGATTGAGTAAATATGCTCACCGTTACAATTCAGGTGTGGGAGTACATCATGCCACATTGGATGGAAGCCTTCAGATTCGAAATACCTGAGGAAGAACTTTCCGAACTCAAAATCCTTCTCAGGTATGTCGGTTCATCATAAAATGGTATGTGCACAGTCCAGATTTGGATATTGCATCTGTGACGGCCTATGCATGGGCTTGAACGCTTTGGTGAAACTCTTTGTATTTGCTTTGCAATTAAATTACAGAGCTACCAATAAACAAGAGTTGAAAAGAAGTCTTACAAAAAAATTTACTAAATTTTAGCGGTGACTCATTGGGCTAGCTTAGGGGGTAACGTGTTGCACTTCTAAGCCAGAGTATGTGGGTTTGAGTCCTGCTGCACCAGCCTCGTTCTTGTCAGCGGGTGTGAAATTTCCAAAACCCCTGTGTACTTAGCTGTAAGTGCACTTAAGAGAACCCAGGTGGTCGAAAATTATCCGAGATGCCCCACTATAGTGTGCCTTAGCCATATCGGGTGTTGGTGCGTAGAGGCACAGAAATTATTATTATTAAACCTCAGCTGTTTTGAGTAGTAGAGCAAACAAAGCTGACACTCGGAAGCAAGTGTTTTCATACCAATGGCCAATGTTTTTCTCAAAGCATATGCAGTACTCATAGATGAAAACGTGACATCTTTTTAATTTATTTTTTGGTATGACTACAATGAGTAATTGAGATAACTGCATGATGTCACTGCAAATCTGGCTGCTAAAGGCAATGTTGGCTCTGATGGAAGCATTTGAATGAAAATTGCCCCGATATGAAATAAACCGTAGACGCCAGAAACAAAAGTGCTGTTTAGCATAACTTAGCCCCTATTACTCCCGTTTGAATGTGTGAGTACTGGGCATCTTACCGTCGCATGTTATGGGCAGCACTTTCTGCAGCGGCCGCGAAGAGTGGCCCTCCATTTCGTATTGTTAACTCACGGATTTCTTCCTTGCAGCAAAGTTCTAGATCCAGACCTAAGCCCTTTGGGGTTCAACATCAAGCAGATGTATGGATTCCTGACTGCTCGCTTTGAGAACACCACCGTGCAAGTACAGGAGCAAGCGCTGTACTGGCTACAGGTATGCTATGTGATCAGATGTTAGGCTAAGCCTTCGCTTATAGCTACACGTAGGCCAAGGCTTTTCCTTGCTGATGGCCGTATTCACTTGATAACCGGAAGCTCAGAAGAATATTCACCGACGGGCATGTTTTTACTGATAAGCGTATTGTGCTTCCCCATGAGTGTGTCTGTAGATTCAACAGAACTGAAAAATGCGCATAGAAGACAGCACGAAAACAGGAACAGAGGTGTACACGTGAAGCGAAGTGTGTTTGTGTTCTTGTTTCCATCCTGTCTTTTTCGTGCAGTTTTAAGTCTTGCTGAATCTATTAATTAACTGGCCCAATAACATGCCCTGCTTCAGTATGTTTATGTTTACACCTATGTAAATATTTTCAACTGAACTCTTCAAAGTGTAGCTGCTGGAAAAGCTAACATATGAGCTGAGGCAACAGTTCTTCCTACCACGCTACAATCTGGTGGCAAGGAGGGTCATTACCTGTATTTCGCAAATGGGAGCTATGGTGCTTGCAGCTTACCGAAATATTCTAGCAGGTTACTGAAGTAGCTTGCAATAATGACCTCATTGAGGTTGTGATCTTTCATCATGTTCATCGTTTTATGAGAAAAGATTGATACAATGTTGTAAAACACATACTTCATTATAACAAAGCTGCATCTGAAACGAAGATAACTGTGTTTTAACCGGATATTTTTTCCTTCATTTGTTATATAATTTGTTATATCGAGGTTTTTTGGGCACATCTTGTTTCCTTTCCTTGGGAAGTCAGTGGCGTGCAAACTGGACTGTTGTTGAATGCTACGTTTATAATTGACTCGAGTTGATCTGGATGGGTGAACAGATCCTGACCATGCTGGAGGTTCCGGTGCCCCTGAACCTGCTCTTCTCCATGTTCGCATCCGGAGTGCAAGTTGGGGCACCACCCACTGCAAGTGATGCGACTGCCAAGGAAGGACCTGCCCAAGTCACTGGTCTCACACCCAGGTTTCATCCGCTGAGGCAGGACACCACTGGTGCGTGTGCAGTATTTTTCTTTTTCACTTCTTTGTAATAACGGTCATGTACGCCATGCACCAGTTTTACCTGCTAGAAATCTTTGCATTATTTACCCCAGGTGAAAATATTTAAATGTATTTATATCTTGCTTCAACTGTGTGGTAACTCACCGTAATTCACCGTAACGGTAGATCACTGCGAGTTCAGGCTTAGTCAGCCACAGAGCCGCGTTTTTGTCGCCTGCTCACATGTGGCGCACCGCTTCACGTGCGCTCAACTAGCTAAGCGTTTGGTGCGGCAAAACAGGCAGTGTTTGATGTTAACAGCCACACACAAACCCTTTATTGCCTTTGGCGGCACCCCAACCAAAAATATAATGTCCGCTTCCGGGACGTGGGGAGCAAAGGTTCCCTCACGCGGACGTTCACCAAAAAGGGGACGCCACAAGCACGTCGCAGTTGGCAATGGGGACCTTTGACACGCTCATTGGGAAAAAGTTCCTCACGGCTATGGTGCGCACTCTCGCGATGGCCACTGGGCCTGTTAGTGAGAGTTAGGGCAAACCTCGTACGCGTAGGCCTTTGGCAAGTACGGCTTGTCGCAGTAAGACCACGTCAAGCACTAGGCATTGCTGTTTGGCTTGTCGTAAGGTACTGAAGCTAACACACACGTAAAAACGTCCGCTGGGGATGCGTAGGCACCTAGGCAGGCTACAGTACGACTATCCCCAAAGGAGACGCGGATGAAGGAAAGCATGTGCTTACCGTGCGCCGGCCAAGGAGAAGAGAACCATCCCGGCACGCATGTCGCTGGGTCTCGCAGACTCTTGCAGCATGCGCAGCACCAAGAACATGCGTCCTCTCCACGTGTGGCGCCATCTATCGGCAGGTGCCGTCACCAGAGCACGAGAGAAGGAATGGGAGCGGCAGTGCGACGAAAATGCCCACAAAATGGTAGCTGGTGCGCCTAAGATCTTCACAACTGGAACCACCTTGCTGCAGCTGGAAGCCAATAGGTTACCAAATGATTCCAGTTGGTCTCTAGCAGGAACTATTCCCAGACTGGAAATGGAACCAACGGGAACCAGTTAGTCTCGAAACTGAACCAGCTGGAACAATTTAGCCTGGCAGTGGGAACATGAAACCATTTCGTCTGAAAACCAGCTAGAACCAGTTGTTCTGAAAATAAATGAAACCACGTGACTTGGCGTCAGAATGTCCGTGCTTGTTTCCAAGTTCGCTACTGCTTACCCTGTATTTATGATTACTGTACCTTTATAATTACGGCAAAGCTGTATATTGTAAGGCGGAACCAAAATTCTTCCGTTCTTACGTGTGAACGAACTCCTAGTGTGTGTGTGTGTGCCACGGATTGAAGGCTCGCTACTCACCACTGGTCTACTAAAGATGTAGAAGTTGTCCACGGGCAAAAACGCTTGTGCTACAAAAAGAGAAATAAATAACTATTGTCTCGCCACTGCTCCACTAAATACAAATTAGGGAACACGCAGGCAGCAAATACCCATTAAAAGATCTGGACAGACGAAAGTATAGTTAAAAACAATTTAATTAACGGTCGAGATTAACCCAGTGATGAACAATGGGAGCACAATTTTTAGCTTCGCCAGTTGACCATCTGTACGAAGTGCTTAGGGGGGGGGGTTTCTTGGAGGAGGGAGGGGGGGACTTGTGAGTTTTTTTCTAAACTGTCATGAAACAAATATTGTTTCTCTCGACTCAATGGTTTTTATACCAGCCTGAAGCCTAGGATTCAATGCCAGAAGATGTAATGAACCCCGAAGAAGTTCTTGCTCAAGCATTTCCAACTGACATTTACCATGAATCGTAACCCTACTGAGGAGATAGGACCACTAAAGAAATAAATGAGGGAGCTTCCAAACTACAGAGTGGAATACTGACAATTGCGTGTGTCATCGCTCAACGTGCAGCTCGACCTAACAGATGCAGCGAGCAGTCTCAATAAACATTACTCAACAAACATACAGCTGTGTACATGTCAGTGTACTCAACAGGCTACTGCCACTGCACGCAACTGTTTTGCCGTTCATGCTCGCTCAATTGTGTGCAGGTACCATGCTTGGTAGCCTTGGCCTGGACTGCGACCAGCTTCCCAGCTTCCTACCCGAAGATGCGCCTCCCCGCGAGGAGAAGTCTGATGCCGAGGTCACCCTCAGCTGCCACATACTCATGGTCGACATACTCATCAAGCAGGCAAGTTCGACGATCATGACTACCCCCTATTCTTCAGTGGGCCAGTAGAGAGGAGAAACAAATTTGACCTTGTAACCCTATTTTGCAAACAGCACATGCGAGCTTCAATACAGTCAAAACCCTTTATAAGGGACACTAATGTAAGAGACATCGGTGTGCCTACGTTGAAGAAGGGGTCTAAAAAAAAATGCGTATGCGGTACCCCGTATTTAAGAGACACCTCATACAAAAGACCAGAATCGCTGCCCAGCGCATGTTTCTTATGAAGGGGTTAAACTGTATAGGTATATCATGTAATGTGACGACGAACAGCTCTAAAAACATCGCAAGTAAAATGCACAAACATAGCACCCTTAAGTGAGAAATGTACATGTCGGTTGCTTTTGTGGAAACTGGCTGCGTCAAAGTGCAATGCATTGCATGTATACCGGCTTAGGAAAGTGCTTAAATAGCTGTGGTTCCTACGCGTAACTCTGGAATTGCTGTAAAATGTGTAATGTGAAATTAGATAGTAAATAGTTTTACTGGTGGTAAATGGTTTTACTTAGAAAGAAGTGGTTAACAGAAAGTTGTTTTTCCTGTTTACTTTTGCGATAGGTGCAAAAGGCGTGGTCTGGGGTATATGATGCCACTAGGTCGTGGTGGCTTGCCTAATGTGGTATACTTCATCCACATGCCTGTGCCTGTACCCTTTCTTGCGCCTGTTTCCGGCGATGTCTATTTCAGTAATGCTTTGATGGAATGATCTGTGAGTGGAACAGGAAGCACCTACATAGTACTGAGCGAGTTCTTATGACCAAGAGCTGAGATATTTGGCAGGCAAGAAGAAGAAGATAAAGTTTAATGTAGAGAAAGAAGAAGAGGTCAGCTTGGAATGCAGGTCTCTAGTCGGCTACATGGAGGCTGAGGGGGAAAAGGAGAGGAAGATGAAGGTATGATGTCAGGTGGCCGTGGTATATTAGTACTACGAGTCACTGTGCACACACTTGGATGTAAAAACAGTGTAAAAATATAAACAAGGATGAAAGAGACGACAAGGCGCTGAACTCACTACTAAAATTTATTTAAAGGTACACACATACTGTATATCAGGCAGAGGACCTAGTCACATGACACACCATGGCATCTGTGCTGCTGAGCAAACAGGGTACAAAAATGATCTAATCATGGATCTAATCTAAAATCTAAGCTAATCTAAAAGATATAATCAAATTTTAGTTGCGAGTTTAGCGCCTTGTCGTCTCTTTCGTCTTTATATTTTTGCACTGTTTTTACATCCAAGCATGAACTCCCTACTAGCCCAGCTTTTACTTCTGTACACACACACTGTCCTGTGCAGGGATGCACACTATACATGCAAAAGTTTTATACCGTAGCACATGATAAAAGGATAGCATATTGGGCATAGTCTACATGTTTTCAAGTATCGTAAAGGGTAACGTATGCAGATACGGACACAAAAGAAGAAAACATTAGGCACTTGCGTTTATTGTTTTCTTCTCTCGTGTTTGCATGCCTTAACTTTTATGGTGCAAGTGCTTCATATATTTGTCTACGGTCTAACGAGTTCTGGTTGTTGCTACGTATGTGCAGCTCGAGCTGCAAGAGATCACCGCCCACCGGGGCCTGGCCACGAACGAGGCTCGTGAGATCCTGTCCCTGCTGCACGCCATGCTGAGGTTCCCGCGTGAACAGCATCAGTGCTGCCAAGCTGGCTGCGCAAGAGGTGCGGCCGGGGCGGTGCCCGTGGCGTGCCTCTTCTGTGAGATGACCGCCATCTGGTACCAGCTGGTACTGGCGCTGGTAGAGTTCTTCTGCCCCGTCATGGAGGTTGCCATGGCTGATGTGAGCACTGGCCACTCTCGCCTGCATGGGGTAACTAACTGGTGCTTGTGATTGTGGGACTGTCCTCCACGGTATAACTCTTTCGGCACATATGGGTTTAGCCTTTGGTACACATCTTGACCCAGGATGAAGGAAGGCAGACATGGCACGAGCACCGAGTTGTGACTATAGTTTAGAGCATACAAGATACGTTTAAAGCAGCAAGTGCGTAGTTTGAAAGTGAAAAGGAAGATTGAAATTCTTATGTGATTAAGCAGCACAATGAAATCATGACAGTTCTTTTTCTTTATCTCTTTTTTTTTTAACTTACTTTTGTTCACTGTGGCTAACTGCCGAGGAATCGCTAGTTGTTGGTCATGCTTGTTTCATGTGTTCATTCTAGCTCCCAGTTTTAGTATTCTTCCTCTCATACTATCGCTTCCTCTCCTATTAAGTATCTGAAACTTCAGATTTTCTATGGAGGCTTCCCTATATCTGTGCTATCTAAAACTATGCTTCTTGTGCAGTATAAAATATTGTAAATGATCGCAGCTTCACCTTTGCATATTTTTTCAAAAAAATGGCAGCTGACGCAGCCGATTGGCCAGGCTGGACAACTGTGATCCAGACTGTACTGCATAGCTGTATGCTGCGCATGAAAGATAGCATGTACACGTTCACGTTTCGCCGTTTCGCTTGCTTGTTCTTCACAGATCCCCACGGATCCATCAAACATGGCCAACAGCCACCCACCCATCTCGCCCAAGCCACTTCTCAAGGAGGACACGCAGAGGTCATCTTCGTCCACTCCTCCGCACAGGACACAGCCAACAGTAGCCCCTATGACAGCCATCAAGGAGCCTGCGATACCAACTGTTCCTGAGAGCCAAGTCCGTTGTTTTCTTCCTTTCAATGTAGTGCTGTATGTGTGTGTATGGACACATGAGTTTATAATTTGTAGTGAAAGGTTGGCAATAGCTGTTCATCTTTGAGTGTTGTTATTACTTTCTTATAAGTAGTCCTCGAATTACAGAACTGAGTAATCTTTGGGCCGAAAGACGTCTAGAAGGTGTTTATATTGAATACTTCCCAGACTCTGGCACTGCTCACGATGTAATCTTGTTGAAGTAATTTCTTATCACCTGCTAATGCTATGCAAGCAAGATTTTTATTTGTTGATATACCTCAGTAAGATGCCCAATCACGGTCTTCATGTCATAAATGAAGTAATTATCTGTTACGCCGAATCTGCTTTTGCCTGACAAAGCCTGAAGATGAAGCTTTTGCGGTGGGTTCGGGGATATTGATGGTACGTCATGCACAGTTCTGCGCGCATCTGATTTCGTATCCAGAATAACTGCTTTACGTAATTGCTTATGGTATCATGTCATGTTCAGCATAATGTAAAAGAGGTCTTAGGAGAGCATACATAGAAGTATTGCCATCATTGCCCACTAGTTACCTAGCGAGGAAAGGCATACATACTGGTACTAACGCAACTTGGGCTGCTTCGGACACACATCGTTGAGTACCCTGAAATAAATAGAGGAAAGAGTACAACATATATCTCAAAATCTATTTTTCTAGGATGTGTTTGTATCACTCTCTGCTTATCAAAGTTTCATGAGCATTCTGGCATAGCATGGCTAGTTCACTTTATAGTTTGTTTCAACTTAAGTAACATGACGCGACTGTATGTCTCGGGCTCATTTGTTTATTTATTTAGAGATACCCTACAGGCCCCAGGAGTCATCATGTAAGGAGAAAATAATCTGAGATTATAACATATAGTGCACCAACGTGTGTGCGTATGTGTATGTGCAGGAAAGTCCCGAATCGTTGGTCGACATTGAACCAGCATCGCAGCCTGTCGAAATGCCAGCTGTCATGACAGCTACCTTGGAAGAGTGTGCAGGTCACTTGGACACAGTGGCCATTATGCCCACAGAGCAAGTGGTCACCGCGTTTGCACGTGCTGTCACGCTCACCGAAGATGACGTTCGTAAGTGCGCACTTCATTTTACATCCATTCTGTGGCTGTTTTTGCTTGCATCGTGAAGCTTTAAAAATTTAATCCCAACTCAAATGAAGTTTATTTGTGTGGCTTGAATTTGCACCTAGGGCTTGTTGCTGTATTATTATTGATGTTTCGGTCCAGTACAAAAGACATGCAGACAGATCGACAATTAAGAAAACACATGCTTGCACGTGTTTCTTGCAACGTCTCTTCCAACATCACTTTGTTCTCTGAAACACAGCTACACTCCCGGTATAATTACATCTCAGTTGGGGCATTACAAAGGCATGTGCAGTAGCTTACAAACATTAAGGCATCTTTAGCTTCTGTGGGAAATTTCGGTTATGCACTGGCAGTTTTAAATTGTCATGCAGAAGTATTACACTGCAAGATTATTAAACCATGATGTTTATTAATTGCACAGATGGAAGCAAAAAAAATGAAGGCCGAATACAAGCTAGTTGGATGCTATTTCGCATTAATGCAGGGTGTTCATTTTAATGTGGTGATAGTTTGGCCGAGTCACGATCGTAAGTTGGAATAATTCGTAGGTGAGCAGAAAAGTGAACTTCAGATATTGGATTTTTGACCAAGATGCATCATCTCTTTGTATGTTTTCTGCAGCTGAGGCAAAGTGTACTGTTGCATCGGCAACTCTGGTTGACGAGAACGATCGGGCTGTGGTCGCACCCGAACCAGCTGAAGACTCGTCGTTCTGGCACACAAGCCAAGGGAAATTTCGCTTCACGATTGATGAGTTGCCGCCCCAGCTTCGGCTCGTCTACGTATTATTGAAGGTACGTGTCTAGAAAATCGTTTAAAAATGCCTGTAAGGAATCAGGTTGTGATGCATATGACTACTGTGCAATGCTTGCTGCTTAGATGTTTATCAGACAGTAGATGTTGATCAGAAAGTACTTGTCTACCTGACCTGGTAATTGTAATGGTAATGGAAGTAACGAAGGAAAGGAGTATGAAGAGCATTAGCAGTTCAGTAACTTTACACATTGCTGTTGTCTAGTAGTTATAACTTCAGTGTCCTTCTATGATAAAGAAGTCAAGTTTCTATGTAACTCGCAAATGTAGGCATGAGCTCGTGTATTATTGTGCATTAACTATGAGTCTGCACTGGGTACATGATTCTGTGTGTGTGTGAGCTGTCTCGGAAAAAATGTTTCATTTAAGATTGTCGTATGTATTTTTAAATAAACTTTCATTTGAATATGAGCACCCATCCTGTGCTATTTCCTCTTTCTTGTGTCCACGGTTTAGAAAACTGTGCTGTGTTTTGAATGATTACCAACTCACTTAACTGTAAATTTTTCTACGGTGACCATGAATACGTGGACAGACAGACAAAGAACTTTATTGGGCCCTGGGAAACGCTACTCCTTTAGAGCTACGTTGCAAGCCGCTCCCCCGTAGGAACAGAGTGGAATTGAAATTGCTTACATAATCAAGGAACTATATTGATAAATGCTTAATTAGTTAAAACTGCCAAATTATTTTTGCGGAACTATCTTTTGTCTTGGTGTTGAATAGTTCGATTTCTGTGTTCTGGCAGGAAATGGCCGTACACGAAGATGCTGACGTTTTGTATCACCTGCTGACGTGCCTCAAGCTACTCAGCCTGCATGCCGAAGTACTGAATAAAGCTGCACACGACCACCGCGGATTCCTAATCTGGTGCCAAGAAAACCTCCTGGTTGCCAAGTTAGTCTCCTTGTCTTGCACTACGTGTCGTAATTGCATTTTCTTTTTTGTTCTACAGCTTTCTCTAAACCTGCTTATTTAGAAAGGTACGAAAAGAGCTCTGTGCATTTTGAAAGTGCGTTTGTGGTACGTAAAGCATGCCAGTTTTGTGGCACGTAACTCAAACATTCCTCAAGTCGTTCTGTAATTACGAACATAGCGAGATGTCATGTGCTCCTTCTTTGGTAGCTGCACGTTGCCTCTTCAGTAATTACAGCGATGCTGACAGTCGCACTCTGATTTCACCACCGGAAGAAATATGTGATCGGTTGTAAAAGCAGACAAATCCGCCTTTTCACGCTATTCAAAAATATTGTCCACTTAAAGCATTCGATTGGTACTGTAGAAGATTTTAATAAGAAAATGTAGAAGCATTGAATTTTCAGTTTCTGGCAAGTTCGATATGCTGAAGGTATAATAGTAAACAACCTTGGTGCAAAGCCAAAGATGCAGTTTGGAAAATTGTCTCAAAATGATAGCTCTGCTAAGAGAAGTAAAGAGACCCTGGCGCACACTCTTACATTAATTGAATGGTTGTCATGCAGTGTGACTCACACCAAGTGTCTTAATCTGATAGCGTGCTGAAGCACAAGTTGTGAGTGCACTCAATGTGAGTGCATTCTCACACGCATGCATGTCTGCAGCGCTGTTTTGATGCTCTCTTTGCATTGTTGCTCTGTTTGCATGTTTTCTTCTATGCAGTCTTTGGAAGTTGCTGCAGGCAGAGTTCTCGCAAATTGCCCGCCTGTGCGTGCCACTTCTCCTGCACTGCGTGACACTGCCCAGTGGCATGGACATGTTCTGGAAGGCGGTCGAGGCCGACTTTCACAGTGAGAACTGGAGGGATCGCTTTGCTGCCGGTAAGTACAAAATTATAGCTGAATAAGAATTATCTTTCAAAGAGAGAAAGGAAGTTTTAAACTTTGTTTCCTAGACCAGGCCGTTTACACCTGCAGGTAGGCAGCCACCTCAGTCCGCATAGCCATGAGCTTCAGCTGATAGCCTATCCCTGTTCACAAGCTGTTGCTGGTCCTCGGGATTCGCAATAGTATTGAAAGTTGGGCTAGTTGGTATGGCAGCATTTTTGTGTACAGCGAGAGATCGACGAAGACGAAAGGGAGGCAGACGAGCATATGGGATTTGGTTCGTCGCCTCCCATTGGTCCTCTATTTGTGGCTGGATAGGTGTTGTCTGCAGATTCGTGTTACATTCCCAGACAATGTGGTAGAGTGTATTTGGCAACTTGCAAAACTTGCAGCTCCTTTTATATGTTAAATGATACTTTGTATGTAACAGTGTATCATGCAAGTGACTTGAAATCGACTCAGTGTGTACTATGCGTATGTGTGTTTTTTTGTAGTCTGAAAGAAATTCACCAAAATTTCTTGCTCGTCGTGTGAAGAATGTCTGTGAATTGGCAAGTTTGTGCAGTACTGTGCATATGGGTTGCTCATTTTTCTGCCAGTGGTAAACCGATCGGCATATGGCTTGCCCGGAATAAACATTGCGAGGTTACGACACAAAGTGAAGGAACAAGTCCAAACAACACAGCGAAGTATTCGATTGTGTCAGTCTACCACTGAGTGTCCTTCCTTTATATAATATTTTCCTTAATTCCACTAGTTAATATGCTTGTTGTGTGTCTGTGTACCTCTTCATTGTGAGGATATCTGTGTAGCTCTTTGTTTCTTTAGTGAAATAATCCATAGGTGAGCAGAAAAGTGAACTTGAGATATTGGATCTTTTGACCAAGATGCATCATCTCTTTGTATGTTTTTGCAGCTGAGGCAAAGTTTTTCTGTGTTTGACACAATATTAATGAGATCTAACTGACAATAATGCCAATGAAATTATAAGGGAAGTTATTAGGCTGAATTGTAATGTAATTGTTAATAAAGATAAAGGTGGGTGAAAAGATAACTTGCCGTGGCAGGACGAACCTTGACCTTCGAACACGGTTTCGATTCTCGACCACTGACTACCACGCAGCCATCCCCCCACCACTTTATTGGTATAATAATTTAATCGTGTATTATATATATTGCTGAAACAAGCATAGCAAAATAATAAGCCGTAACCTGCCATTTCTCTTTTATGTTTTTTATACTGCTTTCTCATGAGAAAGGTGACCATGATAGCGCACTTTGTGGAACCCAATACGGTCAAAAATAGCCCACTGCTGCAGTCGTCGCTGCTGAATGCGTTGTTGCCTACATTGTCCCTGCCTGGACGCATCGCAGCCTCGGTGGCCGACGCGCTGTTTCACTGGACAGCATCAAGACAACGTCTCTCAAGGTAGGCTACCTGGTTGAACTTACCTGTTCACGTCAACAGAGGAATGACAGTAGGGTCTAAGAATCGGATAAAACGTGTCTTGAGCATAGGATCTCTTATTGTTGAATTCCTTGCAATCTTCAGCTAGAGGGTGTAATATGCCTGAGAAAATTTAAAAATACAGAGCATGTACTCAAGTTGCTGGCAAAATAACGAGTTCGTAATATGGATCGTCAACTTTTTTACTTACTTTTTGTCGGGACACGCCTGGAACTTCGATTTCCTCTGTACTTTGTGCTAGAGTTTCCTTGAGCAACTTGGAATAACAACCCGCCACGGCAGTTTAATGGTTTTCGATGGAGGCGAAAATGCTTAGATGCTTAGAAATACTTAGATTGAAGTGCATGTTACTGAACCATAGGAAGTTGGAATTTTTTGAGCTCACCACTATGGCGTCTCTCATAATCAAATCTTGGTTCTGGGACATTAAGCCCCGAGAATTATTGTTATTATTAACTTGGAATAACAATATGTGTCACACCTGTAACTGTGGGATTCTTTGTCTCAGTACCAACTCAATCCGGAAAAAAGATTGTCCATCATAGAAAAACGTTAGGCGTGCAGGCATTCGTTGCTGTTGTATATTACTACTTGCCTGTACTTGTGCCTGCATGCATCGTTCTACGATGAATCCCGACCATATAGGTTAGCATTCTGTTGTTCAAAGGATCAGTGAACTAGTACAGCAACAAGCCTTGTTAACGCTTCGTTGCGCAGCACATTTAGACATTTACACTTGCAAATTTGTTTAGGCTAGAGATGGACAAATAGTGAACATTAGGTTCAAAGCGAATGCAAAGCGAATAGTATTTGTTTGAATAATTTTGAATTGAGTAATTTTAGTATATATCACATATATTAAACAAAAATTAGCATTTTTTGTCATGACCCAACCAACTTGCACAACAAACTTAAGAATTTTTGTGAGGCATGTGCGAATATCGCTTTCTTGGTTCGAAGTAAAATGGAATTAGCTTCAAATCGTAGCGAGATTTTAATAGCAGCTGGGTAAAAGGGATAAGTGGTTTATATTCCAGTATAAACATATGAGCCATACAAGCCAGAATAAGAAGCTTTCAAACATAAAAATAAATCAAGGTGAAGCTAATATGCCCATTCAAGCTTGAAGTGCACCTTAACAGCAGAATGAATTTTTTCTGGGTAAGTGGTTTCTTGGCACAGTGAAACTACTTTTTAGGGAGGTTTCATGTCAAGTATTCGTGTATTCTTTTGTTTTGAATACCTGGAAATTTCAAATGATTTAAATTTGTGACTTAGTGAATTCAAATACTGTAATATTTAAAGTGCTGAAATTATCGCCCACATCTAGTTGGTGTTCAAAAGATATGAAACATTGGTATACAAAAGTAAAGACCTGATGCTGGAACGAAGATCCTGTGACAGAGCAGCTATTGTTAAAGGGACATTAAAGGCAACTATAAAGTCGACGTTGATTGTTGAAATAGTGGTCCAGAAACCTCGTAGTGTTACTTTTGTGCCAAGGAAGGGCTTATTTTAAAATAAAATCACATTTTAGAGGCCTGCATCGGATTTGCGCACTTCAAATTACCCGCCTCAAGAAGCGGTCCTACTCGTGTCACTGTTGTTGTGCACAACGTTGCTCAGCTTTACTGCGCGGTCGCCGACACTAGTAGACAGAACAAAAGCAGCAGGAGCCACAGCAGCAACAACGACCATTGATCAATTTCCTGCCATTGGCTCTGAGATCGCAGATGTGTTTTGGTTCAACTGAACTCCGCTATATGGCACAACCTGTCCAGTTTAGTCACGCGAAAATTGAATTTTCAAACCACTCACGCCATTCTCCGTAGTGACGTCCGGCAGTTCTTTTTTTTCATGAATCGAACAGAATTGAACAAGCAGCATTTTATTGCGTCTTTGATGCACGGAAGGTTCTTTATTTAGTGGTTCTAGATCGATTACTAGTGACTAATTGTAGGCGGTTTGTCTGACGTGATCGGTATCATTTTGAGAATGTCCTACTGCGGCGCACATATTCTTGTGCATTTACCTTAATTTCTTGATAAGTAGGGCACTGCTGTTAATAAATGTATTGTCATTTAAGATGTTGTCAGTACATTGAGCTTGCACTGTGACATAAATTACTATTTGACTATAGTGTCCCTTTAATGTTGCCTTCTCCACTTGGCACTCTGCAGCTGCTGGTGTGGTGCCTGGAGGCGCAGTTCGACACCGTGATCTTGGACCGGCCCATGATCCTTCAGACTGTGTTTCAGCTGTACAGCCACCTGAGCGAACGGCGTTTCCTCACGTGGGACTTTTTCCTGAACCGCTTCGACGCCCTCTTCATGGAGGCTCAGATCAGCCTCGAGAGGAGTGGCGAGATCAGCTACACACGAGGTGCATGCTCTTTGGCCTAAACATATTGTCATTTGCTGCGTATTCATGCCAGGCTGAATGAATGAGTATTAATTTGCAAATGACTTTGCGCAGTCCGCAATTCCTAGTTAGGCCCCTCCAATCGAACTACATTTCTTTTGGCAGATAGCATAGATTCTCTTGGCATGTATGCAGTAGTTTTTGACAACTAAATGTAAACATGTCACACAGCATGTAGAAATAATACCAGCAGGCAAAGTTCTTAGAATAGTACCCAATATATCATGTAGTTTTATTTTCTAATGATCTTTATTTTTATAAGACCCTCAAGGGGACATTACATAAGAAATGGGTGATTATACAATCGGTATCATTGTCACAGTGATCCATGTGAAGTTAGATTTTATGTGCTATGCGTGACTATTGATGGGCAGGCGATGCTGGCAACGATGTGGGAAAGGTCGTTACAGTCTTTTGCTGTTTCGGGAAATAAAATTATGTAGAATATACCAAAGCAGGCAGTGCAGAATTTCTGGGAATTCCAAGAATCACTAGGGCGGCGAAAGCTGAAATCAGTGCCTTGCATGAGTTGAGACCACTGCGACTAGAGCAGACGGAGGGACATGTGCATACAAGACCAGCTGTCCACGCTGTATACACTCCTCTTTTTTTCAAGGCTGTGGCGGGCCCACAACCCACAGAGTAATACAGGTTCCAGCTCTCAAGGCTAACATGAACCAGTCGCTGATTTGTGGACTTGCCTCTTGAGGAAAAAAACCACCAGAAAACATCAGAATCTAGCATCATAGTGAAGATAAAAAGCTGTTATACTGTAAACACTTACATATAAGGATCTAATTAATTGTTCGGTGTAACATTTAGTTGCCGCAAGTGCATTTGTGAGACAGTTGCATCCCATGATAAAGAACTATTAACTGTGCTCTGTTTAACTAATTAATTACCTTATTGCTTCCGATACAGACCTGAAAAACAGCAACAAGAACAGCGAGGTGTTCCAGCGCAAGCTGAACCGAGCTCATGAAGCGCTGTCATTGACGCGTTCTGGCCGCACGCTGACGTCTAGCTTGGGCACCAAGTGGCCCTACAAGCGTGCCATGTCTGCCCCTGGAGGCATGATTTCACGCCAGGACAAGATGGGTGCGTGCATTTGTTTTTAGCACCTTACACCTTCTACTCTTGAGTTCCAAAGTTTATTGAAAGAATATGTACTGAATGTAACAGAATTTCTAACAGCAGAGCTATATAAATTTTTCATTCTCTCGTTTCGCATGACCAAAAAACTCAGCTGCTCCTGGTGTGTGCAACGCAATAACTCGGCCGGCACGCGCTATCTTCATCCTCTTCTTTATCTTAGGATTGACTCGAAATAAAGATAGTTTGCTCTTGGCAACGTTAATTCGAGTAATGGAGATAGTTACAGTATATTTATTTTTATTGTCTAGTACTTTGGCAAATAATGCTTGTGAGCGGCATGCCCATCGTGATTATCACGATGGATGTGCAATGCTCCAATGTATGTGCCTTCTGAATAAAACAAAAGAGAAGTACTGAACAGATAAATGAAAGAGAGAGAGAAAGTGAGATTGATAGCACACAGATTGATACCATACTAATGAACCCCAAGCTAATTAACACAGTCCTAATTTAGAATCATGCTAATTAAGACCTTGCTAATAATTTAGGTTGGCCACAAGCTCCGCTGTTATTCCAGCCTTGCACCACTGGTGCAAGCTGCGTGCATTTTTTTCTGGTAAATGGCAAGGCAACACATTTCTATTTAGAACATAAGTGCACAGCTTATTTGCTCTTTAAACCAGGTGTAGTAATGGAAGACATTTATTTCCAAAGAAAGGCTTCTCTAGAGCACGTGCGTAATGTTCTCACTTCTGGACAGATAATGAAGGGAATTGAAAGAACAGAGGAACACGTATGTTGAAACTCCAGTGCAAGACCCAACATTGAGTTTATTTATAACTTTTATTTATTCAAAATACCTTACAGACCCAACAGGGCATTGTGTAAGGGGAGCATAAAAGGAATACTTACATGAATTGGTACAGTTTCCATACAAACAATAACATGAACTAAATGTCAATTATTATACAAGTCTTAACAAGTCTTAACAGGAATAACAATGAGAAAATATTAATAATAATTTCAATAGGAATAGAACTGCAATGAACGTCACATGAGTATACGCGTGAGATAATGATGTAAAACAAGCTACAAAAAAAAAAAGCACAAATTGTGAAAAGACTTTGCATTATTCAAAAGAAAACATCACTGAATAAAACAGAACAGAACTGAATTGCATGTTAGTATTCAAACCATCAAACAAAATAAGGTTAAAGCAAGAGAAAAAAAAGCGAGATACTAGTAGTGAATAAACGCGTAGGTGCCGATTTTGATATGAATAAAACGAGCAGTTAATCCTTGAAATGGGTGAGTAGAAGGTGCCGGAATTTTTTCCCGATTGCGTTCTGCTACGATTTTATCTGGAAGGCTGTTCCACATGCGGATGACACAGGGTAGTGCAGATGAGTTAAAAATGTATGTTTTACCGTATACGCGTGTGAATTAAAGATGATTATTTAGTCTCTTTCATGTAAATGCAGATGCTTGCAATGTCATTGATAATGGCCTTGTTTCATGTACGTATTTATGGAATAATGAAAGGAGGTTTAGATCACGTCGGCTGCTCAAAAGGGAAAGTGATAAGCTTTTTTTAATTTGTGTTATGCTTGCGCTATGATCGTAGTTTTGTGAGATGAATCTAGCAGCTCTATTCTGGATCGATTCCAGCATGTTAGTTAAATGCTGTAATGAGGGGACCAAACTGCACAAGCTAATTCTAGCTGAGGGTGAACAAAGGTTAAGTAAGCTAAAGCACGTATATTTGTGGGCGTCTTACGTAGATTGCGGCGTATGTAGCCTAATGATCGTGAGGCATCACTGCAGATGTTGGTGATGTGGGTAGTCCAAAAAAGGTTAGAGGTGAAGGTTACATCTAAATATTTAAAAGAATCAACACTAGATACGGGATTGCCATTAATAAAGTAAAAATCTCAGAGTTAGAATGTTTGCGAGAGAAGGACATTACTTTACATTTACTTGAATTAAGGGACATTAGCCAACTATTACACCAATTGCTGATGAGGTCGAGGTCATTTTGAATTATTACGTGATCACAAGTACTAGTTATTGCTCAGTAAATTATAAAGTCGTCAGCGAAAATGCGTACTTGTGAGGATAAATTACTTGGTAAGTCATTGATATAAATAAGAAAAAGCAGTGGATCGAGAACACTCCCTTGCGGCACACCAGAACAAACGTATTAAAGTGGGGATGAAAAATCATTAACAATGGTGAATTGCTGCCGGTTAGTAAGAAAGTTCCGTATCCATGACAGAGTTGATGAATCTATACACAAAGAGGAGAGTTTAGAGATTAAGCGGCAGTGAGCAACACAATCGAAAGCTTTGGAAAAATCTAGAAAAAGACAGTCAATTTGCAAGTTTTGATCTAAGTGATGGTGTAGGTCAGTCGTGAATTCGAAAAGCTGTGTTTCGCATGATAGGACCTTTCTAAATCCATCTTGGTTTGGGAAGAAAAAGTCATTCTGCTCTAAGTGATTGTAAATATAGGAGGCGATTATATGCTCAAGCATCTTACAGCAGATGGATGTCAGAGAAATGGGTCTGTAATTTTGTGGTGAGTTTTTATTGCCGCTTTTAAACACGGGGATGACCTTTGCAATTTTCCAGTCATGTGGAAGCTGTCCTGTTGATAGTGATTGCTGAAAGATGTGACGTAATATTTTACTCGAGGGTGAGGCTGTACTTTTTAGTATCTTAGTGTTAATCTCGTCAACGCCTGCTGACATGGACAGTTTAAGATTATTTATTATAGATGCGATTCCATCAACAGTGATTTCAATGGGCTGCAAAAAGGGATAGTCAAGATCGGCTACATCGGGGACGTTTCTATGATCTTCAGCTGTGTAAACTGATGTAAAGAAAGTATTGAAAGCGTTAGGACAGTCTTGATCTGGAATGGGAATGTGGTCGTCATTTCGCAATGTTATTTTGTTATCGTGACGTTCTGGGCACACTTGTTTCCAAAACTTCTTAGCGTTAGTGATGAGCAGTGACGGTAGATCATGAGAAAAATACTTATCACGGGCGGCGCGTATCGCGGAGCAGTAGATGAATGTAGCCATTCACTGACTTAAAAAAGCTAAAAAAGCTGTGGCCTGGGCCGATGTGGCTTATTCTTAGACAAATTTACCATAGTAGAAACAGCTAGTTTGAGCACAGCTTGTACTTCTAGTTGAAGGTTTAAAAACTTAGGAGGGGATTTTTCTAAGCGAATGAAATTTGTTCTGCAGGTTCTGATGATGTGTTAATGAGTTCATGGTGTTCATTAATAGAGAGTTGGGCTGGCTGCTATGGGACTAGGAGCAGATGATCAGATGCTTATAATAAATGTTGTTGGCTGCTTTTTCTTTTGACAAGTGTAATGCAGCTAGTTATTACATTGTTCCTTTGTTTCGCAGTTGTGGACAAGGAGAAGATTTATGGGCGCCAGTCCTCAGCTCCTGTACTCAAGAGGAAAAGCTCTCGGATGAGCGCTGCTGGAACATTTAGTGGATACCCTTCTATGCAGCATTTTCCAAACAGCTTTTTTCCGGGTAAGAAACAGTCCTAAGATGAACTGTGTGCTCCGGCCGGAGCGTATGCCATATTGAATAGTAGTTGTCTTACACAAGTTTGCATTGCATGATATAAAGTTAAACAGTAACAATATCTTTAGCTACTGCACCAACATAAAAAGCACAGCACAGAAGAGAAAGCACTCTATACAAGCACCTCTCCTCCACTGCATTATACATTTCTTCCGTGCCTCAGAACAGTCGAAAGGTACCTTTTGCGATAATGCTTCCAAGGTTTGACAAGCACTGTTTTGTTGTACACTTGAACCTCATTATAACAAAGTCACACCTGCTACAAAAATACTTTGTTATATCCAAAAATTTGTTATAAACATATATTTACAGCATTTTATCTATGACAGAGCTATTCTTCATTTACTTCGTTATAAGAAATGATTCGTTATATCCGGGTTCGCTATACCGAGGTTTGAGTGTAGTTGGGTACGAATTCAGGAAACAGTGGTATGTTCACCTCGGAGGTGGATGCACACAAATAGGCATGCAGTCTAGACTGACATCATAAGCCGTATGTTCAGTGATCACGTCATCAGAGTACATTGCTGAGAAGATAAGCAGGACTATTTCTTTAGTCGCAAAGGCAGTTGGCTGCCATGGCTTTAGTTGCTTGGGCGGGGCCTCTTTGCTTTCTTAAATTGTGTCCGGCTTGTGCAGTACCCTGACACAAGAACGATTCCTGAACACATCATGGGAGTCTTTTACTTAGAAATATTTGCTCTTATATATTTATTTATTGACGAGTACATTACAGCCCTCACAGAGACATTTTGCTTATGGGGGACAGATATGAAAGTAGAAACAACGTAGGTTAATACAATGTCTCCTAAAAAAGAAATATGTCTGGGACGTTCGTCAGCTTTGCCATTAGGCGCACGCTGCCGCGCGTTTCGAACGATGTGGAGGTGCTAGCGACTGTACCACTGGAGCTAGCGACAGCAATTGCGTTGACAATGTTGTGTTGGTGGAGCAGTGCAGCTGGCTACTTTGTGCAGGCATTTGATTGCACATTTGTGGCATGTGTTGGAGAAGCACCAGTCTTACTAGTGGCAGTGATTCCCTTTCAGAAAGTTCGGCTAAAGCTAAAGAACATTTCGCGACAGAAGTTTATAGCAGCTTTGCAGCAGCGTTCCTGTTGGTTACTCTTTACAGCGCACTGCAGGGCGACATGTTGCCATCCAGTGATCACTCAAAATTGTCTTGAGTCACTAGTCATGCAAACTGCTCTCCGAAGGTACTTGCAACTCTTTTTCCTGAGGCTAGTCGAGCATTCGGGCACGCAACAAAACTGGATTTGCAGGCGTGAAGAACACACGGCTCAGTAACCCATCACGTTTTTCATGAACACATGAAATTCAAGGCAAGAAAAGCTCTGGAAGAACGAGCATTAGAGCTGTTTTGTGGTGTTTCTTTTTCTCGATATCTGTTCATTTGCATAGTATCATTCTCAACTCATGTACGACGTAGCATCGCTAGCGCATTGGAGATGCGTTTCTTTGTGCTCTAGTTTGATCGACTCTTTCGTTGATTTGAACAACGCTGGCATTCTTTCCATTGACGCGTGTCGCGTCGTCTGCTCAATTCACAGGTCTGCAGATGGCAAGGAGTCGTCGCGAGAGGCTTTAGCAACTGTACCGTGTGGAAAGCAGGCTAACGGAAATGGTTGGGCAGCGCTCTTGTGGCTCATGTCCCAGGCTTGGTTCTGCCTAGGAGGCATTGGTTATTATAAAAAAACGAAAGCAAGTACACGAAAGAGATTGAAGTAGGTTAACATCAAGAACAACGGCAAATACAGGTTTAAGTACAAAGTTAGCCATATGTGACGTTAGCTGCAAGACATTGCGATTCAGCGAGTGTGAAACGCAGGAAGGGAAACGCACGGTGCAATAGACATGGCAAGTGCATACGCAGCACGCTAATCGGGCAGATTGCTTGTCAGTTAGGTCGAGAAGCGTGCTTTCGTCATAATCCAAACAGGCATAGCACTATGAGTAAATGTTCATTGCATGTGGCGTACATACGCACACGCTTACAAACAGATCACATGTGACCAACATCCTGAAATCAAGCGACACAGCTAGGTAAGCCAAACAAAGAAGAGAGCCAGCTTGCTACAGTTCTTCAGAGTAATAACAAATTGTTTACCTGACCCCCGCTGTTGTAGACGGCAACCTGAAGGACATGGTGCAAGAGGAAGGTCACTTTCTGCACGTTGTGCACAGAGTGATGGACATGGAAGATCACGACAAGGACACCCTCCATCTCCTCATCTTTCTTCTCATGGAGGTCAGCTTGTTTCGAATGTGCGGTTTATTGGCTCTTCCTTTTCCTTGTCGTTTGTGTTTATCCCACGTTTATGACTGTGTTCTGGATTTGTCTCTCTTATATAATTATTTACTCGTGTATACAGAAATGAGGCAGTTGAGTTCAGATGTGACACCAAATTTTTTTTAGTATAACGATTGGTATACACAATTTCTCGAGATGGTAATGCCACATCGTGACAAGTCTGGTCTCTAAAGATAATGTTGGCTATAATCTACACGTTTGAGTTGAAATTAAGCTGATATGACCCAAACTTGAGACGGTGGAAACGAAAGTATATGCGTTGCTTAGCTCTAAAGTCTCCCGTTTCAACTCGTGAGCACTGTACACAGTGTAAATACATCTGAAAAACATGGTGAAGATGTTCTGAAGACGTTTTGGTAGCTGAGTACTTGAAATCAAAGGCATGCAGCAGGAAGAAAAAAGAAATACAGCTGTCGTGTCTTAATGAACAGGTTCTGCTTCTTTCCGAGCCAAAATTTTCTGCAATAAACTCTAGAATAGTCAGTGAAGTGTAAATCACTTGGTTCCATAAAGTTATTTAACAGAGCGAAATGAACATTCTTTTGTCACTGTTCTCTCTAACAGTAATTGGATACACTCTGTGCTTCAATATTTTAAGGCAGCATTTCTTTCTGGAATGCTTTTTGAATTATCAATATAGGTAAGATTTTATACCTTTACTATTTGCATCTTGCATTCGGTAATTTGTCATTGCAGGTGTCCTGAATTTTTCTCTACTTTGTTGTGCCAGCTGTTTCAGACTCTAGTCTCGTACTCGAAGCCTGAACGCTAATTTACAGATGGCGTGTCTTGCTTTGATGTTAGATTCACTCTTCACTAATTGTTCTGCAAAGCTCTCTAACTGTTGGTTTTGGGCCTATTTCTACTTCCTCCTTGACCTCCCACGTGCTGATTTTTTTTACCTCTTTTGTTACTGCCTGGACAACCTTCAATAAACCCCATACTTCATTTTTGTTGCGTCTCTTTTTACCAGTTCTTTTCTCCTGTTATCTTGTTTGGTTGGCTCCTCTCTTTCTCGCTTTCTTGTGTTGCTGCTGTTTTGTTTTTGTTTTATGTTTGCAACCCGAAGTTTCTCTCTAGACCTGACCAATCGCACCCGACCGAGGAGAAAGCCATGGCAAGGAACCAGGTACGCTGATTTAGTGTTACTGTCTTCACTGGGGCTGTTGTGATGCCAATGACGTTTCATAAGTCACACCTCATGAAATACTAAAATACTCGTGGATACTAAAACCTCAATATAACGAATTATCAGTTATAACGAAAGTCATAACGAAGAACGAACAGTTATGGCGAATTTGTGGATATAACAAAGCATTATCTTGGCAGATGTCACACTGTTGTGACGAGGTTTGAGTGTAGTAATTGCATATGACAAAGTAAATAAAAAGTTGTTTTCCCATTAACACAATCTAACGTATATTGTACGTAAAAAAATAAATGGAAGATATAGCAAAGTTATTTTTGTGTTCGGTCAGATGTGTTATTAAAAGATTCAACACGATAATGTGAGGGAGGGACAGATAGAACCACATTCATTGAAACGTCCATGTGTATTTAGCACCAGCAGCCCACGAGACTTACGAGGTGAACAAAGATATCTTGTGCTGTAAAGAAATGGTTGCTGTCAAAAGAGGACCGTGCGTTTAGTCCTTCAAATTAACTTTTATCATAAATTAAGAGTATGAGTTTGACAGATGCTGTAGAAACGTTTCTATTTTCACTCCGTTTCTAAACACGTCTTTAAAGAAGTCTTTGAGTTGAGTGTGTTATTATGTTGTGAAAAACGTGTGGCATAACTGCACTCCACGTTTTGTTCTCTTAGCTGATAGTTCTTCGACACCTGAACATTCTTCTGGGTTACAGCCAAGCAGAAAAGGGTTTTCTTGTGTCGCCAAATAAGTTGAGGTAGGTGTTGTGTTCACCGAAGCTGTTTTTCCTGTTGCAGCAAAAATGGTAGTGTAGTCGATGTTGAAAAAAACAAACTTTGAATAATCGACTCTTGTACTGCTTGTGTTACAAACGTTTCATGCGAGACAACCATTAATTATTTTGTTTAAATCCTCACATTTGGCTGTGTTGATAATTACAATCAGAATATTCTAACTGACCCAGCTTCCATCATTTTAGTGTCACTTGTGCATGATTGAGCGCCATTAAGAAACTGTTTACCATGGTGCCTACTAAAGAATCCTGGGCACCTTTCATTACCTAAAATGCCTTTGTAAAATCTTGTTATTATGACAACCTTAGCCTCTTCCAGTGAATGCTGTTTGTCAAAGCTTGTTGATGTGCTTTTATAAACGTGAGTAATTGACATAAAATATACAGCTATATAAAGTCTGCAGAATTGATTCCAAAAAAAAAAGTTTTATCGCTGCTGTAGCAAAAGTTGTGAATGATAACAGTGTGTTCAGGAATTGATTTTTTTCGCAGGCTTATTGCAGGTCATCTGAACATAATCATGTTTATTTGTTTGTTTTCTATATTCATAGAAATGTTTAGGTTTTTTGTTGCCGAATGTAATAGGTGAAGCAAGGGTATTTGGCAAGTTATCAATTTCTTCGTGAAGCGTGTCAGTCACATTCACTTCCTCTCAAAAGTTTCAGGGCTCTGCTCAGCCATGATTTACGCTTGTGGCGAGATGAAAGAAAATACACCATTAAACCATACTTGCAAGTGGGGCAGAGTAGATCGAGCCTTATAGTCTGCATGAGTAACTCTTGGAGAAGTCTGCGTCTGTGCGCAATAACTTGCAGTGCACCTCTCACACCGAAAGAATGCTGCTCTACTGCCAGTTAACTAGACCTCCTTTGAACATTTTTCAGGGATTGTTTTGGTCAATGCTCTTGTTCTAACCATCTGCACCAGAGTGGCACTCAGAGCAGTCACAATCCTAGTTTCGTTGTTATCCTGAAGTGTCAAGCTTGAAAGTTATGTGCGTTGTGAAAAATCTGAACTCATTTTGCACAGTGCTACTGTCAGGTGCGTTATCTTTTGGCAACCATTCCACAACACTTGGCAGTCACTTTATCTTGCAGTAACCAATAAAATTTATTTCATAGGTAATTATTAAACATGATTCATTGTGCCATGTGGAACCACTGTGCATTCTCCAACTGCCAACTTTTTTTGTGCTGCTGCTCCTAGATCTTTGCCGTAGTGCCCTCTTCCCAACCAGTAACTGTTTGATGTCCCACTTTCTGACGCTTACCACTCATGACTAACACATTTTCAGGGCATCGCCGGTTTTCAATGCCTTTCTTGCATCCATGCCGAAAGTGAGTTGAAAGTTTAGTAAAATATGCTTGCTTGTGAAATTCTCTCTTACAGCCCAATTTCATGCTGTGCTTAATGGCAACTGTAATTTAACAGAAATAGTTTTTTATTTGTATGTGCACTATAGTTCTTTTGAAATTGTCTAAAAAGCCTGCCGTAATTTTTATTCAAGGCAAGAAAAAGAAAAGCGCTGATTTAAGAATAGTAGTGCCTTCTCAACTTGTCGCCGGATATATGAATCCCCTGTTGCATTGTTTTCATCACGGTGAAATGGGCATGGTTGGCTTAAGGAGGCAGACTGGTCTTAGACATCTTCTCGCTTATTTCTTCAGTGATCTTAATAAAACTGCACTGGAATATGCAGTTTTTTCTGCTGATTTCAAATATTTAATTAGTTTTCTTGTAACTCATCTTGTTCCTGAGATAACGTTAAGTTCGCCCCTTATTGTTTAAAGCCACCATACAAAAAAAAAAGTGCTTAATTAAAAGTGATATTTAAGATATACCAACATAGACTAATGACTATAGATTGAAAGTATGCAAGAGTTTTTGTTTTTAAGCCTTTCCTGGTTAATTTACAGCAAAATGAACTATTCATTGTCAAAAGCAGCATGGAATTGTGTTACAATTTTGATGAGTAATTAATTAAAAAGGCTTGTGCTCTGACATTCTGCTCCCATACTTGCATTCTACACACATACAGGTTTCCATCGCAAAAAGAATTATTGTACCTGGCCTAGTTGCAGAGATATTGAGGCCTCAAAATTGAACAGTCTACAAATTTACGGTTTTGGGAAAAAGGGAAAAAACTGAAAACACACAGCTTCTTCAAAAAGCAACAATCATGGTGCGCATGTTTTGCAATCCTCATAAAGGTGCTCATAAATTTGTAGCAGAGGTTCTAACACAGGTGCCGGCAAATTATAAAGAAGCCTCGAAGTCGGTTCCCCATTTTTTTTGCAGGTTCTGCATGTTAACAGCACCAAGAATCTGGACAGTTAGAATGACATTACAAAAAATTACCACTTCCTGGTGTGTGAAAATTTGTAGAGATAGAAAAATACTTGCAAAAACCAAATATGTCAATTTTAAAAAATAAATTTTTTTGTCACTTTTTGGTTCCAAAAACCAGTCTTCCCCCTTAATTGCAGTGTCAGTGTACTCTTATGGCCAAAACGTCAGATTATTCCGTGCAGGAATGTTGATGGAAGCTGAAGTACAAATTCGGTGTAGCAAGCCACAGTTGAAGCTGTTAGTAAAGCACAAAAGAGAATCTTGATCCCCATGAAACACCTGCATTTCTGCATATGAATTTTATGTCGCAGATTTTCGTTTACCGATATGTTATAGAAAATGATGCAGCTATACAAGCCAGGCAGGTATCTGGGTAACTTTCTGCAACACAATGAGTTGATGATTGAGCACCAGCACAGGACAATGAACAAGGGATGGTAATGAACAGTGAAAAAGTTGTTACATTTTATATGCTTTGTTGGTTTTTATGCTTATGCATGTGAAGTAGGCATGGGTGAAAAGTAAACTTGAGGTTCGAAGTGAATTCAAACAAAATTGTGATTCCTTGAAATTATTTTGAATCGTATAGTTCGAATAACATATATCACATATATGAAGAAAAATTGGTATTTTTGTTATGACACAACCAACTTGCACATTATTTTTAAGCACTGGAACTAGGTGTTTGCAAATGTCGCTATTTTGGTTCGAAGAAAAAGTGAAAGCAAATTTGAATAGTGACAGGATTTGAATTATTATTGCGGTACATTTTACAAGTGGTGAAAGATGTTACATTTTAAGACATCCTAGTTATGTATGTAAGCATCTACAGCATGTTTATAAACTTAAAAAAATCACTGTTCCATTGCAACTGCAATGTGATGATTTCGAAAGCCACAAATTGTAATGTTATATGAAGTAGGGCTCGCAGCTAGCTCTTAGATCCGATCCTCGCTTAACTCAACAAAATGCTGGCGTGAGGGGATGCGGCCTGCTCCAGGGAAAGATGTCATTTTCGTCCAGTATTTTCGCGTTGAGAGCACAGGGCATAGAAGGTATACGAACTGCTTGCCGATGCCTGGCGAGATAGCGTGCATGCCAGTAATCACAACCACACCTTTAAAGTCGGAGTTCACAGCTGCTGCTCAAGCAACATAGCCACCCCGCCCCCTTCCCCCGGCATCCTTTCATGCTCCTTCAAGACAGGCGGGACGTTTCCTCTCTGCTTGTGCAGCAATCGATAGTAGACCTCACACTCAGTGGTGAAGTTGCATTCGCCCTTTTTGCGATGAACATAGGCCAGCTCTTCTCATCTCTTCGTCAGCAACATTCATTGGGCATACGACGCGCAAGGGGATATTATCGCTTTGGACTTATCCAGAACATGGCAGCAATTCTGACAGCTAAAAACTTGTCGAGAGTGTCCATTTAAAAATTACAATAAAAATAAATGATCTAGATGCAGCTGCAGTGTGGCTTTGCAGCCATGCGGATTTTTCTAGGTGATTTTAGGGTGGAGCTGCTACAGTGAAACCACCTCTTCAGGAGGGCTTATCATCATCATCATCATCAGCCTTACTACGCCTACATACAGCAGGACAAAGGCCTCTCTCATGTTCTGCCAATCAACTCGATCCTGTGCCCCGTTGCGGTGGTCTAGTGGCTAAAGGCACTCGGCTGCTGACCCGCAGGTCGCGGGATTGAATTCCGGCTGCGGCGGCTGCATTTCCGATGGAGGCGGAAATGCTGTAGGCCCGTGTGCTCAGATTTGGGCGCACGTTAACAGACCCCAGGTGGTTGAAATTTCCGGAGCCCTCCGCTATGGCGTCTCTCATAATCATATGGTGGTTTTGGGATGTTAAACCCCACATATCAATCAAATGAATTAACTCGATCCTGTGTTTGCCGCTGCCACTTTATACCCCCAAACTTCCTAATCTCCTCTGCTCACTAACTTCCGTCTCCCCTTCACCCGCTTGCCTTCTCCTCTGGGAAACCGGGCGGTTATCCTTATTAACTTGCTGTTATCCTGCCTACGCACTACATGCCCGGTCCATGTCCATTTTTTCTTCTTGATTTCAACTATGATATCCTTAAGCCCGGTTTGTTCCCTGAGCCACTCTGCTTTCTTCCTGTCTCTCAAGGTTACACCTATAATTTTTCTTCCCATTGCTCGCTGCATCATGCAGAGGGTTACATGTGAACAAATGTATATGCATTCATTCACTTCGAATACTTGATTTTTGAATAGCTTAAACTCGTGCAGAGGCGGATTTGAATACTGTAATATTTGTTCGAATATTCTAATCACTCAAATATTCACCCATGCCTTGTATGAAGCAGCAGTAGGTATGAGATAGAACTACCAAGGTAAACTGATGTGTGCTAATTAAGACAAGGACACAGAAAAGATGGAACAGGGACAAGCGCAAACTTGCTGCTGAGTTTTATTATTCGTCACCCTTCAAATATATACTCTCTAAAAAACATAGTCACGTGGTTACATGGTCGAAAACCAAACAGCTTACAAGAAGACGCGCAGGAAGTTACGCCCCGTATCAAATAAAGATACCTTGGTTTACCTTGAAGTATGAAAACTTCTCTCTTTCTTATCTAACGGCTCCACATGTCAAAATGCCAATTTAGAAATGATTTGGTGAGTCTACAGACTCAAGTTGGAATGCACAGGTGCTGGACTACAACTTCAAGATCGGCAACGTGCTCCTCAGCACGTGTATGCCCGTGCTCATCTACTGTCCGTCGCCACAGCGCTACTCCCATGAGCATGTGTCTCCCCGATACTCGCTGTGGTTGCTGGATGCACCGGCACGGCACTCCTGGCTCATGGCTGTGCTTGTGGTCCTCTACAAGGTGATGATACAAGTTCTGCATTACTTTTTGTTCCTATAGAATGGAATGAAAGAACTTTACTTAATGAAAAAACTTTTTTTCTACAGTCAATCGTTAATCTTGTTCAACCATTGTATAACTCTCTTGATATTCTTACTTTTATGCTGTATTGTTCTGTAGAAACAATGTTAAATTACGGAACTTCATCCACTGTCTCGTGGCTTGAGTAGATAAGGAACATACCTGTAAATGTCTGTTAGACATTATATTGCAGACTTAAATCTCTGAGTCAGTTATAATCTCTTTCGAGTAAAGACTGTATTCCTTTTTTTTTTAATCTTAAAATGAAATTAGATTTGGTTAGCAGACATTTCAAAAATATGTTTTTGTAGGCTTCCGGGATAAAAAGCCTGACACGTTAATTCAGGCTCAATTCAGTGATTGACCTATTCTCCCTGGCCATATTGTAAGAGCTGGGGTGCCATACTTTATTTCAGCAAGGATCAGACTCTTTAAAGATGAAGTAATCCCACACGTGGACTTCAACATTGCTCAGTCACGGAACATTAACTCATGTGCAGTTATAACTACAGCAGCGGTGCATGCATAAGGCGGCATTGTGGGAAGGAAAGACTGCCACAGCGAAAATTCACATGCCAAATGCAAGTACTGCGTTGAGTGCTTGAGGTTCGTGCATTCCAGTTACAGTAAAAGCTCATTAATTTGACTCTCGTTAATTTGGGAAATCGAATCATTCGGCAGTGTTTTCTGGTGGCAGCCAGCACGAGTATTGTTTAATGGCACTAAACTCTCGTTAATTCAGTCACATTTGTCAGCAACCTAATCAGTTCGGATGATCCTCGGAGGGCGCCAAGAACGAAGAACCACAATAGTACAAAAACGACGGTGCACAGACAACGGAAGCGAAGGAAGCGCTGTTCACATCGCTATCTTAATCAGTTCACGGTTTCGCCTACATGTGGGTCCAGCAATCAGCAGCTTCCTTCTAATTTGATGCAACGCACTCAATGTCAGAGTACTCAAACATGCCAGAAGCTGTTGAAGATGAAGAGGTTTTAGATGTGGTCAGTATGCTGACATTATACTCGTTAACTACCACATCGTGATTGAGGAACTAACAGTGGCCAGCCATTTTACCTTCAAAAGAACTATCGTAACATGCACGGGGTGGTGGTGGCAGGTACGTATTAAGGAAAGGTGCAGAGCAAGTTTCGAGCTAAATAATTATGGGGGTGGGGCATCGTGAACGCATTGAGAACGAAGTTGTAGGATGAAGAAAATGGCGGCTTTTGCACTGCTCTGATGTGAAATACTAAGTAATTGATTTGCGTGCTCATTGAGAAAATGAGTGTATTGGTGTTGCAGACATTTGTTTATTGTTTTATCAATACTTTCAATATTACGGCATTTGGTTTATTCAGACACTTTTTTCCAGTCCCGTGAAATTATAATTAACTGTGCTGTTACTGTAATACAGTTGTTCACACTAGCAACAAAGTCCCACAACAGAATGATTCACATGCATCAAAAACAACACGTGGCCTCGTAAGAAACAGTCTTTGAAGTTATAACACCTCTGAAAAAAAAAAAAGAATTCTTATCGTAAAAGCAGACATCTTACAATTCCTATTACGTAGAAATAGTTTTGTGCAGCTGCATAATAGGAGCATTTTACATTTGCCTTTCAGTTTGAATATGGAGTGCCGCCTTTGTCAAGACAAGTTCAAATGCTGGTGCGGATTTTGCTGAACACGCTAGATGCCCAAAATCACCAGTGCAAGAATATTCCAGAACCATTCTTAAGTCCCGTTCCATCACGCTCTCGAGGTGAGAACGCAAGGATTTACTTATCTTTGCCTTGTACACACAGCAATGGGCCATTCAGCAGCTCGAACAGCTTCCCTGTTAAGTCATGTATTCTCTCTGTCATGTGATGTGTACTCGATTGTCCATCAACAGTGTCAGCTCATGCAAGCTACATCCCCATTTTTCGAGGTTCGATCACTGAAGAAGAGATGCCAGTCATTGCTGAATAACGCACTCAGAATGTTAAAGCATTTATTGGTAAAGGGACACTAAAGTGGAATAATGACCTAGTCTTAGATTAACCAACTGCACTCTGAGAACTCTAATGCCATATGTTTCACTATCACACGTTCATTATTGGCGGAGAAAATCAAGGTTGAAGTTTCATTTTGAAATTTTGCGCCAAGATCTCCGCGCTTGATGCCAGAAATTCCTAAATGTACCTTTGGTATTTTTGTGGCACTGGCTTGATGAAATTTTCTGGAACTTTTTCTGCTAAGTCTATGGCACCCACAGATGACAATGTACCTTATTTTTATCGATTGGAAGCTACGAAGGACCCAATAGACACCTTTAAAATTTTCTACATCACGGTGTTTTGTGCAGGAATCTCAGGCTGGTGTCACCACCCCCACTTTAGCGCATTTTTTGGCTTACTAGGCGTCGTGTTGCGATAAGAGTGGTGTTTTCAGTATTGTGAAATTGTGCTTTACTAATACCCGAAAGTTTTTAGCTCTTTAGTGTCCCTCAAAATCAGCATGTGCATTGTCAGTCTGTATGCGTGAGGGCATACGTAATCCTCAGAATATTTCACTCTAAAACAGTTAGGCATGTGTTGATAATTGAAAATTAATGTGAACAACTTCATTGAAAGGCAACCACACTTGTCATACTTGACTTTCTTGAAACGTCTTGGGAAATGAGCATGTGTTTTGCACTGTTGTCTTTATACGAAGACATGACCACTATTCAACATGCAGTCACTTGGAATTTTCGAGGTTTTTTTTTTAACATTCAGAAATTTGTGTGTATCAAATGTCCATACTTCAATTGATATGTCGGATTTAACGTCCGAAAACCACTATATGATTATGAGAGACGCCGTAGTGGAGGACTGCGTAAATTTCGACTACCTGGGGTTCTTTAACATGCACCCAAATCTGAGCACACGGACCTACAACACTACCGCCTCCATCGGAAATGCAGCCACCGCAGCCGGGATTCGATCCCGCGATTTGCGGGTCAGCAGGGCTACCTTAGCCACTAGACCACCGCGGCGGGGTGTCCACACTTCAAGATGAACATCTTGGGTGAAAAGTGTGTCCACACTCGTGCAAACAAAGACAGTGTAATGTCTCCGATATTGTAATTTCCTGCTGCTAAATGACCACTAGTTACAAGTTAGACCATATTCCTGCTTTAGTAAAGTCCACTAAACCGTCCTATCAAGTTTTGTAATAGTTGTGCTCCTGAAGCCTGTGTCGTGTTGAGTCCTCGCACATCTCTATAAACCAAAATAAAGCTTTTCTAATGAAAAGCTTTATTTTAGGTTACTGACCTGACTGTTCAGAGAAGGCCTTCAAATGACTGCTTAAAAATTTGTGTGTGCTACATATCATTTGTTAACTTGTATTTCTTTATTTCATCATGCAGATCTAAGTACAGCTTCTGTTGACCTTGAAAACATCCAAGAACATGACGGAAGCACTCCCCTTGACCTTGGCCTAGCCGGAGACGAGATCCGGTTTGCATTTGGGTCTAGTACCACAGCCGAGGCTAAAGCCAGCTACCACAAGCCCCTGGCACGTGACACGCATGACACAACTGAAGCTTCGCGCGAGTTGCTGCGATCCGGCAAAGAAACCGGTGACCGTTCCCAATGGAAGGCACTCAAGATGGCAGACTTCAGCTGTTCCGGAGACGAAGACGAAGCAGAGCCGGAGCTCGAAGCAATCCCCGAGAGTCCTAAATCCGAGAGCTCGGACATGGCCGAGTTTGGAGGCGAGCTCCAGGCCCTGGCACCTTCCGTGCCAATGGCAGAGCTCGCGGAGCAGGCAAGGATCAGGGTGGTCAAGACGTACTACCTGGAGAGGAATTGATTAAGGTCACTGACGCATCGTGGCAGCTGGCAGAAGAACCAGTTCTCGTGGGCGGCACACCTGTTGATTCGCAACCCATGTCTTCTGTACCGTCAGGTATGGACGGCCAGGACTCTTCACAAGTCCATATCGAAAAGTCATTAGCAGAGCCCATGGAGAAACCCACGTCTAGACCCCCACAATCAGTATTTCCCAACAAAGCCGAAGCAGATGCAGAGACAAAGGCTGTCGACGACAGGTGCAGAGAGGCATCGCAGAGCCCTTCGAAATGGCAGAACTCTTCCAGTGTCCCGCCAGACCAGACAACTGCTGCAACTGCGGTTGCTGGCAAGTGCGGATCTCCTCAGCCAAGGCCGGAGATCCGCCTCCCGGATGTGCATCCGTGCGACATTAAGGGCAAAGTTGCAGCTGTGAAGAAGGTCTTCGAAGCGAGAGCCACATCAGACGCGGCGGCTGCTTTCGCATCTTCTCGCAAGAACGTAGTGTCCCTGGATGCTAAAATGATGACGCCGCCGAAAGAGCGTGCCCTCCTCACCTCCAAGTCTACCACCGACATCGACGACGGGGAACAGGCGACGCCCCTGAGCCCCAGTAAGTCTCCCAAGCCTCGCATTCATCGCATGGGGGCGGTCGACCTTGGCTCTCTGAGAGTCAAGGCAGAGTCACCAAAGCCTAGCCCTTCCAAAGACACCGCTCCCGCCGAGGGTTCCCTCACAACAGTCGCAGAGTCTCCGAAGAAGGTGCCAAAACGTCTGACAGCTGATACAGCAGTCATTCAGTCTTTTCAAGATACGAGCTCTCATCGGACGGTATCAATGAGCCCTAAGAAGATCACTTCGGAGCCTGCTGCGCTGCCGAAGTCACCTGGCGTGTATGTGAAGGAACCGGCCACCGCCCAACGGTCCCTTGACATGCTGACCGCCAAGCTGCGAAGCGCCGTGCCCAGGGAAACCGTTCACAGGACCAGGTCGGAGAGCAGTCAGGTGACAGTGCCAAGGCCACTGCCACCGGCCTGCAATGTGCAACGGCAACACGGTCCCATTGTGCTGGAGCCACTCATGGTTAGCGCTCTCCTTCCTGAGCTGATCACGTTGTGTCAAAGTTCTTAACATAGTCATGTTGGTTAGGTGGTGAGTATGAATGAGTTGTAATATAGTTAAATTGCTTAAATCTAGATTAGTATTACTGCCAGTGTCTATGATCACATATCAGGCAACATTCAAGGAAAATATCTTGAGGTCATCATTTCACTTCACAAAAATTAAGATGCTTTATATGCTGTCATTATAGCCTCTCAGGGAACTTAATCAAATTAGAAGGCGATTTTAGTGTAGTGAAATAGCACATTTCGCACGGAGATTTCATGTGATAGGTACATATTCGCTCCTTCTGTCATTCACGTCTCGTTGTTTCTTCGTTTTTGCACAACGTAACATGATCTTCAGTTAGCTTGAGTAGGCCAAGATGCTCGTGCCTCTTATTTGGAATGCACGTGCAGGTAAGGCCAACACCAGAGCGGCTACTGCCCATTGGGCCACAGCCCAAGGGTACCAAGCCGTTCATGCCCAAACAACTTTCAATGGGCAGCCTTGGTCCCGGAGCCGATTTCCGCATCCGACACGAGCCCAGACAAGCCGACGTCTTCCTTCTGGAAGCCAGCCGAGGCGGGGGCATGCAGACAAGGCCGGGCGTTGGTGCCCACTTTGGGGGCATTCTCCTCGGACACCAGCCGCTGGGCCCCATGGAAATTCCGTCATTGGAGAGGCTGCTGCCTGTAGGCCCGATGCCCACACGCCAGCCTTTGGACACACGGAGCAGCCCCGGGTCGCCCGCACGTCGACTCAAGTCACGATCGCAGAGCACAGACACCAACTTGGTCACCAAGCGCAGTGATCCCGACCTCCTTGCGCGAGTGCAGCTGGCCAGCACTGAACACATCTTTACTTTTCCTGACATCCAAGCAGTTGAGGTGAGCAGAGCTCCAGGGTGGTTATTAACCACCTAATGACATTGAAAGTTCGATGGGAGCCCGTTTTGGTCCTTGTTGGGATGAAACATGATAGAAAGAAAGTACATCAACCAAATGAAAGTTTAAAAGAGAGGACGTTTCAGCTTCCATACAGAACCTCGCTCACAATCTCTATTTGTAAGCCTTGTTCACAATCTCTGTGAACTAAGTTTTATATGAAAGACCAAACATCTCTTCTTTTCAATCTTTATCAGGTTTGGAGTACTTTGTTTTGTCACCGTTTAAATTTAGCACAATAAGGAGCTGTTACACAGTATGCTTTACTTGTATATTACCTTTCTTTTATATGTATGTCGTCCTGAAATTTATTTATTGATTTTGCTCAGTGGACTGGAAGACTCAAAGCCCCACATAAAGAATATTGCAATGCATGTTATTGTGAATACTACAATGATAATAGTATTACGAACCGCACTCGTAGATTATTACAAAAGAGTTATATGTAGTGTGAGAAACTTGTCTTAGTCTATAAAAAATATTCTAACAGAAGAAATATAGTCATATGTTGTGTACTAAAGACATGGATTAAAGCTGGCAAATTCCCCAGTACTTTTTCGAGATCAGGTTCTTCTTGGGCTTAGTCTTTCTTTTAGGGCACTATGGGAGGATAAATTACTGAGAAATTGCTTAGTGAGCTCAACACATAATTTAAACCTTTGTGATGGCATGTACAACATATGAAATGCTGTGTTATGTGGCCATACGTGTAATAAAACAACCTGATGCAGGTGCTAAGTAAAAGTTATTTGTTTCTTGCAGCATGGTATGTTGTCCTCGTCAAGTTAGTCGCTCATTTGCTTTACTTGCTCATCAGCCGCAGACAACTCGGAAGGACTCTCCGGTGGTTGAGAAAGCCCACCCCTCCGTCGATTCACCTCAGCGGCAACCGCCAGCACAGTCGGCTTCCGCCGTTCCGTCAGAAGACAAAGGCAGCAGCAAAGGTGGCGCGGAAGTGGCCGCAGACGCTGCCTCAAAGGAGCGGGTGCGTCCTCAGGAGCACTCGATCAGCGGAGGCCTCATCGACATGCTTGTGAAGGACGTCATCCTGGACAAGGTGCTGAGTGCCGCCGGAAGGGTGGAGACTGCCTTCCTCACCCACGGCTCCAACAGCCTCGAGGTCAAGGACGACGAGGACACCGCACCACATCCCGAGAAAGGTTGGCGTGCGTTGTCCTTTAGCAAGCCTTGATGAGTGCACTCGATGCAAGGACCTCGTGTGATGATCAAAGCTCGAGTAAACTTGATGCAATGACACGGTTTCTTCGTGCGCTTTGTACCAAGAGACAGGGACGAGACAGTGACAACAGAACACGTGGGGCGAAAACTCACGACTCGTTTATTCACATCATGCAAAATGCCAAATAAGGGTTAAGGTTAACAAGCATATAGGTGGGAACGAGCGAAAGGCAGGATGTAGCAAGAAGTAGGCTGAAAAGACAAAGACGACATCATGCAAGGCTATATAACATGTCTTCATTAACATGGACGTATTTTTGGCAGATCAGTGTGGCAGACCACCTTATAGAAATTTCATTTCTGCTTGCGTTAAATGTAAGGAGGGTGTACTGATGCATTGCTCTTTTACTAATATGATAAAAAAAAGTTTCTTTTATCCCCCTGATATTTCTATCGTCCCGTGCGAGCAACGTGGTGTTATTTGAAATTAGAATGCCGCTCTTGGAACACATAGAAACAGACACACTGTCATGCAGATGAACACATGTACCGTTGTTCACTGATTTTATATCAACAAGCTCACCAACCGAATCTGTAATACTTCCCTAGTGACACGCTTAAATAACTTCGTACAATATGCCAATACAACTCGCAAGCAAACGTTATAACAAACACAAGGTACCACCACACGGTATCCACAGGAGATGACTGACGGTGTTGCCCTCCGATTGATCATCCACAGTAGACGTCTGTCACCACACGCTACCGAATCTCAAAGACTCGCTACTGTTAATTGCACGCCGGTATAGCCTCTTCACAACCAGCCGTGCAGTGCTGCTGGCACCTCCGCACTAACCCTAAGTCGCGCAAGCTTAGCACGACCACCACTCGCTCGGCGGCTGTTGAACCTAAACGTTGCTAATTCACGAGACGCGCGTGCGCTATGAGGCGCAGACAACCTTACTGGGGGTGATAGCATCTCCACACACGAAACTGCGGCGCATGAGCATCGTTTTATATACATTGCAAGCTGACCTGCTCCTTGCGATTGTTAGCAGGCAAATCTCTGTTGCAGGAGATGCTCATGTCACAGCGTTCTTTCTTCCCTGTGTATTTCTTACCACGAGTTAGGGTAATACCATATACAACCGTCTCGGCACTTTGCACAAAGAAGTCTTGGGGATTTGTTGTGCATTTTTTTTTTGCTTGGTTATTGTTCACTGCTTTGCACGGTCTCATAAGCTTATGTAACACTGAAAATAAAACAATGATGCCGTATCTTTGCCCTACCTACTTTACAGTGGGATGTGTCATGCAAGTACGGTATAACCACCGCTTCGCTGTAGAAAACATATCAGAGAGATCAAAGAAACCTTTTTTTCATCATAGCATTAAAATTGCAATGCACCAGCATGTCCTCATTGCATTTAACGCAGGCTGAAATAAAATTTCTAGCGAGTGATACAGTTGTGAGTTTGCGAACCACCTGTCTTGTCATCTCGTACCCTCCTCGTAGTATGAAGCACATAAACAAATCATGAACAGCCATCAATTCATCACTCTGCGGAATGGGATAACATTTTGTCATGCAAAACATTAAACCAGTTGCAACGAGCAGATGGTGTGTAATGACACACTTTCTATGAAACAAATTCAACAAAACGGACTGGAAAGCCAGTTGGTTCTGTGCACAATCGAAGGTTTCGTTGGTGTTTTCTCCAACTTCTGTCATACTGCATTGTTTCTGTGTTTTCATCGTCTCCAGATACACTGAATCTGTTCTGCTTTGTGTTTCTCCGTGATGTCGCAGGAGCAAGTGACGAAGCCCGCACACGGCTTCACTACCGCCCCCGCAAGCAACGCAAATCTGGATTGAGCACTATTGAGATTCAGCGCACCCTCGACGCTCGAGGAGGTGCTGCCAGGTATCGAGACTTTTATTGGAGACCAAACGCATAAGCAGTTAGTTAACCTCTCTCACGTGGTCCTGTCCACTTTTTTTGCACTCAAACGTACATGCTTCATTTGTCAAGTCACTGTAGTAGAGTGTGCCTGTACAAGTAGCACGACCTGGACACAATTGAAGCTGAAATGGAAAAAGATGAAAGCAATGAAGCTTCCCAAAAGAGGTAATTATAAGCCAAGCACTTACGATAGTGTTCAGTTGCACAGGCAAACATGAACACACCTTATTCTATGACCCCAATTTTTTTATTATTTTAACGCTGTGGTCAACCCCTTTTACCGACGAACATGAATGCCTCATTTCTTAAACCAGACATCACTATTTTGAAGTGTGTCAAAGCCATCAAGCCATAATGTACAAATACGTCCTAGAGGCATTGCTCAAGGGGACAACACCAGTTTGGTTATGCGTTGCCCATATTCACAAAGTGAAGAAACGTTGCTGTAACTTTTTATATATTTGGCAAAATTTTGTTCCTTGCTTTTACCGATTCTGGTTCAGTTCTTAGATAACTAAGTGTATCGAAGCTGCTATGATTTTTTTTTTCTCTTTTTTGAAGAAGGCTGGTGTATGCATTTGCATTCAGTATATGTCGCTGCAACACGACTCCATTGGTTGAAGCAGCACGAAGAGAACACAGTGGCTCTGACACAGGCAAGATATGCTTGCAATGGTGTTTCTTAACATAAGCAATAGAACCAGCACTGGTCAAACAGTGTTAGCCTAGCGTAACTCGAGGAAAGCCGCTTCACCAAGGCTCAATTGAGTCTTCGGTTTCGTTACTTCAGGCATGAAGAGACAATTGCGCTATCTTCAACATGACAGGTTATTAGGGTAATTCTCGCTCAAATTTGTGTATGCGAACCTGACCCTTCTCTGAGTTGCACGACACCAATGGAGAGGAAGTCGCTGACCAGCACCCTAGTTTGTTTTCACATCGAAAGCCATTATAATAATCGCAACAGCTGATTTTGGTGGCATAGTTGTCCGCCACAAACACCATTGGTGTCCCTAACCACTATCATGCATAATGAGAAAAAAAAGAAATCACAGCATATTCATGGAGTGAAGGATGATGAGTGGAGCGAAGCATCCGTCTGTCCATCCGTACATCCCTCCATCTATCCATGCATCCTTCTGCCCATCTATCTGTCTATACCTCTGTCCGTCCGTCCACCTGTCTGTCCATTCATCCGTGCGTCCGTCTGCCTGTTTCTCAATCTGTTTGTCTGTCTGTCTGTTTGTCTGATACTGCCGGTTGCGCCTGACGCAAGACAAGGTTAGACTGAAAAAAAGCTTTGCCCCTAAGAAAATTGTCCAGTGTAATATGAGAATTTAGCCGGGATTCTCTGCATGACACACTTTCGCAAAAAGACCCTATATGGTTGTGATGTTTGGTAAGTAATCACATTAACATATATAATATAGCGTGGTAAAATAGTGAAAATAACGAGCAGGCGTGCAACAATGCAAATTGTGTAACGAGTGGGTCATTGAATGCTTCCAACCCATTACAAAGGACTCGGCCTATAATTCTTCACCGTCATCAGCCACAGCATCGGCAAAGTGCACATAATAATGCCTTACAGATGTGTAGCGGGTACCTAACTTCTTCGCAGAATGATGAATAATGGCATAGTGGGTGCTTCCTTGACGATATGTGGGTACCTTGGTACCTAGTTATGATGACTTCTGGTACCTTGCCAGTGTACCCGTGTATTAGTTGACCATAGAGCATTTACAACGGGCTCTAGAGAAGCGCTGTTTCAGCTTCAGCTGCGACTGTGCTGAGTGTCCTGCGCAGGCCTAGTGTTATTTTCATATGTGTGTGCACACTTGACTAAAGAATTCCATGCCAACCCCTTACAGAGCTTTTTCCTGACGTAATGCCTTTGTACCCCTAAGGTGAAGTAAGTGAATGGAGACTAAAGTGTTATCAAAGATTTCAAACTTCGCTCTGTGGATCCCCATCTCAACTAATACGCAGCTTTATCGAGCAATGGAAGAAATCAAGCACTGACAGAATCACTGGCTTTCATTCAATTAAAGCTGTTCAAGCCTAAACTAAGGTCGGTGTCGACACTTTGGCACATACCCACCCTCTGTGGGTATGCGCCACAGAAGGTGGGTACCTATCAAGAAAGTTTGGAGGAGGGACAGAAGGAGAGGGAGCAATATAAAAAAGATGGAGAAAGAACGAAAGAAATATGAAGGAAAGAAGACGAAGAAAGAACTCAATCTAAGTTTACCAGGTAATGACGCTCGCCAGCTCTGCATTTGGCTCGGATTTCACAGGTGTGAAGCTGTACTAAATATTTTTTATTGCAGTAGAAATTATTTGGACAGTCACGGTGGGTTTTTGCTGTCGCCAGCGCCTGCAGCGTCATGTCAAATAAGAAGTCTAAATTGATAAGATCCCCCAGTGAATTTTACTTCATACCTGCGAGTAATAGAGCACAAGCGGGAGCGGCGAATACGGCTGAAGCAGAGATCAAACAAGCCAGCCCATCACCGTCGCTCCGAAGCGCATGCGATAAGATTTTCCCACCTCTTTGACTGGTCATTTAGTGCTCAAGCAGAGAAGAAACGCCCCGCTTGTTTTAGCGAGTGTGGAAAAGATGCAAAGGGGGGGATCCCTCGAGCAGTAACTGCCACCTTTCGCTTTACGAGCACAGGCATGTGCAATATCTGGCTGTCTCAGCAGCTATCAGGGCATCTCGAATACCCTTCTACGTGCTGCATTCTCAACACAGCCAGTGTTAAGTGTGCCTGGAGCAGCTGTATTTTCTTACACCGGTGTTTTGTAGAATTGCATGCGATCGCAATCTAAAGAGTTTGCCACCAACCTCACTTCGTATAGCATTACAATTTTTTGCTATCACATTCATTAAATCACCCTGACGATAAAACAATCATTTTTTTAAGTTATACTACCAAGCTAATTAGGCGGAAAGAGCAAAAAAAAGGAGTGCTCATGTCGTGATCTTCTTTGATTTGTTCTCATGTAATTAACACTCTAGCTTGTCAGTGAATAATTACTACAAGTTTCTCTTCCATCATCATGGGCAGGCGGGCACGCAAGTCCGAGCCAAGCAGTGGCGGCCCGACTCCGAGCAAACGACGCCCCGGCAGCAGTGGCGGGGGAGGTGGAGGAAGGACAGCGGTCGAGGAGGCTGTTCCCGAACGCTGTCCTGAGTGTGCCCTTCCCCTGGAACACTACAGTGATGAGGAGCTGGGCCTCTGCATTGTGCTGCTGGCCACATTTGTGCACCGGCAGCCGGCCCTGGCTGCGCCCCTGCTTCCAGAGATTCTGCGACTAGTTGCCAAGTGCGTTCTTTTCATCGCACCTAGCCATTTGACATCATTTGTCGTGTATTTTGAATTAGTTGCGATAAGTGATAGCACAATAGTGCTTCGTTGCACATTCAGTAAACCAAGGCGTCGTATTATTGTCACACAGTTTTTAGAGCTGAAAGCTTGTAGCTAAGCAAAGATAAGGAGAACAGCACTGTGTCAGTACCTCTTAAGCCAGGATAATTTTAAAGACAATAGTCTTTCACGGTATACTTCAATGCAGAAATTTTGGTCTGTCGGTCTTTCTATTGTCTGTCTGTCCACCAAAGCGACTTGGCTACCAGGCAGAAATTCTACCACTTCCTCAATGCCCACCCATATTGATCAGGGGTATGCATTCACACTTGTGTACATTTTCAATCAAAAAACAAACATTATGCATTACTGAGGTGCAATATCAACACGTCAATGTTTTGTGATGTGTTTCTTTATACTAGAAAATGCACTTTACGTAATTCTAAAGACCGTGGTGTTTATTACGGTGTGCCGACAATGTGACGCTATGCACGAAAAGACGGAGTTTTCTTACCCTTTGCTAACACGATACGGTGCTGCCACCCACCTGGGGCTCTGAGATTTGCTGATGCTTTCGTTCTCCAAGGTTACAGCCAGATGGTGCTCATGTCTCGCGCAGCCCTTTCAGGATACCATTCATCGATTTTCTCACGCAAAACATCAAATAAACGTTTCGTTCTCGCTCTCCAGAGAGAAGACTGTCATTTTCCGACGACATTTGTGGTCAAACACATAGATATCTGGCCAATTTTTTTATATTGCTAATAATTGCTAATAGCTTATTTCAGTGCACATCAAAAGCAATGACAACACAGAAACATAAGGATCGACGAAATATGTAAATGCAGGTCAAAGTGTCTATTCTTATGTTTCTGTGGCATCCTTGTTTACAATGCATGCTGCCATGAGCTATCATAAGTGACCAACTACATCACCTGTACATCTTAAAGTTGCTTGTTATCTCGAAATAGGCAGTAGGATTGGTAAGCTAGCAAAACTGGGTCTAGCGGTGGCTGTGAATCAAGCGCAAGTGAATTTGCAGTAGACATACCATAACTAGCACAGTTAAGAGTTTACCGTTAAAGTTCATTAGAATTTGCATGTACATTTTTTTTTTCCAGAGTCGCCTCACAAGTATACTACCCGTGGCAACATGAAAGGTGAGGGGTGCTCAGAGGATATGCATCTGCATGTGCTTTAGTTTCACGCTCATTAGATAAAATTTGTTATAATGCAACCAATTAATAACAGCTTTGCCTGTAGCTCATGTATTTGGTCTTCTTTTCCTCATTATTCTTAGCCTGTACTGGTGTCACACATAAAACTTTTTTGTTATGATATTCATGGAATGATAAAATGAAAATTGATGTTCATAAAACGTTCTTGTACTTTGCTAAGCTTTTTTAGGTTTACATAAAGCTCAGAAAAAGCCTTTAGGGTGAATAAAGAGAAAGAGAAACTCTAAAATGGTTTGAAAATATTGTTGCACAGAATTTTAGGCTGTATGGTAAAGGAATCATGGACATTGTCAAAAACTCAACCAATTTTTTTTTTCTAGTGTGCGGTATTTTAGGCTTCCAATGATATCTCCTATTGATCTCTGCTAAAGCTACTGAAATAAAACATTACATTTTTGTTCTGCACTAGCAGTAGGCATGTAGACATGTTTTTATAATATGTCGACTAATGTAAACCAAGTTTAACGAGTTTGTCACCTAGAAGGTTGCACATTGCAAAGATTTTACATCAACATCAGTGCACCATTTCTGCTTTGAACAACACTCAACTGAATTTGCTACTTGAGAAGACTGCATGCATACCTAATGCAGTGGCAAGTTTTCTTTTTCTTTTTTTTGTCAGAATAGAGAACAATGAAAATTCTGCTCCTACTAGAATAGCACACAACACACCTTTCCTGCATGCCGTGTGCATTGCATGTGCCACTGTTATTAGAGACTTTCTAGGAAATATGCTGTTTTTGTTAAATTCATATTGGCTTATGGAAAAGCAACTTCTTTTTACTGACAGGCTCATTTTTGTGCGAGTTTTTCACAATTTTTGCTTTTAAAGAAATTTATATGAAAGCTCACAGATATTCTTTGCATACTACTGCGCATTACACCATTGCCACTTACTTTTTTTTTTGTGGCAACTGAATATATATAGCTGCATTAGTCTGGCCTTTTTTGCATTTTCTGCATTTCCCAAGGCTTTCTTGATTTTTCATTGACTAAGCCTGAAGAGGTGCATAAACCGAGTGCGTATACTCGGCTATTTCTTGCTTCTTTGCAACCGCGTGCATGCGCAATGAATTGGCACCGATGTCACTGCATACCTCACAGCAACGTTCACCTGCCGGGCGGTTGCAAGAGCGTCGCACGCCAGTTCATTAGGTGCACCTTACACCAGCTCTCCACCAATGGAATCTTTCAACAGATATTCACTGGTAATTTCGGTAAGTCCATGCATTGAAATTGGGGTAATTTTTGTTAACCGTTACAGGAACATGCTATGTTGCCTCATACTGAGTAGCATGGTTGATAGTTACAGACCATTTTGTATTGTCATCGTTAAGCCACTGTCTTCTACTGACACCATCAGTTTTGCTGAATGCCAGTGAGATCTGTTTAACGTAAGTCTTTTGTAGCTCACTGAGGCGTTTCTCTGTGCCCTGAAAGATCTGTACTACTATATTGAGGCAAGCTTGCTTTGTTGTACTTCTCACATTATATATCAAGTACTCTATAATGCAACAACCTTTTTGTTGCACATTTTCAATACTTTTTCACCTCCAAACAACCCGCTGTCCATTACCATTTTCTACTGCAGATTCATTCACACTCTTCCTACTTATTAAATATGTAAGACTTATATACAAGGTGACTTAGTTTTAATCCACGTGGAAGAGTTTTGCAAAATGGTATCGATGCTGTTTTCTCAAGCTCCAAGTAAACAGTTGCGATCGGCTGATTTCCTTTCATAACTCGAACTTCTTCGGCTCTCTCATCTGGCTTCTGACATTGTCCTTTGAATTATCATCCAACTGTTGCTTTCCTGATTCATTCTTTTTATTCACTTGTTTCACTTCCGCAGTCATCTCCATCATGTAGTGTTTCGGATATCGTTGACATTTAAAGGATTCACGAAAGCTCGCTTTTACAATGGCAATGTGGCACCACTGACAGCCACACATACTAACTAGGTGACATCAGTAGACCTGCATGGATGCTTTGCTTATCGAGGAACATGGAGCTTCACGGCATCTGCGAGCGCGCACGAGAGACGCTCGTCGGCATCTTCACCATGCTTGATCCACGTCCCACAAGGACACTGCTTAATATGACATGAGCTGCAGAGCTCAAGTTAGCGTGGATTACATATGGCAAAGACACTAATGGGTGTCCCGATTGCGCGCACTCGCAACTATCGTGGAGTTCCGCATTCTTCGACAGGAAAAGTCTCCTTGCAGATCTCCTCTACTTACGCTGACGTCACATCGTTAGTGCCTGTGGATGCCGGTAGTTCCACATTGTCAATTTAGGAGCGAACTTCTCACGACCCCTTTAATGCAGACACGCTTTGCACAGCTTGAAATTTTCGGCGGGAGCACTTGTTCATGTTGCGTATGTACGCACATATTTATTGCTACGTGTTGCCAAGGAATGCAAACTTAATCAAGTTGATTTTGTAGCTTTTTGTCTGCGCCCCTGTCATCTGTACCTTGCATGGGTACAAAATAAAGTTTGAAGTTCAACAGTCCTTGGGCCACTGGTACTAGCATGAATGAATTTTTTGTACCGTTCCTGTCTTCAGTATTTACTTTCACTTTTAACCAAAACATTGTACTTCTTAGCTAGTGCACTTGTCGTGTCTTACTTTCCCGATTTCTTGTTGTTTTTTTCTTCTCAATACCAACATTGTCACCATGCTTTTTCATTGTGCTGCACAGATGCAGATTTCTTCAAGGTAATGGCTGCTGCCCTGGCAGATTTTAACGAACTCAACCAAATGCAGCCTCTGATGATACTGTTCGAGGTAAGCCATTATTATGCTGCAAATGTTGCGTTAGCAGCCATCGGGAAACTCGCTATTGCGCAGTGACTGACTGACGCACAATTAACACCAAAATAGTGTCATGGGGAGTTTTTTGTCCCTTATTAACATGTACGGTCGGCCAAAACGATAGCTATTGTGTGCAGCGACCACCTTTTTGTCTGTCAGCACCATATTATGGAACGAAGTTGAAAAAAATTGCTTCGTGGACATGTGCTTTATGGGCGCGCAGTGACTGACTGACGCACAATTAACACCAAAATAGTGTCATGGGGAGTTTCTTTGTCCCTTATTAACATGTACGGTCGGCCAAAACGATAGCTATTGGGTGCAGCGACCACCTTTTTGTCTGTCAGCACCATATTATGGAACGAAGTTGAAAAAAATTGCTTCGTGGACATGTGCTTTATGGGCGCGTAGTGACTGACTGACGCACAATTAACACCAAAATAGTGTCATGGGGAGTTTCTTGTCCCTTATTAACATGTACGGTCGGCCAAAACGATAGCTATTGTGTGCAGCGACCACCTTTTGTCTGTCAGCACCATATTATGGAACGAAGTTGAAAAAAAATTGCTTCGTGGACATGTGCTTTATGGGCGCGCAGTGACTGACTGACGCACAATTAACACCAAAATAGTGTCATGGGGAATTTCTTTGTTCCTTATTAACATGTACGGTCGGCCAAAACGATAGCTATTGTGTGCAGCGACCACCTTTTTGTCTGTCAGCACCATATTATGGAACGAAGTTTGAAAAAAATTGCTTCGTGACATGTGCTTTATGGGCCGCAGTGACTGACTGACACACTTAACACCAAAATAGGTCATGGGGAGTTTCTTTGTCCCTATTAACATGTACGAGTCGCCAAAACGAGCAATGCGCGCGACCACTGACTTCACACATATATGGAAGACTGTAGAACTTGTGGGACATTTGCTTATGGGAACGAAGTGAACTGAAGCACATATGCAGCGGCACAATGTGTCCTCAGGGGCATCTTGCCATACACATTAAGTCCCACAAGATACATTGAATTAATATGACATGAGCTGCAGAGCTCAAGTTAGCGTGGATTACATATGGCAAAGACACTAATAGGTGTCCCGATTGCGCGCACTCACAATTATCGTGGAGTTCCGCATTCCTCGACAGGCAAAGTCTCCTTGCAGATCTCCTCTACTTACGCTGACGTCACATCGTTAGTGCCTGTGGATGCCGGCAGTTCCACATTGTCAATTTAGGAGCGAACTTCTCACGACCCCTTTAATGCAGACACGCTTTGCACAGCTTGAAATTTTCGGCGAGAGCACTTGTTCATGTTGCGTATGTACGCACATATTTATTGCTACGTGTTGCCAAGGAATGCAAACTTAATCAAGTTGATTTTGTAGCTTTTTGTCTGTGCCCCTGTCATCTGTACCTTGCATGGGTACAAAATAAAGTTTGAAGTTCAACAGTCCTTGGGCCACTGGTACTAGCATGAATAAATTTTTGTACTGTTCCTGTCTTTAGTATTTACTTTCACTTTTGACCAAAACATTGTACTTTTTGGCTAGTGCACCTGTCGTGTCTTACTTTCCCGATTTGTTGTTTGTTTTTATTTTTTCACTTCTGAACACTAACATTGCCACCATGCTTTTTCATTGTGCTGCACAGATGCAGATTTCTTCAAGGTAATGGCTGCCGCCCTGGCAGATTTTAACGAACTCAACCAAATGCAGCCTCTGATGATACTGTTCGAGGTAAGCCATTATTATGCTGCAAATGCTGCGTTGGCAGCCATCGGGAAACTCACTATTGCGCAGTGACTGACTGACGCATAATTAACACCAAAATAGTGTCATGGGGAGTTTCTTTGTCTCTTATTAACATGTACAGTCGGCCAAAACGATAGCTATTGTGTGCAGCGGCCACCTTTTTGTCTGTCAGCACCATATTATGGAACGAAGTTGAAAAAAATTGCTTCACGGACATGTGCTTTATGGGCATACACTTGTCCTTAATTCAATTGAAACTTAATTTATTCGTATGGCAAAGATACACAGGAAAAACTGTAACTCCTACACAATAGGTAAATATTTGACCGACTGTACAATGGCAACAAGATTGGGGGGATCTAATTTAACGTACGAAGTATTACGTATCCTAAGATACGTTATAACAGATAAACTATACGTCCTAGCAGTGCTAGTAGTACGTTCAAATTTATAACTGTATATAGCACTCTGACATGTCATTTTTTTAACTTGTTTATTTATTGTTTTAGGAGCTCACTGAACGCAAGCATGTGGCTGGAGAGCAGCTGCTGCAGGTATGTGATTATAGCCTCACTTGCGATGCATATCTGCAGTTGTCATTATTCTTACCCAAGTATGACCGTTTGCTGAAGGTTTTACAAGTTTCTGGCAGTTATAAACATTACAAACTCGGAGGTTATCCTGCCGTACTCTTGCTTGAGTCTGTCGATGTGAGGAAATCCTCGTTTAGAATCGTGTATTACTCTGTTTTCTCTAGCTGATTCTTGTTTAATGGGGCACAAGACGAAAGGCCCTGGTAAGTGGCTCATGTGTTGATACTACAATAGATGTCAGTTTTTTCAAGACTTGAGCAGCATGAAGCAGAGGTGGCACTAACAGGAGGTGCGAAATGTTAGCCCCCCCCCCCCCCCCTATTCCCTTCCAAGAACATTGTCAAAAGAGATTACAATAGTTATCTGCCTTCCTGCCCTGACAAGCCTTGACTTTAAGGAGATTTGCCCTTAAAAATGATGAATTGACGCGAGGTTAATGTGCTCATGTAACCTTGGAGCGGGGTTTCGTGGCAGTGCGTTTTTTTTATTATTAGCGTTTTCACAGCTTATAACTCCTTCAAAGCAGTGAGATCTTTTTTACAATGGATTACATCTATTTGTTCATTTCGAATACTTCGAAATTTTGAACAATTTAGATTCAAATCAAAGTGAATTCGAATACAGTAATATTCGTTCAAATATTCCGAACAATCGAATATTCGCACAAGCCTAATAAAACAGCAAACTGGGTGAGTTGATCTTTGTTCGCACTTTCCGTAGTTAACGAACGAGCGATGGCCAGTGAGCCCGCGGCTGGCGTGCAGGTGCTGGGCAACGTGGCCACCTACCTGGAGTGCCTGACTCCCGAGGGGAATGCGCTCCTGTGGACCGCTTTCTTGCCACAGCTGGACGCTCTGCTTAGAAAGCTGCTGCTGTCCCTGCCACCCGCCGCACCCCCGTCGTCTTCCGGGGGCAGTGGCGGTGGCAGTGCTCCTTCCGGCGCGGCTCCCCTGGGCACCCCCCTGGAGCCCCTGCTCAGGCTGCTTCTCTGCGTGCTGCGCGTCCCCACCGTCAACACCTGCAAGGTGTGTGTGTGTTTGACACACCTCCAACCATGTTTTGTAGTAACTGGTTCTTTATTCTATGGCGTACCAGGGCTGGCCGCAGTTAGCATTCCAAGTCTAGCAACGACAGCAGGCATGAAGTCATTTGTCATCGGAACTGCAAGCAACTGGAACCACTTGCTTGCCTACATAGCGAAATTCCAAGAGATTTCATTCAATCCAAGACCTTCTCAGGATGCGTTATCAAGCCTGCGGTATAGAAAAAGAAAGAACAAAAAAGGGGAGCTATGCATAATGGGTATTCTGGGTATTTTGTGTATTTGTGTTTTCATCTCACTGCTCCCATTTCTTGACAATATGTAATCTATTGTGTTAGGGCATTTTCATTTTCCCGTCCACGCTCCTTCCCTCTGTAATTCACCTGTACCCAGAACGTACAATACTGTGCCAATCAAATCAATCAATCAGTCGGTCAACAAACACAGCCTGTTCCCTGTTTCAGTCTATCTTGGACCCATTCTCGAAGATCCTTAGCTACGCCATCCAGCACTCTCTCATCCAGTACCAGCAACTCCTGGAACTTTGCCATTTATGTAACCGCAACATGTCCAGGGTGGGTTTATAATTTTTATTGTATGTAAACTTTTACAGCTGCAGCATTAATTAAACAACTGATGACGAACAACTGATGAAGAAAATACATTTTTATCGAACAACTATAGTATGCAATGGTGAAGCTATTAAATTGCTTCCTCGATGTTGATGCCTCAACAATACTGACAAACCTCCCTCCTTTGTTTTCCTTTCTCTCTAGGAAAGAGATAAGCTGGTCTTCACACGAACAGTAGTTTTCGAACTTGTGCAGGCACTCAAATTTAAGTCTGCCATTCCAGATGAAAACTTGCTCGTTCTCGTGCAGGTAAATTGCTTACTTTTCACAACCAGAACTGTTCCGGGGCCACCTTGCACTTTTTCTTTGCACGATATCTGTTCGGTAATGCGCACGATTGTGATGTTTTCGCTTTCAGTTTGTGCTTCAGGATACTGGTGGCGTCCTATGCCCAAACGTGATTGTTGAAGACCTTCTACTTCCCCAAGATCTCCAGAATACTGTGAGTGTTAATTATAATTCCTTCTCGGTTTCGGGTGACTTGTGCTCATCCTCGCCAAACTGTTTCCAAACCATTTTGTGCGAGTGTAGCTCATACACTTTACGGAAAAGCTTTTTGCCGTTGTTGGAATGACTGAAATTGTCAGATGATAAAGCTTTACTCATAATTCTAAAAATTATTAGAATTCTTGAACTGGTTCTTTTTCTTATTAATATTAGGCTAATTTGACTTCTACATGGTCCTTTTATTTGCTTTTTTTTCAAGAGCAAGAGCTTGCTGTATTGAAAAAAATTACGCAATACCAACCTTAAAAAAGATTACCATTTTAAAGAGTAATTTTACGAAAATATTAAAACGGGTAAGTGTTTAATGCTTCCTGCTACTGAATGGTACATAGTACGACTTTCTTTTTGAACTTCTTTTTGCAGTACAACACAGGAGCTAGTGAATGCATGCGCCAAAATCTCAACGAGGTGCTGGAATTTGTCGCTGATGTTCATGCTCTCATACGTATCAAGGTGAGGCATCACTGTGACAGCCTGGTTTACTTCTCTAACCGCTGTAAACCCGTAGCAGTCTAGCAGTTGTTATGAAAACATTGAGGCCGAGGAAGACAAAAGACATATACACTGCACACATTCGAAATTTTAACGTGATAACGTTAAAAAGCTCGTTTCTCAGAAATTTCGCCGTCGGTGTCGGCGTATTTGGTTGTGAGTGAGAAATCACCATAGTGTGCGTGACCCAAAAATTGAGGAAGGTGCAAATAAAATAAATATTAAATAATTCTGAGTCGGAGTGGGCATCGAAGCCGGGTTGTTTTGGTGGCATGCAAATTTTCTACCACACAGCCACGTATCTGCTAGCTAATACCGTGAAAATAACTTCCTCTGCTTCGAAATACAGTGAATGCGACTTTGCCCCGCCGCAGTGGTCTAGTGGCTAAGGCACTCGGCTGCTGAGATGCAGGTAGCGGCATCGAATCCTGGCTGCGGCAGCTGCATTTCCGATGGAGGCGGAATTGTTGTAGGCCCCTGTGCTCAGATTTGGGTGCACGTAAAAGAACCCCAGGTGGTCGTAATTTCCGGAGCCCTCCACTAAGGCATCTCTCTTAATCATATTGCCACGTTCCATTTCACAAGTTTTTGTTATCGTTCCGAAACACCACACGATTCTCGGCGCAAACCGCGCCTGCAGGTTTCGAGAAGGTTCCGGACTGTAGTAGATCATTTCGATAAGATCACGCCCACTGTGCGAACGGTACAGATTGTTCTGGAACCTACACCACCGCCAGCGATAACGCTAGAACATTCGAACGCAAGGGTATAAATGCCGACGCGCTTCGCCGCTTGTCAGTTGTTGATCGAAGGCCGACGCTGCGTTCGCCGCTATCAGTCCGAGACTGCAATCTGTGCAAGACTGCTGCTGTAATTAGACTTTCCCTTTACCGGGCACAGGTTCGCCCAAATAAACAGTTAAATCCCAACACGAAGTTTTCTCTCTTTGGCCACGTCACGACCCCGTGACATCTGGTGGAGGTGCTGCTTCGTTCATGTACCGGACGCCCCCGTCAAGCCGTGAACCCAGCCCCCTTCGCGGAGAAGACACCGACGCCAACCAAGAGCAGCGAACGAGCCGCCGACAGCAAGGTCTCCCACCGGAGTACGGCCTGCTACAAGACAAGGCGCGGAAGACCAAGACCATGACCTCGACTGCAGCGACAATGACAACCGGAGCGTCCCAGCCCGCGATCGTCATTCATCAACCCAGGGAACCACCAACGTTCCATGGCTCATCGTTTGAAGACCCGGAAACCTGGCTAGAAACATACGACCGTGTGGCCGCCCTCAACCACTGGGACAACGAAGAAAAGCTCCGTCGTGTGTACTTCTACCTGGAAGACACCGCAAGGACCTGGCTAGAGAATCGGGAGTCCACGCTCCGAACGTGGGATGTCTTCTGCGGCGCATTTCTTCAAACGTTCGCAAGCGTCGCTCGCAAAGAGAGGGCCGCTGCTCTACTCGAGACCCGGGTTCAGCTACCAAACGAAAAGGTTGGAATTTTCACAGAGGAGATGACCCGCCTATTCCGTCACGCTGACCCAGACATGCCTGAGGAAAAGAAAGTTCGTTTCCTCATGCGAGGGGTCAAACAGGAGCTCTTCGCGGGACTAATGAGGAATCCACCGAACACCGTCCAAGAATTTGTATCCGAGGCGACCACCATCGAAAAAACGCTGGACATGCGCACCAGACAGTATAATCGTCGCCTGACTCCAGAATGCGCTGCTGCTCAAGCCAGTGACTCCGACGACCTGCGTGAAACGATCCGAGCGATCGTGCGGGAAGAGCTGCGCAAACTGTTGCCTTCGGCGCAGCCTCAAGTGGATTCGATCGCCGACATTGTGCGAGAAGAAGTCCGGCAATCGCTTCGAATTCCCGAAACACCGCCGCCCGAGCCAGAAACTATGAGCTACGCCGCTGCAGTGCGCCACAACGCTCCTCCCCGTCCACGCCAAAACGCCGCCCCGTCACACTTCCGTCGCCAGACGCCACCGCCGCCACCACCCCAACCGACGTTCTACCGTTCCCCAGCGGGCCAGAGCAGTGCACCGAGAAAAACGGACGTTTGGCGTGCACCTGACAACCGCCCGCTCTGCTACCACTGCGGCGAGGCCGGGCACACATACCGCCGTTGCCAGTACCGACAGATGGGACTACGTGGCTTCGCCGTCAATGCACCGCGTCCGCAGCCAGGAGATCGGCCACGTGACATCGCCGACTACCTGGCAGGAACTCAATGGACACCACGAAGCCCTTCCCGTTCGCCGTCGCCCAGCCGCCGCATGTCACCGCACCCCCGGCAGTACTCTGGCCCAACGCGGGGCCGGTCTCCTAGCCCGTATCCGGGAAACTAAGGGCAGCAACCGATGGAGGTGCGGTTGCTGTGCGACGAACTACCGAAGATCCTCCGACGACGACGCCGACGCGACGGAGCTTTTTGAACACAACCCCAACCAGGAAAAGCCCTGAAGGCAAAAGCTCACTTACCGAAGGTGGCCGGACGACGCAACATGGAAGCAGCGGAACAAGCCGACGCAGCCGTGACCCGACGCCACGCCCTAACTGTAATGCGAGACGGCGAACTAGCGACCTCGACGTTCTTATCGACGGCCACAGTGTGACTGCTCTCGTCGATACTGGAGCCGACTATTCTGTCATCAGTGGGTCGTTCGCCGCGAAGTTAAAGAAAGTTAGGACAGCTTGGAAAGGCCCTGAAATCCGCACAGCCGGAGGTCATCTCGTAACGCCTGCAGGAATCTGCACAGCGAGAGTCACCATAAACGGACGTATTTATCCTACAGACTTCGTAGTCCTACAGCGTTGCTCGAGAGATGTCATCCTTGGCATGGACTTCTTATGCCTCCATGGTGCTGTCATCAACCTAAAAACAAGGTCGATAACGTTATCCACAGAAGAAGCACTACCGCTGCGCACGCCGTCAGGACACCATGCCTTGAATGTGCTGGAAGAACAAGTCACCATTCCGCCTCGCTCAAGCGTCATTATTTCAGTCGGCGCTCCTAAATCACCTGACTTGGAAGGCGTCGTTGAAGGCAGTCAGCATCTGTTGGTCACCCGAAATATTTGCGTCGCAAGAGGAATTGCAGAGCTGCGGGGAGGCAAAGCAACGGTTATGCTCACGAATTTCAGCAATGAGTACAAACATGTGAACAAAGGAACAACGGTCGCATACATCGAAGAAATTGTCGAAGCCACCAGTGCTTTCGCCCTCGCCGATTCTGCGGAACCTGCTCAGAGGAACCAAGCCCCTCCCATAGCTTTCGACGTCAATCCCAGACTTCCGAACGATAAGCAAGAACAGCTCAAGGCCCTGCTCCTGCAATACGAAGATTCCTTTTCGTCGTCATTGAAAATTTGGCAGACCCCAATCACGAAACATCGAATCATAACCGAAGAAAATGCCAGACCACTCCGTCAGAGTCCGTACAGGGTTTCGACGCGAGAACGTGAGGCAATGAAGAGACAAGTTGATGAAATGCTGCGAGATGACATTATCCAGCCGTCCAAGAGTCCGTGGGCATCCCCCGTGGTGTTAGTGAAGAAAAAGGATGGGACCCTACGTTTCTGCGTCGATTATCGCCGCCTGAACAAAATCACAAGAAAGGACGTGTATCCTCTCCCACGAATAGACGACGCCCTTGATCGGCTCCATAACGCCAAGTACTTCTCGTCAATGGACCTCAAGACTGGCTATTGGCAAATCGAAGTCGACGAAAGAGACCGAGAGAAGACGGCGTTTATAACACCGGACGGCCTCTTCGAGTTTAAGGTGATGCCCTTCGGCCTTTGCTCAGCGCCTGCAACTTTTCAACGCGTTATGGATACAGTACTGGCAGGATTGAAGTGGCAGACTTGCCTTGTGTACTTGGACGACGTCGTCGTGTTTTCCTCGAGTTTCGACGAGCATCTTCGGCGCCTTGAAGCTGTACTTCAAGCCATCAAGACATCCGGACTCACACTGAAGCCAGAAAAGTGCAGATTTGCGTATGAGGAGCTCTTGTTTCCGGGGCACGTTATCAGCAAGTCTGGAGTTCGTCCCGATCCACGGAAAACAGCCGCCATCGCCGACTTCCCGCCGCCCACTGACACGAAAGCCGTGCGCCGATTTCTGGGCCTGTGCGCCTATTATAGGCGGTTCGTGAAAAACTTCGCCCGCATCGCCGATCCTCTCACTAACCTTACCAAGTCCGACTCGGAGTTCAAGTGGGAAACGCCACAGGAACACGCTTTCCAGGAGCTTAAACATCGCCTCCAGACGCCTCCGTTACTTGCCCATTTCGACGAATTCGCCGAGACAGAAATACATACTGACGCAAGCAGCGTAGGTCTTGGCGCCGTTCTTGTGCAGAGGGCTGACGGACTTGAAAGGGTTATTAGTTACGCCAGCCGATCGCTATCCAAAGCAGAAGCAAATTATTCCACAACAGAAAAGGAGTGCCTCGCCATCATCTGGGCTACGTCGAAATTTCGCCCCTACCTCTACGGCAGGCCCTTCAAAGTTGTGAGCGACCACCACGCCTTGTGTTGGCTAGCCACCTTGAAGGACCCTTCAGGTCGCCTCGCACGATGGAGCCTGAGACTTCAAGAATATGACATTACTGTCATTTACAAGTCCGGCAAAAAACACTCCGACGCTGACTGTCTCTCTCGTGCGCCTGTCGACCAACCGCTACCCGACGACTCGGATGACGACTACTTCTTGGGAACGATAACTACCGACGACTTCGCTGAACGACAGCGGGCCGACCCGGAACTTAAAGCCCTAATAGAATACCTCGAAGGCAGGACCACCGAAGTCCCGAAGGTATTCAAGCGCGCACTTGCGTCGTTCTTTCTACGAAACGGTCTTCTACAAAAGAAAAACTTTTCACCGCTTCGAGCTAAGTACCTCCTTGTGGTGCCTTCAGCTCTGCGACCAGAACTCCTGCAGGCCCTGCACGACGATCCGACGGCAGGGCACCTCGGTGTTTCCCGCACGCTCGCGAGGATACAAGAAAGGTACTACTGGCCACGTCTTACCACCGACGTCACTCGTTATGTGAGGACATGCCGGGACTGTCAGCGACGCAAGACACCGCCGACAAGGCCAGCGGGACTTCTGCAGCCAATTGATCCACCTTGCCGACCTTTCCAGCAGATTGGTATGGACCTACTGGGGCCGTTCCCGACGTCGGCTTTCGGAAACAAGTGGATCGTGGTAGCTACCGACTACCTCACCCGCTACGCCGAGACAAAAGCCCTGCCAAAAGGCAGTGCATCCGAGGTAGCTAAGTTTTTCGTCGAAAAATATCGTCCTACGTCACGGCGCCCCGGAGGTCCTTATCACCGACAGAGGAACGGCATTCACTGCCGACTTAACTCAAGCGATCTTGGCATACAGCCAAACAAACCACCGCCGGACGACAGCGTACCACCCACAGACCAACGGCCTCACCGAGCGTCTTAACAAGACGATCGCCGACATGCTGTCAATGTACGTCGATGTCGAACACAAGACATGGGACGCCATTCTTCCGTATGTGACCTTCGCATACAACACGGCGGTGCAGGAGACGACGCAGATATCTCCATACAAATTGGTCTACGGAAGGAGCCCGGCAACAACCCTCGATGCCATGTTACCCAACGTCACCGACGAAGAAAACCTCGATGTGAGCGAGTACCTTCAACGCGCCGAAGAAGCCCGACAACTTGCGCGTCTCCGTATCAAGAATCAACAGACACGACCGACACCCACCGTTACAACCTTCGACGGCGCTTCGTGGAATACCAGCCTGGTGAACGTGTTTGGGTGTGGACGCCGATACGCCGACAAGAACTAAGTGAAAAGCTTCTCCGACGGTACTTCGGACCGTACAGGGTGGTTCGACGTCTCGGCCCACTTGATTACGAGGTTGTCCCCGATGGCATCACGAACTCTCAACGACGCCGATCGCGACCTGAAGTCGTCCATGTCGCGCGCCTCAAGCCGTTTCATGCGCGTTAACAAACTGAACCAGTGTTTTTTTGTATTATTGTTGTATCGTAATTTATTCATTGTACTTTCTTGCATTATTATTGTACCTTCATCTTTAGTTAAAGCATCGGGACGATGCCTTTTTTCAGAGGGGGGCAATGCCACGTTCCATTTCACAAGTTTTTGTTATCGTTCCGAAACACCACACGATTCTCGGCGCAAACCGCGCCTGCAGGTTTCGAGAAGGTTCCGGACTGTAGTAGATCATTTCGATAAGATCACGCCCACTGTGCGAACGGTACAGATTGTTCTGGAACCTACACCACCGCCAGCGATAACGCTAGAACATTCGAACGCAAGGGTATAAATGCCGACGCGCTTCGCCGCTTGTCAGTTGTTGATCGAAGGCCGACGCTGCGTTCGCCGCTATCAGTCCGAGACTGCAATCTGTGCAAGACTGCTGCTGTAATTAGACTTTCCCTTTACCGGGCACAGGTTCGCCCAAATAAACAGTTAAATCCCAACACGAAGTTTTCTCTCTTTGGCCACGTCACGACCCCGTGACAATATGGTGGTTTTGGGATGTTAAACCCCACATGTCAGATCAATCAGTCAGTGAATGGAGCTTTTTTGATTTACGAACACGCGCGTCCTGTAGACATGCTTCGTAATACAACATGAAATATTGCAGTAATAATTTGTGGTACAAACTTACATTGCCATTGAGCCTCAGAACATGCGATTCTCATAATAACTTCATGGGTTAAAGCCGATCACCCGGTACAAATAGCACACACATTACTGCGCCTATTCCCTTAAGGTCACATGGGTGCATAACAAGTTCGAAACGATTTCACGCAATAAGTGTCTGAAATACACACTATAGAAAAGGTATGGCTATCGCATTCAAGTCTTAAAACAGAAGCTTAAGGGATCCTCATATTTTTTCCCCCTTTTTTGGTAGCTCTAATTCACTTTTCTTCGTATTTTGTTGTTCTGGTAATCTTTATTGATAATGCAAGACCAGCTATATCTGGTTACAGATTAAGAATAAATGCAAGCTCTACCAGCAAAACCACTGTGCGCTTGTCAATCGCCTTGTCTGAGACTCGTGCAAGCTAGCTTCTTTTCTACTTTTTCTGTGCTAGTGTTTATATCACGCATATCAAAAGCTAATGTTTTTTCATTCCTGCCTGAAATATGACCTTTGGCCAAGGAGTGATGTCAAAATATCTTGCAAAATTCGCCAAATGTTTCAAGTTTTCAAGTTATGAGCAGCTCAACAAACACATGTCTTTATAAGAATATCAACTACCTGAAAGATGGGGAAAGGACTTGACATGGTGCAACAGTGATGGAAGTGGGGGGAGCTCTCATTTATTTTTAGGTTGTGACTGACTATAGACTACCCATACATCCTATCGTGGTGTGTCATTTTTTTGCCCAAAGCAACGTCATAGCAATGATTCAACCTCTGTTTCTAATTTTAACATGATGCAGAGCAACTTCCATGGCACGGCGAGTCGCCTGAACGAGGAGACCTTAGGAGGCCAGGTGAAAGCGGGCATGGCCCAATACCTGGCCCTAGAGATCACACGGGGAAACGGCAGGGATAACCGTGCAATTGGGAAGTACCTGCCCTGGCTGTACCACCCGCCATCTTCACTGCAGCAAGGGTACTTATTGGTCTATGAGCGTTCACTTGTTTTCAATGTGTCACAGCGCATCTATGAGGTGTCTCGTGAGAGGGTGTACAGCGCTATAATCACGCAGTCCTGGGCTAGTTGACATGGTATTTGTACGAAGCTGACTGCTAAATTAAGTAATATGGAAAGAAGAGAGAGATGATCTTCCCTGTCCATGCTTTTTCTTCTTTCTGTTCTCTAATTTAAAATTCTTTCTTGTACTTGCCCTTAATGTCTTCTCAAAGCATTCAGCACAACTGACCATTTTACACGTAAATACAGGGGAACTTCGATTTCGTCCCCCGGTTTCACTAAGACCCGCATTTTATGATGAATCGGTTAGGTCCCGGCAAAATCCCCTTAGGAATAATGTATCAAAAACCTTGGTTCTACGACGCAGTTTTAAGGCAACCCCGCATCTTACGAAGACATTCAGATTTCGTTCAAAAGAAACAAGAATATCTTTACTTGAATCAAGCGTGGACCAAATATTCACAAGTGCGAAATATAAACTTGCGTTCTCCTACGTTGACGATTAGAAAAGTAGAGAGCGAGACAGATGTCTTCTTAGAATGGAAAATTTATTCTCATGGAAGTTGGTGTGCTTCTACACACGCCGCAAACGCGTGTGCACGTATCTGGGGTCGCTACCTAGTCAAGCTCTGTCCACGCAAACTAGCTCCGGCCAGTCAAAAAGCTGATATTTTCACGTTTTCGGTCCATGGAAACATTTTCTGGTCGACATACAGCTGATCTCCTGCCTTTGTCGCAGTCACAGGCTTGCGGACGCATAAGGGCGCGACGCAGCTGTTTTCACTGTGAAAGATCACTTTCACTTGACGTCGGCATTCATATTAACAGCGGGACATCACTAGTTGCACTTCACAAAACCACAAGTTACAATGTGCATAGCTCAGTCGCACACGAAGGCATTCTACGCACACTCGTAGTCGGTCGCTGTGATGTGATAGCGATGACACTGTGTCTGACTCTTCTGAGCGGAGGCTATTGGCAACACTGTTTTAATTTTGTTTACACACGCAGGCAATTTTCGGACTCTATTTATCCGTAGAAAGATGTGCGTTGGATTCAATTCTTTTTAAACTTGAGAATAGAGATTCACTCACACCTCTTTCAACCAAGTTACGCTGCCATTAGCTGTCACTGGCAAGAATAATTTAATTTACCTTGCTAACAGAGCCACAAGGTCGTGCCGTGGGCTTACTCAGGTAGTCTATACCCATTTTTTGGGGCAAGGCTGAATGTCATTGCTATAGGGGTATTCTTAGTTATTTGATTATACGACGCCCGAATTATACGACAGTTTTTCGTTGTCCACTGAAAGTTGTATAATCGGGGTTCCTCTGTATTGAGTTGCTACTGCTCTGGGAACTTGGTCCTCCTCAGTGCAGCAATGCTACCCCACTGACCTGAAGAAAAAGAGAATTGAAAGAGAGGTTTTTTTTTTTTCAATAGGGCTCTAATATGTCAGACTTTTAGTCTTTTAGTCACAAAAAGCACATAAGTTAAAACTATGTTGCTGTAAATTGAAAACAATGTCAGCACTTTCCACATTTCCGTATATTTTACGCTAAATTTGACAGTGTAAATAAACAGTAGCATAAATTAACAAAACTTTGTGTAAAAGGAGCTTTTGTCATGCGACAAGCACTGAGGTATTATGCATAAAGCAATATGAGCTCATAACCCGCGGTGGTAGCTTAGCACAGAGGATGTCGTGTTGCTCAGCCCAAGGACGCGTGTTTGATTCTGAGAACAGCTGTGTACTTAAATTTATCTGCACCTTGAAGAACCCCCGGGGGTCGAAACATAGTCCGGAGTCCCCCACTACTGCATGTCTCGTGATCATGTGATGGTTTTGGCACACAAAATCTCAGCACCTATTAATATGAGTGCACATTATGAGGTCCACTGAGATCTACCAAACGCCTACAACAACAAAGTACAGTAGACTCCCAGTAAACGAAAATCTGATCAATGGAACTGCTGCTTAAACGGAACAACTGCTTTCAGCATGATTGGTTTCATACCTGAATTTCGCACCCCTGTTTATCGCTTAGTGAATGGAACTCCTTTTGAAAGAAAGAGATATTCCCGGTTCCTTTAGGTTTCGTATGACGGGAGTAGAGTGTTCTAGAATTGGGGAGTAAGTCCACACAAGCGCTGAATAATTTTTTTTCTGAAAATTCAGTTGGCACCTTCGTTGCCTTCACCTGAAGGTTACTATGGTTACCGTTGATGTTGCCATACTTACGGCCACGTGTGGTGGCAGGCGATGGCTGCTTCGCCGTCGCCAGCTGTCCCACGCATCAGTCGCGTCTCAAGCGTGTCCCGCAGCATTTGTGCGAAGCCATAGACGGTGTCGCACCAAGTCTGGCGAATAATTCAAGTAATGGGAGGCACTACGTTAATTTTGCTAAACACCCTGCAAGTGGCTAATAGCAGCAGGGCTAGCTTCACTGCGTTCGACTCTTTTTTTCGCACTAACAAGGTTGAAAGTAGCTAGCGAACAAACGGTAAAAACAACTTGCGAGCAGCACGCAGACGATGCCACGCCGGGCAGATGACAGCTCGGCGCTCTCGCAGTAACTACGGGCGCTGCCGGTCACTGCTCCAGTGGCCCAACATAGATGAGCGGGAGCTTCAGGTGAAGGCGACTGCAGTGCCACCGTAAATTTTCCGCGCATTTTGCTTCACCCGCGCCGCTTGCCGCCCGATACAGTGGACACACTCCCCCATTCTTACACACTCTAACGGGAGTCTAATGTGATGGGCATCTCGCACAGCCCCAAGGAGTTCATCGACTGCGTTGCCCACATCCGGCTGCTATCGTGGCTCCTGGTCGGAGCACTAATGCACAGCGCCCTCCTCGGCAACACTGCAAACCTCGTGTGCCAGCCCATACCGCTGGAAGCCAACGGCCACATAGCCGACCACATCCAAGTCATCCTCGCTGGATTTGCAGAGCAATCCAAGGCAAGCATACCAGTAACGCTTCTAGCAGTAATCTCCAAGAAAAGTTATAAGCAAATTAGGCTTTGTGTCATGTGCCATGCAGAGTGACAAAAGACTGGTATTTTGTCACATAAGAAAAACGTTTCATAAAAGTTTCGTGTCATATGGGTAGGTCGATATTACAAATACTGCTTTTTAAAATATTTAATATTGCAAGGAAATAACATAGAAATATTGTTAAATCAATAGCAACCTTACAACACCATGACATACCTGTACATCTCAGGAATCTTGAACCTTAATTTGTATCATGCCTTCACGGCAAATATTAGTTTCACTTTTCTAAATGTAATTTACAAAAACTCTAAATATTTGTGTTCATGCGATAATTTCTCCTGCAAAAAAAATTCAAGATGTATTTTGTTAACTTGTAAACATGCATATTCATTTATATTTATACATATAAAAGGTGACCTTGTTTTCTGCTTTATTACTTCACTATTCATAAAAAGCCAGTAACCAGCCGCAGTACCAGCCGTAGTGATCAAATCGCATTAAATTCTGCATTAAAAATTATTAGTGACTGGTGCGATACGTGGAAAATGAAAATAAACTACAGTAAGACTATGTATATAACGATAACCACTAAAATTAAAAATATACACTCCTTCGAATATCATATAGATGACAGGGCTCTAAGCCGTGTAAACCATTTTAAGTACCTCGGACTTAATATATCCAATGATCTAAACTCGAAAACACACATAGGTAGATAACATATGCTCCTCAGCTGAAAAAAAGCTCTGGTACTTGAGGCGAAAGTTAAAACTTGCTCCTGAGCAAACTAAATTAACTGCGTACTTAACGCTTGTTTGTCCTACTCTAGAGTATGCAAGCGTCGTCTGGGACCCCTTTAAAAACAACCTGATAGAAAGAATTGAAAAAATCCAAAGAAGAGCTGCAAGGTTCATCTTATCAAAATACCGATCAACTGATTCCATAAGCGAGATGGTTAACAAATTAAACTTGCCTTTACTTGCTCAACACAGGAGGATAGCTAGATTGAAAACTCTGTATCTTATTCATCGTAACTGGTTTAATTTCAATGCCCAAAAACATATAAAACAGCGAGTGTCCCGAACAGTCAGAAGCAGCCACCAAGAACATATTCTACCGATTCCAGCACGAATAGATTCACATAAATACTCGTTTTTCCCCAGAACAATCGAGGAGTGTAACTCACTGCCACATGAACTACTGACAGTAGACAATGTAAGCAAATTTGAAACTGGGATAACTAAACTTTTCACTTCAACTGCAGACACATAGCCTATACATTGCGGATTCAATTTACCTAAAGAAAACTGTCGTTTTTTGTTGTATAAGAGCTGATTCCTTCAACGACCGCGGAAAAATTGTTGGTACCAGGATTTACTAGTATCTATAGCTCTTCTTGCTTGCATTGTACCTTTTCTATCATTGTATAACCTGTACTACTCCATTGTGTCTTTTGCGTGTACTGTACCTTTAATCTGTCCTCGATTGCGACTGCATTTTTTCCCTTTTTTTTGCATATTTTGTTACACAACCACCCTGTAACAGCCTTCGGCCAACATATTGATAAATAAATAAATAAAGCATCAGCACTATCTCTCTGTCGAATGTTACACATCCTATCGTAATGCATTTACCAAAGGGCGTCATATTTATACTTGTTTTTATACTAAAAATGCTTACTTTATCGCGCTGTCATGTACAATGCCTCTTGGGTCCACTGAAGCGGCTGAAGGCAGCTTTTACTCCCAGACGAATCTGCTAGCCTCTACTGGAAGAATATAAAGTTGAAAGCTGAAAGTTGATTGCTGATACGAAATGCAACCATGTATATGTAACTACTATTTGCTTGAGGTAACTGCACAATTAAAAGCTTGCAGAAAAGCTAAACATATGCAGACGTTCTGCTCTTTTCATGCAGCCCACAACCAGAAACTATCAATTTGAGTGTTACCCAAATAGTTGGCTTGCGCGAATAGTAAATTTTAGGTTCGAAGTGAACTCGAAGCAAATGGTGATTTGGTTTGAATAATTTCGAATCAAATTTATATTGTATGCATTACATATTATAAAGAAAAATGTGCATATCTGTCATGACCCAACTAACCTTCATAATATTTATTTTTAAATTGAAACAAGGCGTGAGCAAATGTCATTCTTTTTGGTTCAAAGATGTAGAAGCATCTTTGAATGGTTAGCAGTATAGGACTTTCGGTAGGTCAAAACCTGTAAAATATGTTAAATTTTAAAATTTATTATACTTACAGCATATAAGCCAGTATAACAAGCGTTTAAACTAAAGAAACAAGAAATTATCGATGTGAGGGTAATATGTTTATTAACTTTTAAATGAGGTTTCGAGACAGTGCGGACTTTTTTTGTAAAAGTGTATTCATGGTAGTGCACTTCTTCACTGCAGTGAAACCACTTTTATAAGAAATCACACGCGGAATAATACATGCCTATTCGTTTATTTTGAATACTTCAAAATTTGCTACAATTTAAATTCAGATAGAAACAAATTCGAATATGTGAAGTGCCTAATTATTCGCACAAGTCTAATAAATACAGTACATCGTGTTTGGAGGTTTCTCTACTTGGTCACACACCGGTCACAAAATTCACTGTCTGCAGGATCTCTGCCTGATACAGTGCCCTGAATTTGCACGTCTTTCATATACTGTTAGTAACTGCAACTCATGTCTCGTCTTTCAGGCTTCTGTTCTACACATGTCTTCACTCTTTCACGCATTCATCCTCTGTCAGGTGAGCATAGTTCCAGCATTCGCAAGTTTTGTGTCTTGTTTTTTTTTTTTCTTTCTGAAAGACCTGTGATGGTATGTTGCATAAGGAGTGCATTTTTACATTAACCAGCATTGTTGTAACAATGATCGATGTGAATTTACATTCGAGATATATGCTATGCTCAAAGTTTGGTGGGCAGCCGATAGTGGCAATGCTGTAGGAAATTTCGTTTCAGCCGTTTACTACTTAGTGAAAAAAACAAAAATCGAGGGCAAAATGTTTCTGTTAGGGGAGATGCTGTGGGAAATGTCATTTCAATTGTTTACTGCTCTGCGAAAAGAAAAAAAAATTCAAGCACCGAAAGGTTTTGTATGGGCACAGGGGCAGTAACTTGTAGCGCATGACCGTGGCAATGAGATGTGTTAGCTGCGGGCTTAATGCAAAGAGGCACAATTAACAGAGACAGCTCTGCAAAATTTTCACAAGAGTGACAACTTTGTAGAGCTAAAGTTAAGGGTAGGTACTTGTCCTAATGCCATACATGTTCATCATCATTTTTATTATCATAAACTTTTATCATCCATTAACACCACACACTTTTCACGGCATCGTCATGTTTTTATTACTTCTATGTTTTTACCCGCCTTAGAGCTAGGAATTTTATGGCCCATATACAGCCGCTTATCACAATCATTGTCCATATCTCTTGTAACATGAACTGGCACTCTTTGGCCATGCAATAACCCTTGCGCCACAAAACATCAAACATCATCATCAAAGTTAAGGTAGCCATATAATAATGAAAATATTGAAGATGGTGACCACACTAGCTTAACCCCTTAACTGCTCAATTTCTTAAAAATATTTCCATTCAAAAAGTGCTTATTTTTTCATTGCTGATTTCGAATTTTATTGCACTAAAATGTAGCTAATCGATGTTGAAAAAACTTTTTTACCGCATACTTTGTCAAATCAATGAAGTAAAGTTTGATTCTGAACAATATATAGGAGACCTGCTGCTAATAAAGTTAAAAACCATATAAACAAAACAGTTAAAGATGTCACATTTTTCTTTACTTGTGTAGGGTAAGCACCCTGGGGGTATTTCACTCGGGAAGCTTCGGAGCTGTGTGGAAAATTTCAAAATGAGGAATGACGCAAAGCGACTTCACTGGCAAGCATTTGGGATGTTGGCGTTCTAGCTGTCTTCATCATAGGCGAAGGGGCTACTCAATTCACCTCCATTACTGTCTTCACTTCTGGACACACGATAAATGTCTGCACTCCAATCATCATCACTCGAAAAAGATGACAGAACCGAATAGTAGCTTCTTTTTCATGTTGACAGGCCAGCTATGCATAGGTGTCTGTCACCGCACACCGTCTTTCCATGCAAGGACCGCGCTCTTGCTGTAGCAAAAAAAAAACAACTAAATGCTCAAGCAAACGCTGCCATCTAGTGGATGACACGCAATATAAACCGCAAATGCGCACTCTCCGCCTGAACGCTAGAGGCGAGTACCTATTTCGCTAGGACGAGCTCTGCTCGTCCAAAGCAGTTTGGTAACAGTTTAGGCAAGACGAGCTTTGCTTTTTCAAAGCACTTAAGGGGTTAAATACCCGAAGGAGCTCTCATGAACATTGCACATTGACTGAAGCTGGTCACTGTTGTGATGAAAGCTAGTAGATTCAACAGCATGTCAACACTGCAACAGAGTGCGAAATCAGGCAAGACGGTTGCTCATCATTGCTACGAGCTATGTAAACAGGGTGTCAACGCAAAGTAGAGAGGTACAGTTCTGATAAATGGCAATATATGTGCTTGTTGTCTGTTTAGTGCCTGTCCTGTGTACTTCTTCGTCTTGCATTGCTATCCCACATGCGTTGCTTGTCACAATGCAAGTCGAACTTTATGTATGCAGGTTCCGTTTAGGTAAAAAATACTGCTTCACGAAGAGATGAAAATCTCAGTGTCACCAAGTGGCATTGCTGCTATTGCTATTTCAGCCCCAAAGTAGTTCCAAAGGAAAGGGTTGGTCATTGGTGACCACAATTGTCTTGACTCTTCCATATCAAGTGTGAGGCGATGAGTGATTTCAAATAGACCATCCCAGAAGCTGTATTACTGCATGACCCTATATTCATCAATGATCGTGGGTTAATTCCTTTGATAATTTCTTTCAGAAATTAAAGGGGCTCTGCAACACTTTTTGAGCATGGTCAGAAAACGCTAGCGATCGGTAGTCAAGGCTCTCAAAAACACGCGAGTCAAATACTATAGCGCAGCACGCAGCCTGGAATTTCAAATAAATTCTCAAGGTCAGCTAAAAATCACAATCTCTTGTTTTGACAAGTGATGCCATATACACAAACTACTGCACCACATGCCCAAAGTCGGCGGCCATTGGCTGATTTGAACGTCATGAGCTACATATTTACTGTGGGTGCCGTGGTATGCTGCCACATGCACGCGCACATGCTCGCGGTCACACAGAAACTAAGCTGTGCGCTTGAAAAAAAAGAAATAAAGGAAATTCATCAAAGTCGTGACGCGTGCTGACAAAGAGACCTGTCTTATTGCCCCGTTTTCATCGCCATCTCTGCGTAGCTTTCAGCACTCGCATCGCTACGAAAAGAGAAAAAAGCATTTGAAGCTTGCGATGAATCCCTGTAACTCTGCTTATTCTTGATAGATTCTAACAAATTTTGTGGCATGTGATTTGTGAAACATCGTGCTCCAATAGTGAGGCTAAGTTCAGTTAAGAGTTGGCGCTTGTGTTTTGAGTTCCTTCTTTTGAGTGCAGCCTTGTTACCTTTTGGTGCCGTTTCAGTGGTATGAATTCAGGAAGAGGAAAGAAATGAGTGGTAGGACCGTGAGGTTATAACTCAGAAAAGTGCTGCCGGGTGGGCCATTTTAAGAACAGCAAATGTTTTGAAGGCATAGTGCGTTTCCATACGTCACCTTGCCACTGCTCTTTGGAGCTCAGCAGCATCGGTGTTTCTTGTTAACCTGGGGCATGCAAGATTTTACACTTAGTTTCTGGATTCCCATTTTGCCGTGTTGGAACCCATTCATTCATACATGCAATGATCTGATGAATTGGTGAGGAGCATGTATGTTCACGAGCAATGCAGCAACTTGATGCTTTGCATTACACTCGAACCTTATTATAAGAAACGTGCATCTTACATGAAAATGAGTTCGTTATATCCGAAAATTCGTTTTAAAGGTTTATTTTTAACACTAAATCAATTGCGAGACTATTTTCCACTTACTTTGTTATAGCCGATATTTTGTTATGTCCGGATTCGTTATATCGAGGTTTGAGTGTACAAGTGAAAGCAGCTGCTAGTAATTTGCCAAGTGTAGCTAACGCTGTCGCTGCACGGGTGTTCTATTGATTCGTGGTGAATTCACGTGCAGCTGTGGACCATGTACTGTGAACACATGGTGTCACTGAACCCGCCTGGCAGTGAACAGAGCCAGCTGTGCACGCTGACCCTGACAGACTTCTGGATCAAGATCACGCCGGGCATCCTTCAACTCGTGTGCCATTCCAAAGTGGCAAGTTCATTTTTTTTGCAATGTTCACACTGCACAAGTTTCTACTGCATGCCCTCATAGTGAGGCACTACATTGAGGTCCAGTTGTGTATCACGTCTAAAATGTTTTCCGACAACAAACAGGAATCTCGGAGTTGCAGAGAACATAGCAGTGATTCGTACGCCTTGGTGAGCAGGCTCTGGCTTAACACTAGGTCTTTGTTTTCTTTTATATTAAGCACTTGCTGTAACCAGTGAGAAAAATCTAATAGAGAAAGGGAGTAATCCTTGCATTACACGGCCCCTGTTTAGGCTTCTAAGTTCATTTCGTTCGAGTTTTTTCTTTGATTTTTTTTTTTCGTATCATTTGAGAGATTACTTGTTTGACTAAAAATTGCAGATTAACGTAGTGATTATCAATTTCTGTATGCTTTTTATCCTTCTTACCTATGAGTTACTAAAATTGATTGAAGCACTATGATTACGAGCTGACAAGGCGCGAGGCGCGCGCCTTGTTTTGTGCCACAAAGCATCATCGTGTACTAGCTGCGTAAAGAAGCCTGCTTGTAGGCTTTCACTTTGCCTATTCAGGTTTAATGTTTACCAGCGACACCTTTAAGGACAGACTGCACATCTATGCCGTTTTATGCTGTATGCGTGTGACAAAAACCTAAAATGCAGCACTATACGCAGTAGTTGCGCAGAAGTTCAAAGGGCGCAGACAACACACATCCATTGAAGCTGTCATGAGTGGTGTCTTGCTTGTTCAGTTTCTGTGATTAGCCAAATTGCATGCCATAATCAGCTTACAGCAGTGTTATTCTACAGCAGATATTGAGTTCGAAGGGTGCAAGTGAAGGAACGTAAGTACTGCAAAGAAGTCCCAAGTAGGCAGGTGTCAGCTAACGCTACACAGCGTCTCAACGCAACATTTGCAGAAGGGTGGGGGGGGGGTGCTGTCACACAGAAATTGTTACATTGCAGGAAAGCTAGGATACAGTTTTTGCAGCCTTATAACTGTATCATTGTGACGAACGATCTAGCTTCGCAAACACCCAGCGAGGGTTTCATCTGCATGCGGTGTTAAAGTGAACTAGTGTCTGCATCACGCTTCAGCACGCACTCCCTGGCTCCCCACTGGCTTGTGCGTGTGTATATTGCTTCGATGGTGACTGTGTTCTGCTTCTCTCCCTCTCTGCTTACCCGCTTCCCCCTCCTGGATGCTTGCAGGAAGGCCATTCTCAGGTGTGCACGCCACGTTTTTGTCTCGCTCAAGGTGTTGTTCTCAGTAGCGATGGGCGAATGTTCGGCCGCATCGGACGTTCGAATGAGTATTTGAATTCGCTTTCACGTGAATTTAAATTATTGAAAATTTCAAAGTAATCGTAACGAATGAATGTATATATATTGTAACGGGCCACTTATAACTGCATATGAGCACATATAACCTTCTCTAAATGTAGTTTCACTGCGGTATGAGGATGCTATGTTGTGAAACTACTTATTCAAGAGTAATGCGCACCGCCGCAAAGCCACACCAAGGGTAAATGTACACATTACCTTTGCCTCAATTAATTATTTTTCGTGTCTAAAAGCATCTTATATGGGCTTATATGGGATAAATGTAGTCATTTGTTTATACATAATACATTGTACCTGTTGAACTTGTCACTCTACTGGTATACAAATCTTGCTAATATTTAAAGTTTCTTCCACTTACGAATAAAAACAATGTGGCATTTGCGCATGCCTACTTTCAGTTCTTAAAAATATTGGGAAAGGTATTGGGGTCGTGCCGAAACTGCTAACTTTTAATATGTACGATATATGATATTTCAACTATTCGATTTCAAATTATTCGCTTTAAATTCACTTCTATCCTGTGATTTACTATTTTTCTACATCAAACAAACCTTGTTTATTATCTTCAGTGCGCATGTAACACTATTTTAAAAAAATTCAAGTAAAGTGGACAGCTATCGGTTGGCCTACAGCAGGGACTCAAATGCCATCAATAACCAATGTGCATCGAAATATTTTTCCTTCGCAAGCATTCGCACATTTACGCATTTGATAAAATCAAAACTTTACGTCAAGTTCCTAAGTTTAAAAAAAGCATTAAATTTTTGCACTATTTTTAACTAGAATATGACAATACTGTATGGTATTTTTGATAATGGTCACATTTACTTTCATGAATCTAATGCCCTTGTCACACGGGAAATGTAATACCATTACTACGAATGACATTAAGTAGACTCGATGTCATTTTACCTTCGTGCTGTCACTCGAAGAAAACAAATGTCATTTGAAAATCATGACGATGACCTTAGCCTTCCGGAGCCCTGGCAATGGAAGAAATAACCCGCGATACAGGTGACAACAAAAACAGAGCACGAATGAAAAATGGCCGTCATCCAGCCACTGTAGTTTATGGTAGCTTTTTTTTAGAAATTTTCGCCTTTTCATGTGCTATCATGTAATCTAACTAGTAATAAATTTATGTAGTAAAAATAAAGATATTTACAAATTACAAAAGTTACGTATACGTAAGTTAACAGCTATCTCCCCAAAAGTCTCTAGCGTTGAGACTACACATTCGGTCTGAAATCCAATGCGAATGTGTTTCGGAAACTCATTCGGCCGAAAATGTCATTTTCATCTAATGGCATTACTTTCCCAATGTGACAGCAAACAAATTACGTTACAATCGAATGAAATCCACTGTAAATGACATTCGATTTGCCGCGGGACAAGGGCACGACTTTCCATGCAACTAGCAATACAGTTAGCCCTGGATATAACGAAATTGATAAATTCCCAGAAATATTCGCTATAAAGAGGATTTCGTTATATGTAGGTTCGGTATGAAAATTCGGGAAATGAACGCGCAAATTAAACAAAAGGGGGACTGAAGGCAAAACACTCATTTTACAGTAAAAAAAAAACTGTGTTATTATTGCGACAGCAATCATATGGACGCTCTCGACGGGTTTTTTTTTTTTTTCGTCGCCGCTATGTTCCGGTGCGTAACATTTCCCGCGTGTTGTTGGAACTGCCGTCGAATGTTGAAATAGAAAGTGAACCACCCGTCTTGAACGAGCATGAAACAACGCGGGTTGGGGGAAGGGGAGTCGCTCGAGTAGTAATAATGCCCTTGGATTTTAAGGGCGGTCGCGATCGCTGGCGCGCTTGCTATCTCGGCGAGTATCAGTGCGGTTTCAACGCGAAGGGACTGTGTGAAAAGAGCACTTCTCCCTGGAGCGGCCGTATGTATGTGCTCACACCAGTGTTTTGTAGGAGTTCTGCGATATCGGATCCAAAAAAAGTTTGGCTGCCAGCCTTACTTCTTATAACATTACCATTTTTTTTTCTATCGCGTTCATTGCTTTCGATTCAGCGCGCAACATCGTGTTGTTGCCAGAAGTAATCCGCTAATCGGATGGATGGACGGACGGACGGACGGATGGATGGAGGGATGGAGGGATGGATGGATGGATGGATGGATGGATGGATGGATGGATGGATGGATGGATGGATGGATGGATGGATGTGGCTGTACCCTTTAGATCGGGCGGCGGCTAACGCCACCTAGCCATAATACTTAGTGAACTAACCATTACATTTATCTTTTTTTTTCCTTTAAATAATGAAGTTGAGGATTCGTACTTCGCAGTGAAGGGTTTAATTTTCACTCGTGCCTTGACTTTAGCCACCAATCAGATAACCTCCTTCTAGTTAAGTCTACCCGCTTAAAGTCTATTTTGCCCTCGCTGTCCCTAAATTTCAGTGCTTTGAAAAACTCTGCGCCATCATCCTGAACTATAGGGTGAAGCCCTTTACAGAACATTATCAAGTGTTCGGCAGTTTCTTCTTCCTCTCCACACGCACTGCATACTTTGTCGACCCCTTCGTATTTGGCCCGATATGTCTTGGTTCGCAGTACTCCCGTCCTGGCCTCAAACAGTAGAGAACTACCCCGAGTATTATCATAGATCCTTTCCTTGGCAATTTCCTGCTTAAAAGTTCGATAGATCTCTAGTGCGGACTTCTTAATCATGCCCATTCTCCACATGTCAGTCTCCGTTTCCTTCACTTTTTTCTTAACCGATAGTTATTTTGGTTTGGCCACCTGCTGTTTTCTAAGTATTTACCAGTCAACTTCCTGGTTCGCTTCCTCCATTTTGTATCGACATTCTTCATGTACAAGTAGCTGAAAACCTTCCTAGCCCAACGCTTTTCCCCCATTTCTCTCAATCGCTTCTCAAATTTTATCTTGCTGCTAGCTTCCCTGCCCTCAAATGATGTCCATCCCATATCACCTTGTACTCCCTGATTTGGTGCATTCCCGTGAGCTCCTAAAGCAAGCCTACCTATTCCACGTTGCTTAATTTCTAATCTTGCTTGAACTTCTGATCTCATGCACAAGACCGCATTGCTGAACGTCAGCCCAGGAACCATGACCCCTTTCCATATTCCTCTCACAACATCATACCTATTGTAATTCCACAGTGCCCTATTTTTCATGACTGCTGCATTCCTGTTACCTTTAGTCGTCACGTATATTTCGTGTTCCCTCAGATACTCGGTCCCATTGCTTATCCATACGCCCAGATATTTGTATTTATCTGTTATCTCTAGCGTCACCTCCTGTATTATAAGCTCACTACCTTCGTTGTCATTGAAAATCATGACTGCTGATTTTCCCCTACTGAATCTAAAATCTAACCTATCTCCCTCATTACCGCAGATGTCCATCAATCTCTGCAAATCTTCCTTGTTGTTGGCCATTAGCACTATATCATCTGCGTACATTAATGCTGGTAGTGCCTGATCAATAAGTTTTCCTTGTTTGACTAAAGAGAGGTTGAAGCCCAGTCCACTTCCCTCTAATTTTGCCTCTAATCCTTGTAGGTACATCATGAATAATAAGGGTGACAGGGGGCACCCCTGCCTAAGCCCCCGTTTTACCTCTGCAGGCTTCGATACCTGTTTTTCCCACTTTATAACTACCTTGTTACCTTTATAGACACCCTTTAAAAGATTAGTGACTACATGTTCCACGCCTAGTGTGTCCAGTATTCCCCACATTTCCTCTTGAACCACGCTATCGTACGCTCCCTTGATATCCAAAAATGCTAGCCACAGGGGCCTGTGTTCTTTTTGTGCTATTTCGATGCACTGCGTCAGTGAGAACAGATTGTCTTCCAACCTCCTGTGTTTCCGAAACCCATTCTGCAGTTCCCCCAGCACCCCCTCATCCTCTATCCGCGCCTGCAGTCTTTCCTTTATAATCTGCATCGCCAGCCTGTAGACCACTGATGTCACTGTTATAGGACGGTAGTTGTTTATGTCAGCTTTGTCCCCCTTTCCTTTATAGATCATGCTCATCCTGCTAAGTTTCCATCCATCGGGAACTTCACCATCGATTATTATTGTACTCACTGCCTCTCTCAAAGCCTGCTTAGACTTCGGACCTAATGTTTTTATCAGCCTAATCGCGAAGGCTACCAGCCTGCCACCTCGCGGCGAAGGACGCAAGCGCGTGAGGAGTCGACCTCCGTCGTCACCGTGGTCTCGGAGAGTTTCCATCAGCGCCTAATCTGACATCCCCTCGGGGTTGACGACACGTACGGTTGTCCGAAATTAACAAAAGTCGCACTTTAGCCGCAAGGGCGAAGCAGTGCGACGGCAACAACTTGGAATTGCCGCTAACAACGGCAAGCAGATCGAAACGTGCAGCGCGCTGCTCGCGCACAAATGACGCATGAAAGGAACGCGCACAGGACGAAAGCGAACTAACAACGTTTACCGCTCGACATTTGGCGCGCTGTTCAAACAAAAACGAGGCACTAAACGTGATCACGGGTACAGATATGAGTGCAAACCAACGATGTGCCCCAGTTGTTACTTTGCTGTGTTTGAAAAGCGCACTGTTTTCGCAAACGGCGCCTGTCCTGCGAGCGAAGTGATCTTTGTGCGCCCGGCAGGTCAAAGTCGAATGTGCACCCGGCAACTAAACGCAATCGTTCCGGTCAAAGGCGAAGGCGCGCGATTCTCTTCACCGAAAATTAAGCGCGGGTGCACAAGCATCTACCCCCCCCCCCCCCCCCCACCCAAATCCATTCGCGGGGCAAAGTACGCGTGGGAGATAAGCGCGCGTCGGCGCATAGTGACGAACTGGGCGCAGTGCGCGGGCGTTTTTTTTTTTTTTTTTCCTTGAGTTTTCGTATATATGTGAAGGGAGGCGGCGACGGCAAAAAACCAGCCGAGACTGTCCATATAATTGCTATTGCAATAATAAAAATAAAAAAAGCAAAGCTGAACGTCGTCGCGGGCCGCACCTTGTGCGCACGGCATCGAAAACGAAGAGCGAACGACACGGACACTGCGGAAAACTATTCGGTAAAGCGCCCTCCATGTGCAGCGCGGCCCCGCATGTGTGACGCTGACTTTTTTTTTTTTTTGAAGCGTGGCACTGCCAACGCGCAAAAGTAGTTTTCTTTTTTTTTATTTTGGTTTCGAGGGGGGGGGGGCACACACCTACATGGGGTGCAGGCCCGCCTCGCGCTCATCCACCCGCGCCCGTTATTGATCGCTCGTATCAAAATGCGGAGTAAAATTCCTAGATTGTTCGTGGGGAAAATTCGTTATATCAAGGTTGTCTGCCACTGTTACTTTGTTACATAGAGGTTGCAAATACATGTGCTTCTATGGAGCAACGGCAGGGAATAGAAAAACTTCGTTATATCGAAAAATTCGTTATATGGAGGTTCGTTATAAGCCGGTTTAACTGTATATGTTAGCAACATTGTCGAGTACCCACACCCGAAACGTTGCGAACGTGAAATTCGCGAGAGAGCCATGTTGCCGTTTTATCTGGGAACATAGCCTGCAAACAGGGGTCCCAGTTCCTAGTAGTTCTTGTGACCTACACGACTACCTGCCGAGTTGGAAGCGCTGTTCATATTTGTAGTGCAGCCCACGTGCTGCAAGCTTTTGTAAGTGAGTGTGTACCTACCTAAGCGCTCTCGCACATTTGTATATTCCGGCTGCGAGATCGAATTCTGGCCAATGCGGCCGCATAATCGATCGAGGCAAGGATGCTTTAGGCTTGCGTTGTTGTGTTTAGGTGCACATTTCGGTGCCCCGGATGTTCGAAATTTCCGGAGCCCTACACTACAGCATCTCTCACAACCATATCGTGGTTTTAAAATGTTGAACCTCAGCATACGTACTGATTGGCAAGGTTGGTGAGCCATTATCATTTGATGAAGCAGAGCACAGAAAGGCACAAAAAAAACCACTCATAAAGGACACATACATAAGTGCTGTATTGCAGCTGATTTATGTGCGCATGTTTTTGTGTCCTTCTGTGCACTGCTTCATCAAAAGATCCTCAGCAATTACATTATTATATTGCACTTACATATTCTTGCACATTTATCTTTCCAGCTGGCAGAAATGGTGAGCCTGCACTTTTTGAGCTTGATGGAAGCACTGCTGGAATGCAACTCGACAGTCCTTGCAAGGGTAAGCACGACTGATGTGCGCATTGTAACGGAATTGCTCAATTGCGATTTTTGTTGCTCGCTTCTCTAGCTCCTTCCAATGTGGACACCAGTGCTGTACAGCTACCAGGGACAGGTGAGTAACACTGACAAGGCGTTGATTGCGTTGGCTCTCGTTCTCGTCGTTTGAGAGGTCGTGTGGCACTGCTGCACTCGGATCACGCAGAACCAACTAGCCCCAAGGTTTTGCATTATTAGATGGTGATGCCGTCGTGCTTGTCCCGGCCCGTGAACTGAGGAAGTTCTCTAGCACATCAATTAATTGCTTTCACTCCATGTGCTGGCCGGCACAGGCTCACATAAGTAATGAGAGCCCTGACACCAGGGGCTTGTACATCATGGAATCCAGTCTGTCGCTTCTTATCCTGTGCCATAACATCACAGAAACGGACAGCACCTGCTAGGGCTGCATAACTTTTTTATGAGTAAAAATGAATGATGTTTTGGTTTAAGGGGGCCAGAGGCTCAAGATGGAAAGTTTCGGAAAATTATGTTGAGCCAAGTTTGAACAACACGATAGCCAGTATTGCCATTTGAAAGATGGATTTTTCCGTATCTCATATATGGATTGTTTTTGTGGGTGATTTGGCGTTAGCGTTCAAGAAATGCATACTAGAGCAATCTGTAGTATGACTGAAACGTGGATGCCGGTTCTGACAATTAGAGGTTTTGTTCCAAGGTTATTTTGGTGAGCGCATGGGGAGCCTCATAAAAGCGATGCTTGAGACAAGTCATGCCTGTGTAGTTTGTAAATATACTTATTAAGCATCAAGAAAATGTTTTTAATGTGGGACGAAGACAGTCGTGTCGATGCCTCGCTACTGGCAAGAGGTCCGCTGGTCCCGTGTTTTAGAACCCTGGTTCGGGGTCTACAACAGCGCTCGTCTTCACGCCGCAGTTGCCGAGCCAGTTGAAAGTGCGGCTGCAGGCCTGCCTCGACTGGCTCCCACCGGTGCAGACACGAGAGGAGGCCACCTTTGTGAGCAGCAACTTCCTGAAGTGGCTACAACGAATCCAATTCAAGATGGGCCAGATCGAGCTTCAGTCCTCGGCTGCCACTCAGTTCTATTCTGTCTGAATATTTCCCTCGCGTCTTCCACCACACAGTTGACCCAGTTACCAACCGGTCACTCATTCTGTACTAACAAACACTGCATGGCTGATTTTGTGTGAAGTTTGCTTACACACACTTCAAATTTTTTAGTTGATCTAAACGAACGAAAAGGCACTTAAAAAGTGCAATACAGCATTGAGTACCCAGATACGAAGAAATTATGTTTAGTTGATGATCTGTCATTACTCATACACACGGTGTTTGGCAAGTCAGTGGGAAATGCTTGTAACTTTTACATGCATTTTACACCTTCCGTGTTAGATGTGTGAGCAATAATGCATGTCGATGCCAAAAGTCAGATAGGTTTCAGTTTTCATTACACAATTGAAGGCTGCGTGTTGACAGCTCTTTTCTTGATAGCATGGCCGAAAATATATTTGCAGAGCTAATGACTTGTGATGCAGACCATGTCTGGTTTGCTTTTTGTTCTTATTACAGAGCTGTGACGCTGCTACATCATTGTTGTGCAACTTTCTTTTAAAGGTGCTGTTGTGCACAATGCCAGGGTGCTTAGTTATGGATTGGGCAACGTTTACATGTTCTGAATGCAAACAGGCTTTGGAAAAACAAATCATGCGTATGTGTCGTTCAACGACTCGGTTGAGTGTTGTGAAAGCACTGATATGACTCGATCCTCAGTTCACGTTCGAAGCCATACCTCTTGAGTTGCACGTGCTTTATGTCTGTCATAATTTTTCTTAGCCTGCTTCTTTCTTTAAAAAAGTATGCAAACCTTGAACCATTGAGATGCAGTGGGGGCAGTGGAGCCCTAAGCTTGTGTGTCGTCGGCCGCTCACTTGGGTCGTCACCTGGCCCTTGGATTGGGAAGCTTGCTACTACAAAGGTCATTGTCAGAGGCACTTGCCATACCGCTTTTTCTAGCTACACGTAGGTCCGATGCTTTGTCTACGGTATATAAACAGTACTTGCGCTGCTTGCTCGTCCGTGCTGGCTCTTAGATGTTACCGCTTACGCTTTGTACTAGTGGCGCATTATCAGCTCGTTTAAAGCTCGGCTGTTGTGAGCTGCCAGTTTTCTACCTTGTTGAGTGTTACGATACGCGAACGAGATGTGTGAACCAAGGGATAGAAGAAAGAGTTTTACCGAACGTTGTCATGAGACGTCACAGGGGCGGTAGGCTGCCATGCTCAAAGAGAAGTGATGTACGCAAATGTTAAATGTTACGGACTCATATTTCGGAGAAAGAACTTCGGCAGGACAAGTTGTCACCCAATTTTTTCCTCATGCACCAAAGATACTGGTGGTTTACAGTGACGAAAGATGATCTCCTGGGTGCAACTCACATCTACAACACCGCTGAACAGATGCAGTGAGGCAAGCAAATTTCAGGTGCCAGTCTGTTATGCAAAACTGCTGAAAATTGAATGTTTGTTTTTATATTTTGATAACTATGCAGCTACGACCCTCTTTTGCGTGAGAACTTTTGCCTCCCCGACCAACTATATTGCCATGAATACGCATATGCGTGAAATTTTAACAAAGTTCTTAAGGTACAAAGAGAAATGCAGGAAAAGATACAGCTGTACCTGTTTTAGTTGCTCTGTCATAGATATTTGTTTATAATTCTACATTGTGCTGTCTATCATACGTTTAGTCCTATTTGCTGTCACAATTTCAAGTAATTGTTTTAGTTTTTGAAATATCACTACTTTTGCATCTTTTTTTATAAACTTATATTTTCTTTTCCCACTAATTATGTTCTGTTTACCTCAGTAATTCTTATCACTCATAACAGCCTTAACTAGTATTCAAAAATTAAAGCACCTTTCAAATATCTTACTTAAATTATCACTAAAGGTTCGATACCCTGTCTGAGACGGGCCCATATTCTTAAACAAACATTGATCCGAAATTCATCCTTCACTTGGCGAAGTTGGGCACAGCGCCGCTGCTTGACTGAAAATGACCCTGCACTTCTGAAAAAATGGTGCAGATTATTGCTAATATGCAGTGACTTTTTCTGCCTTGAGGTGGCGATCCCATCTACTTTCTCAATTCAAGGTGATGCGTTAAGTGAAGGGATGTTCTGGTATACGGGGGTCAGTAATTCAGCATGACTGAAATAAAAACAAGAAGAACCCTTTTGCACTTCCTAAGCTGCAGAATTCAGCTTGTAAAAAAAAAAAAAACAAGAAACTTGTTTGTTCTGATGCTGTTTGACTATTTCCAGTGGGTTTGGTATGTTGGTGGTGGTGTGACCTATGAGCATTGTATTGAGCGTAACGAAACGTTACAGGCAGCAGCTATGCAAATGCCATTTTGTTGTTGCAAGCGTTGCTGTAGTTGCAGCTTGCTTTTTGGTGATAGTTTAATGGCTATATATTATAGATAGGAGCATCATGCAAAATAAAATGCCTAGTTGGTGCGTATACCTTGTTTTGCCTTTGCTTGTACCACATGTCACTGATGCACATACAAGGACATAAGTCACTGGTTTGCTCACCCAGCTTGTCTTGCAAACCATGAAAAACCATGAAGTGCAGAACATGTCAGCCAACCTCTTCCTCCTCCCCCTCATTCCTCCTCCCCTTCATAATTCTCGAGATGTTTTTAACAGCGGAGCTGTCTAAAGGGGCTCAGGAATGGTTTTAGTTATCTTGTACAAACACATAGGGCTGGTAGTCTAAGTCTCAAGGATTACTTAGAGACCGATTTGAACTATCTGCATAAACTGTGTAATTTATTACAACGCTTTAAAGCTGGGAATTGCTGCAGATCGTTGCGACTCGGCCAAACGCGTTTTCAACCGCCCATTCAACCGCTCACAGGGCGACATGCTCTTGGCCAGAGCACGTCAACGTGGCGTCTGATCTGATTGGCTCAGAGAACATCTACCACTGTTTGATTGTCAAAGCCTGTAAAACGCGGAAGAACGACTGGTAGGGTGGCGGCACCTGTCGGAGCCTGTATAAACCACTCTGCGATCTTTGTCTTTGTTGCCAGACAGCGTGCGTGTCATGGAGGAAGGAAATGGTGCGTGCTGCCGGTGACAACCTCCAAGACTGGGCTACTGTGTACTACACTGTAACTGGGCGCAACCTGCTAGCCTGCGATTTCAGAGGTCTAGACTAATGTAATCGTCGAGCGGCGCTCATGACAGCTCTGCGATATTTAGGTAGCATATGCAGTAACTCTACTCTTCGATAAAGCCCCTGAAACTTAGCGACGTAAGTGCTCATTTGCGCGCCTTCTCTTCCCCCTTCTCCGACCTCTCCAAGGCCGGTGCCGCGTCGGTATTGGCCAGATTCCGTCACGTGGGACCGTTCGCAATATTCGTTTGTTTTGGTAGAGGAGCCATGGGTACAGCATCTACCCTTGCCTGCCGTTTGTGTATATATATATATATATATATATATATGTGTGTGTGTGTGTGTGTGTGTGTGTGTGTGTGTGTGTGTGTGTGTGTGTGTGTGTGTGTGTGTGTGTGTGTGTGTGTGTGTGTGTGTGTGTTGGATAGAGTTTAGGCGCCCAAACCTTCTTCCTCCATGGTAGCGCGACTCCCAAGTGTGGACCGCCGCGGCACGTCCAGCCCAGCTGCCCTGTGGCGGACTCGGTGAACAGCCATCGTGTGACACCGTCATGACGTCATAGATTGTCAAAATATTTGACGCCGTGGTGACGTCGCTTGGCCAAAGGTGGTACGAGGCACTGCAAAGCGACATGACTTGCAAAAAGAAAAAAAGAAACTCCCAACACTTCCTATCCCAGAGACAATGCATAATCACTTTATATATGCACAGAAAGGTCTCGAAAGGTCGGGAGAGAGGATGAATTGATAGCTTGCTCGTGACGTCATGAACTAACAGCATGACTCCAATATGGCGGATTATATGACTGCAAGGCGGTATGATCTCGTGACGATTAAGCTGGTCCAGTATGATAAAGACGTCGCTGGAACGATATAGGGCCTGTGTGCATGAATAACGAAGGAACCGCCAGCATGTGATGCATTGATAAAGCTCACGTTACAGCACGAAGTTTGCATCCCGCCATGTTGGTGCTTCAAAGTGGCTGTTTGAGTTACGCCAGCGCAATTGCAATCGACTGTGAAGAAAATAATACTGCTTCCACGTTCGGTGAATGTATCTCGAACTGAGACCGTAAGACTTTCGGTATGTCGGCGTTGCCTGGATTGCTGGGACTCCTAGTTTAGAGGGATTTGCACGTCACGACGATTTCCCACGAGAAGTTTCGTTCTCGATTTTAAAAAAAAAGTGAACATCATGAGTGAATGGTAGCATCTAAAATAGGGAAAATTGTACGCCAGGCAGGCCCGTAGCCAATGGAGGGGCGGGAGGGATCGCCACGCCCCCTCTCGAAATTCGGAGGTGTTATTCGAGGTTTTCGTATATCATAATTAGGCCTTCAAAATCATATCGGAATTTTGAGACGTAACCAATGCGCTTATTATTATTAGATGAAAAAAAAAAACACCACCCAAGCACTCCGTATGTATGGTTAACCAGTGAAACTGAAACGTGCGGCCACAGGTGGGTTTAGACGTGGCAGTCCACCGCCGCTAGTGTCCGTGACCACTATGGCGCGAAGTATGAAAAAAATCTGAATAAATAAAAAAAAACATACCAAGCACAGAAAGGGAAACGAACTCGGGCACTCTATATAGCAGCCCAGTACTCTGCCTGTGCATGATTCTCCGTTGCAAACTGATTCAATGCAGGCTTCATGTCGGGTAAGGAATCGCGCGTGTTTGCACAGTAAGGTAACAACGAGGCGTTCAGTGCAAGGCTGGCGTTTTTTTCTTCATTTTTTGGAACTCTTTTTACTCCAATTCGTATTTTTGTGTGTGGTAATCACGGAGCTGAGTCGTAAATATTCTAACGTATCGTGTAAATAATACTGACGTTGTTAATTGCAACCAATTTTGCATCAATTCAAAAATGCCCGCGTTAAGAAACTAGCGCCCCACAGCGGCGAAGCGCGTATCAGACCACGAGCGCTCTGTCGTTGAAAGCGCAATTTTCAAATCTGCGCCCCGCGTCTGGTAAAGAATGAAACGATGTTTGCTTCGGTATGTCAAGCCTGTCCAGTGAACAGGCTCCAACTTTATTTTTACACCCACCAAAGAGAAGCTCGGCAATTTGTAGAGTAGACCGCGGCTTTCACGTTTTCCGAATATTACAGTGCTGCGCGCCGCGCGGAGCTTCCGTCTCGAAAAACAAAAAAACAAAAAAAAACAATTCCCGTGATCCTTTTTTTACGCCTGACCAATTATTTCATGCGCAGTGACGCAAAGTCTCCGATTGGCGAATTGACGTAGCACACAGCTCGTCGATTGGTCACGGCGACGGGCTACGCCTACCCAATCCTGTGAGGGAGAAGGTTGACGAGGCCGTACGATATTTTGAAACCAGCTGAAAGCGATGTTCTAACGCCCGTAACTTCCTTCATATTGCAAGTATTCGCGAAATTCTTGCGGCAGCATGTTCACGAAGCGAAAGTGCACATATTTCTCTTTACAACAATTTTTAGACCTCGGGTTTGATTACTGGCCCTTTAGGAAAAAAATAACATTCATGTACTAAGCAGCCGAAACTACCTCGAGAGCAGCCTGACAACTAAAAGGCAAGAGTGAGGAACATTAGATCTCGCCGGGTGCCTGTCGGGGTATTGTGTGAGCCCCGCGACTAGGATGATAACACGCGCTTACTATAAAACCAAATTAAGTAATAATATTGTGTGAGCCCCGCGACTCGGAGTATGACACGTGCTTACTATAAAGCCAAATTAAGTAATAATAAACCCTGTCCGCCACTAATAATTGGTTAGAACAGGAGTGCCAATCATTAAAACAATGTCGACATAGGTTCGACCGATGTCGTTAGAACCAACTGGTTCTTGAAACTTTGGGCGCGACTGACTTTGGAACAGACTTTGCGCTCCCCCTTTTAGGTAATACGAAGTGGTCACCCCTCTGACCCCCCCCCCCCCCCCCCCCCCCAACGCCGCGCCTGCGGTTTCTGCTTCAGTACAGATAGCTGTACAGAAGCCAAAACAGCGAGTATAATATTGTAAGAAGCAACAATAGACCAGAGGAATTCGACATCCTACCAGAACAACCGTGGAAGCAAGTAAAGCTCTAGAAGGAATGGAAAGAGGCAATGCCGCTGCTGAGGACAAAGTAACAACGGACCTGCTGAAAGATGGCGGAGAAAGGGTGTTAGAAAAATTGGCCACCTTAATACGAAGTGTCTCTTGACGGGAAGGGTACCACAATCTTGGAAGAACGCCAACATGATCTTAATCCATAAGAAAGGAGACGTCAAGCACATGAAAAATTACAGGCCAATCAGCTTACTGCCTGCTCTCTACAAAATATTTGCAAAAATAATAGCTAATAGAATAAGACGACATTGGAGTTCAAGTAACCAAAGGGCCAGGGAGAATTCAGTAGAGGATATTCCACAATTGACGATATTCATACTATCAATCAAGTAATAGAGAAATGCGCGGAATACAACCAACCCCTATACACGGTCTTCGTAGATTACGAGAATGCGTTTGAACCAGTCGACGCATCAGCAGTGATGCAGGCACTGTAGAATCGGGGCATCGATGAACCCTACAAAACATAATGGAAAAATCTACAGTGGATCCGCAGCACATAGTTCTTCGTATAGAAAGTGGCAGAATCCCAATAAAGAAGGGTGCAAGGCAGGGAGACATGATCTCTCCCATGCTGTGCATCACGTGTTTACAAGAAGTTTTCAGGGCCCTAGATTGGAAAGTGTTAGGAGTGAGAGTAAATGGAGAGTATCTTAGTAACCTGCAATTCGCAGATTGCGTTGCTTTGATGAGTAATTCAGGGGACGAATTACGGCTCATTATTACACAACTGGACACCGAAAGCAGAAAAGTAGGTCTGAAAATATTTATGCACAAAAACAAAGTACTGTGCAACAGTCTCGACAGAAAACAGCGTTTTGCGATAGGTGGAGACACGCTGGAATATGTAAAGGAGTATGTCTATTTAAGACAGGTAGTAACCACGGAGTCGAACCACGAAAGAAAAATAACTAGAAGAATAAGGATGGGGTGGATCACATTCGACAAGCATTCTCAAACCATGAATTATAATCTACCTCTAACCCTCAAGAGAAAGGTATATAACAGCTGCATATTGTCGCGGTACTTACAGGGCAGAAACATGGAGGCTTACAAAGAGGGTTCAGCTTAAATTGAGGACGATGCAGCGAGCGATGGAAGGAAAATGATAGGTGTAACCTTATGAGAGACAAGAAGAGAGCTGAGTGGGCCAGGGTTAAGGATATCATAGTTGAAATCAAGAAGAAGAAATGGACATATGGGTTGGGTACGTAGCACAAGAAGGTTAACCGCTGGTCTGACTGGATTCCCAGAGAAGGCAAGCGCACGAAGGGGAGACAGAAAGTCAGGTGGGCCAATGAGATTAAACGTTCGCAAGTGTAACGTGGCAGCATAAAGCACAAGACCGAGTTGATTGCTAAACCATGGGAGAATGAATGAATGAAGTGAACTTTATTTGGACCAGGCTCTTTGTACTTCAGCGCTAAGGTGGGTGGCCTCCTCAGTCCAGGTAGCCATGGCTCGCTACCGCCGCTCGAGCCCGGTTCACCAATCGTAGCTGGTTGTCAGGGTCTTGAGTCACCAGCAAAGCCTCCCCCTGGTCTTCGAATCCTTCCTCTTTATCCGTTTCTTTCTTTTCGTTTGCACTTGGCGGTGACGATGGTGGTATGTCCGGATTGTTGCGACACTCCAACACCATGTGGCGCAGAGTGTTGCGCGTGTCCGGAGGGCAAAAATTGCAGTCCCCGCCTGAACGTTCCTGGATACATAGCGTGCATCAATGGTCCGTACGGGTAAGTTCCGGCCTGTAGTCTTTTCCATGCCATCGCTTGTTCCCTACTCAGACTCTCCTGTGCTGGCGGGTACCATCTTCATCTGCTTCCTGTAGTGTGCCAAAATGTCTGCGTACTTCTTCAGTATGCGCTCACGTGCGTCATGACAGTCCGTCGGTGCGTGATCCCAGCGTGTCGGAGATGGCTCGGCGCACATGATCTCAAGTCGCGGCGTGCGCAGCCTGGTTTCCAGCGAGAGACTCATGTCCCGGTGTCCGAAGGATGGTTATTTCGTCCCATGCTGCTTTTTAAGACATGTAGTGCTGCCTTTCCAATCCTTCCGTTCGTGTATCTTCTACACCCCTCTTGCGAATCTGTTATCACGGTAGCCCGCGTATTCTTGCCTTGCAAGGCCTGTGCCTTGCAGTGGGCGTAGTCAGGCTGATGATGATGATAATGATGTGGCGCCGATTACCAGCAAGAATGGATGAGTTGATACAGCTGTTGCAATAAATGGCGACACGTTAAAGGCTAATGTGTCTTGAATGCAAAATATGCTACACGCGCAAACATCTGAAATTTTCGCTCTGCTGCCATTTTTATTGCAGGCACGCAGGACATTTACGATACGTTGAATAACCAGTGAACGAAGGCAATTATGTGCGCGTAGTCTGCGTTAGCTCTTTCCCACCGTCGCACGCAATGAAAGTAAACTTCGAAAGTCGTGAAACCTATCTTATATTTGGTATTTTGAAATGTTTCAAGCTGACTTGACGAGGGTTGTACAGCGAAGTGAGCATCACTTCGTAGCATCAATTAAATAAATAAATAAATAAATAAATAGGAAAAGTTCTCCTAAAAATCAATTTGCTGTTCTTGTGATAGGTAGGCAACTCAAACGCGTTCGCCTGAGCGGACTATTGGAATTTGGAACGTTATTTTGCGGCATATTTTGCCGGTATTATTGTACTGCGCGACTCGTTTTCAACATTATTTTTTATGCCTAGTATACAGCCTTGGACTCTTGGAGATAGCGTTTTCTTCCCTCTGAGGTGTTTCAATTACGGCAGAGCCCGACGCCAGATGTTCGATCTCGAAACAGCGCTACACTGACGCGGAGCACTGTGCAAAGCGTCGTCGTGCGATGGTCTCCTGGATGCACTGTTCTCCCGGTGCCAGCGCGTACGCTTCTCTTTATCGGCCGCGAACCGGCTTGGCCTGCCGCAGGGACGAAGAGCCCGACGGGCGCCCCGACCGAAAACGCGCTTTTTTTTTTAATTTTTTACCGCACGCGCGATACGCTTCACAAAAGAATAGAGAAAAACCAGTTCACGTGCCTGCGGTTCTCGCGACGGCGGCCATGTGGCGCCACCGTCTATCTCAGATTCCCGCGGCGCGCACTTACAGGTGGCGCGCCCTCGAGGAAAAGCACGGGATTACTTTGCGGCCCGTACGTTTCCCCGAGGGATGTTGTGCGTGCTTCATGTCGTCTGCGAAACCAGCGAAAATCTGCGTGGTCAAGTGGTGATCGCCGTGTTGCCGATGTGAAGTTTCCGGTGCCGGTGCTGACCGACTCGCGTCCATCGTTCGTGTTTTTTTTTTATTCCCCGTCGTGCGTCGTCAAGTCGCCAACATTTGTCGAATCGTGGAGATCCCGGAATCTGCATGCAATCCTCAGCAGTGTCCTGAGACTGCGTGCGACTTTCTCGACGATCGGCGAGCCCTGCTGAAGCGACCCGCCACCGGGATGTGTGCTGCCAAAGTGGCAAGCGCTCCCAAGGAGCGACGGTAAGTTTCCCGTACTCTTAACTAGGCCTAATCGCGAACCTTTTTTCGACTCGCTCGCATTCCTCGATGAGAGAGGCTTTTTTAGGGACACGACGAGCTCGCAAGCAGCCACCGTTGACGCCAGCGGCGCTTTTGACGGTGGCCCCCCCGCCACTTCCTGGATAACTACCTAACCACTCCGAACAGCTGTTTGCGGAGTGTCTGTGCGCTGCCTGCGACAGCGCGCGCGTGGAATAGTCCGGTCCGCGTGTGTGACATAATCTGTCGTTCCGCGCTTGTCGTCATGCGCTCGAGGCGACGAGTCCGAGCGCCTGCAGGGGCGGGTGCTGGGTTCGATCGACTCTCGCCAACTGGATTTTCGAGTGACTCTCGTTTCGCGCTCGGCCTGGCGCCCCTAGCTATCGCTCGCCGGCGCCAGTCTGCTTGGGCAGGCAAATTGTGCCCGGCCTTTAGTATCATCCACATCAGCAGTGATCCGCCGTCGCCTCGCGTTTTTCCCAAGGACATTCGCAATTCGAGACTGTTAGGTTGCTCCAGTTTCAGTCTCTTCTGGGTATCTTCGGGACTACGCAATATCCCTCGCGTTCTTGCGCAGTGGTGGTACGGTCATCTTTACGACCGTCCTGCACAGCCTTTCAGTAATTCGTCATAATCCGAAAAGCGCTTAGTAACCACGTCGGAGAGACCGCACTTTTTGCTACAGCTAGCTAATCCTGAGCGCGGAGGTAGATAATTTTTTGCGCGACGAACCGTTATCACGAACCCTAAGGGAATCCAGTTTCCCCGAGTCGCGCTTAATGACCAGAAAATTGTCGTTGAAACTTTTAGGCACTCGATCGGTCGTGCTCGTCGATCCATTCATTTCCTGTTTTAATGGCAACGCAATCGAACTACACCTGCGCTACGACAAGGAATGATAGGTGGCGTGAAGTGTTCCATGAATTGTTGCGTAAGCTTGGAATACCGCTGATTCTAGAGCGTAGAGGTAGCTTTTCTTTTTTTTTGCGTTGGCCACCGTTATCACAAACCCTAAAGGGATTCACACAGTGTCCTCGAGTTAGTCGTGCCTAATGAGCAGCAATTGCCGTTAGACACTTAGCTCTACTCAGCGGTCCATTCATTTTTTTCTATGTTATTGGTTACGAGATCGCACTTCACTCGCGCTACTACTGCACGTTGTGAAGTGTTTCGAGTTTGAGAGATAAAACTCGCCTCCGTCGGTTGCCTTATCTGATCATCTCAGCTTGCGAGTGTTCGCTCTTATCTGGGGGTGGGGCAGAAATACGCGCAGTGTCCAAAAAAAGATTCGCCACGAATACATTCCTGTAATGTCCGTTGCTTACCTGCCACTCATTTAAATCGACGCGGACAGTTTTTCGCCCAATCGGTTGCCTAGACACGGCGCGCCAGTTCGTCACGTCCACTCGAAAGTGTGACAGAGCTCCTTGCACTCTGCGACACCCCAGCGCCGCTGAAAACAGCTGTGGGAGAGGTTGTTGAACTCGGCTCTCTCCGCCAATCGGAGCTGCTGATTAAGTAGGCATTTCTGTGTGGAGGCACACACTCGCTGCTCACAATGAGTTTGTCGCGAGAGCCAATTCACTGTCGTGCATTGTCGTTCGAAGAGTGCCCCTTTCACAGCACAGCTATAGTTTACAATACCAGTGTTATCATACGTTGCATTGCCAAATTGCTCAACAGTGATTGGCTCCTTTGTGAAATGATGGCGATGTCGTTGAGATGATTTTGATAAGGCTTAATGCTGGTGTGCCCACTTTGCATTGTAATGAAGTTGATAATGATGATGTTCGAAATGAGAGGAAGCTGGCCTGCACCGGTCTCACTTTCGATTGTGATCGAACCTGATTCATAGCGAATTTTTGTTATCATGATTGACTCGTCCACGTAAACTGCAAACAAAAGCCCGTCCCTGCCGTGAAGCTTTATCTACAATCGGGTTTGATGGTAATCAGCAGCGCATTGTGTGACACCGGTATTAGTCTTCTACCCTCTCATAGACTTGCACGCCTACAACATCGCTTTTCGACAATTTTCATGGTTTCATTTTTTTCTGTTTATCGATGCGTAGCTTACATTGGCAGGACGCTTTGTTAATTGTTCTTATTACGTAGCCATACTGCAGACATGTTATTTTCGTCCAAGCAGGAGGTGTGAAAGAAACTGTAAGCGAATTGAAACAGCAAGAAAAAGAAAGAATGAATTCGACACACATTAATACGCTGAGACCACATGTCTGTGAAACAGCAACAATATTATAACGCATCTGAACATTAAACACCAAAGGGATGATTTTCCAGTGGTGCAGCAAAATTTTCAGTCGTGAAGATATCTCGGGGTAGTGAATTCCAGTCTAACTGTTTTGAAAAAAAGAACCGTGTTTGTAAGCGCAGTTAGTGCAAATACCGCTGACAGTACGTAGCAGTATGTTAGTATAGTTACCCCGAGAAAAGGGCGTTTTTCAATGAAAATGTCGAGCCACAAACATTTACCGTCCCTTACCGTCAGCTGTGATGACTTTTCATGTATGATCTTCCTTGGTCTAGTGGCAGTGCTGTGACATACCACATATTGATATGGTTGTTTTGAGTACCTCGATTGCAGTCGTGAGAAGCTGCTTGTTGTAGTTGTAGGAACAACTACATCATGTGTCCATCACCAACTGACAAAAACTAATGTAACATTAGAGAATGTAAAGTAGTGAACATTATTTCAGGTGTTGTAGTGCAAAATCATAATGTACATAAGAGAACCAGTCATTAAGGCTGGCTGGCCCTTTATCCATTTTATTCCTCAGGCAGAATTTCATTATAATAGACTTGCAGTGTTTTATTTGAGACATAAGGACCCTAGAACCTTTCGAAATAAAACACGTACCATATAAATTATATGTCATTATTTAACCAGAGGTCAAAATATTTTAAACGTATCGCTTTAACAAGTGATCTGCTTCATTTGAAACATTGTAGTAAAGGTCTGAAGCATAGGCAAATGCAAAGTCATTGTTTCTGCCTAAATTTTCTCACTTTTATACATTTTCATGTGCCATTTTTAAAGAGATGTTTAAATAAAATCAAAGCATTTTTTTTCGGGGTAGTACATTACTCTTTCATGATACTCAAAAACGACAAGATACTCAATAAGTATGAAGACAAGGAAAAAGATATTGTGGGTGTTAACGCCACCTTGACATATCCATACCAAACGTCATGACGTCACAGATTTCGACAACGCCTACTAGGGTCCACGTAGTTCCCATTCAGTGAAAATAAGGTACATTGTCATTTGAGAGCTTTCAGGAAGCTTTGCTGGGCCAGTGTCACCAAAATACGATAAACACAATTTGAAATCCGGGATGTCATGCTTGGAGATTCCTTTGTGAAATTGAAGAATACTTTGACTTGTTTTTCTTCTCCATTAAGAAACTTATGGTGGTGAAGGTAATGGCATAGTAGTTATCAAATTAATATTTATCAATCTAAACCATTGTAATGTTGTACTTTAGTGTCCTTTCAAGCCACTTCACCGAGAGAATCGGTTATGATATTTTGTTCGATCTTGTATGGCACATCATTAATTAGCTCAATTTGGCTTGAGTGAAAGCTTGCTGGAGATGACTCCTCCTGCATGTGCATTATACTTTTCCATGATGGACTTCCGAGTCGGCTGATTTGAAAGATATTGATGCCGCACTTTTCTTGAAATAGTGTGAACTATATATACATTTCCATTTAGCTTTCTTCAGCAAACACGATAGCTGTCTTTTAGTGAATTCTTGTGCATGTACAGTCAACATCTAAAGTTTTGGAGACCATTAGGTCCGAGAAAACGTTCAAATTCTCAGCAATTTGAGACTGCATTCGGCCGAACTACCCGATGCGTGTTAGGGTGTTTTTGAACAGACCAGATATCTAAATTCAAGGCTGCCTGTTGAAGCAGCTGGAGTATTCATATTTTTTATTTTGTCTCGTGGTCTCTAAACTTTTTGATGCCGAGTGAATTTACTTGAGAGAGTTATCTTACGTACAGAGTTTATTTGATGCAAGCTGCTGATTTTGAGCAGCTTGAGTCATGTGATAGTGCAGCAGTTCGATGAACACAGACATTCATGAAGGTTTGTTAACCCTAAGAGGAACGAGAAGCGAAACAAAGAAGAAAAAAAAAAGAACTTAATGCCATTTTGAGAAAGTAAAATTTTCATCATTATTTTCTCGCTAAAGTGTATCATATTTATAATTTATTCTTAAGGTTAATGACTAGTTTCTGTGATTTGTCACTTAAAAACTGAGTATATTGAACTATAGACGTCAAGAACACTGCAAATTTCTCTGCAGTACTGTCGCATGAGTTGTCGATTTGGCAATGAAAAAAAAAATTACAGCATCTCATGGAGTGAATGATGACGAGTTGGGCGAAGCTTCGGCGGGTTTCATTGGTAAAGTGTGAATCGTCTGTTCGTCCGTCCGTCTGTCGGTCTGGCTGTCTGTTTTGAGAAACATGTCAAACACAGCGTGTGCCTCTGCGCCACCTAGTGATCAAATAGAGGAATAGCGATGCAAGCGCCATCTAGTGAACATTTGGCGTGCTGCGGTTGGCTACGACAGACAACTACGGTCGACAAACCCACGCCTTAAGGAGCTTCGCACCTAAGATATCTTAGGTGAATGCGCATTCTACCATTTTTTTTTTTAGAATGCGTAGAATTCATCTCTTCTGGTAGAGATACACTCTACCACAAAAGCACTCTACCATCTCTACGAAAAGCACTCAGTGCTTTTGGCAAATATGGTAGAGTGATTTTGGTATCACCAGTAGAGAACAAAGTTAGTAAAGTTGACAAAGCTTCCTTAACTGACTGTGACAAATTCTGTGAATGAAATATTTTGTAAAGTTTGGCAGTCTTTGTCACGACTTTCATAATTTTATTGGGAAAAGGACAAGAGCATTCTAAGATAAGCTGTGACACATTTTCCCAGTACTAG